GAGAAGCTGCCAAATGGCTGTCACTGTGGATGCGAGAACGAAGCAATGAGTACGAGCTAGCCCAATTTCGATCAACAAAACATACGATAGAAAAGCGCGTCTAATTCAACCTTTAGAAAACCTCGGGGGAGCCATTCCACGAACCATTTGTCGGACGGCTCAGCCTTCTTGACGTCCTGAGCAAATACTGCCCAGTTATCAGGTAGTTACAACATCAGAGCCGGCCCTAGGAATCAGTTCGCAAGACTTCCTTTTCTGCTTGCTGACCAAGGACTGTAGATCTCTGCCGAATCTGCTCATCGGAAACTGACCGTCGTTCCGCGCAACGGGACCGGAACCTGGTCATTCCGATGAGGCGGCAAGAGATATCATACAATGACTTCAACCGATTAAAAAATTCAGTCGGCAATATAATCAGTATACGACTGAGATAATACACCCGAGATTCGTAACATCCAGACATTCCTGAAGGCCTCGCCGTTGAGCACTTTCCATACGACATTAATGCCGCTGAGGGAGAGCCTACGGAAGACCCACGACTGGAGTGGAATCACAGCGACGCTGCGTCAAAGCGGAGCTGCCGACGTGGTACTTCGGATGCAGGCAATACGTGGGTTAGCGGATCGAGGCAGTCAGGTAAACCTTGCTGAGCCCACTCGAACAGTTTTCATCAAAGAATCAAGTGAAAGCGCTGTGAGTTACTATCATGCTTCAAGGCGTTTTGATATAAGCACCCCAAAACGATCTACTCTAGAAGCAAAGGGAATCCTTGAGGACAGGGAAAAGATTCTCCGCGTCCAACTGAAGCGTGGCTCAGAGAAAAACCTTCAAAGGCAAACTGGGTACAAAGGAGGAAGTCTTTCCTAACGACCCAGCGTACATCTTTCATCGCCTCCTAAATTAGAACGACCAATATACTAAAACTTCTGTTTTGTCTACACATTTCCTGCAAGTTTCACGCAACCGTCCGCACTAGAAAAGCAGCCTCAAGCACTGCCCAATCATGAGGCGCTGCTTTCAGTGCTAACAGCCAAATCCACAGAAGTTCGCACTAGCCTAGCGTTTGAATGCGTTGCCGAGGAAGGATATTTCAATCCAGAAACCGGCGTCTTGGAAAGTTTTCAAGTCCGCGATAGACTGACATGCGTCTGCGACGGTGATCGAAACGGTTGTAATGTTACCCGTGTCGGGCTTCCAGCATCGTCCACATATTACGTCAACTGTCAAGCGTCCTTCACTCCACTTACACTCGATAAGCATCGCAGGGCTACCTGCTGAGTTGCGCAGAGCAGACTAATGGCCTTCTCTGATTCGCTCTGCGTTGTAGCTGATCTGCATTGAGTCTTTTCCCAATCGAAGACCCGAAGTCCTACACCGGTTATGGCAGTCGAGGCGACGATTATTGCCGTAGCACAAGCCTTTGACGGCAAACCGGCTGCCCAATAGGTTACTCGAAACTGAAATGAAAGTCAGGAATTTTAACAAGAGCTCGCTGACGAACCCAAGAACCCTGATGTTGAGAACTTATCATTGAAATGCAATTCGATACATGCGGCTCAGGAAGTCATAGTTATACGACAGACTTCGAAGAGGACGCTTATTCCGCCAACGCTTGCTGACCTCCTTACAGCCATTTGATCCGCTCTTCTTCCAAGCGCGAGTTTGGTGCCTGCTTACGATTGCACTTGGGCAAAAATCACTTCAAGAGCTGCCACCTACTTTTGAAGAAATTCTCAGAACCCCGGCGCCAAAAAGTGGGCATTGATAATGCGTTAAAAGCGACTCGGCTTTTGGATGAAAGAATGTTGCTCAACGGCCTCGAACTAGTGTTGGGCGGGTCTGACGATTTAGAAGAGACGGGATGTGAGCCTGTATGGCAAGTATGGCCCACCTGTCTCAAAGGCCTCTCATCAGAGGCCTCACAAGCATTCGAGGCCAACCCTACGATCGCAAGCGTTTTGACGAAACTACACAGAAGCATGCATGGGTGTCACCGGGACTTTGACACCAGAGACGAGCTTGATAACGACGTGGAGCTTGTCCAAAAAGCGGTGTAATACGGCTCCCGAAGAACTTATAAGGGGCTGCGTGCAGTCGTAATCAGATCTGCATGAAGGGTACAACATCCCTATCAGCACTCGAAATCCCAGTGCCAAAGCATATAGTCAGTCTGGAGGTAGTCAACGAAGCAATCTGCCGTCCTTGTCCATAAAATTGTGAAGGCTCAGCAGGGCTGAAGGAGCAGTGAGACTTGCATGCGCCCATCGCAAACCGCTCGCCTCATAGCCATTTATAAAACTTCGTAAAATTCCCCGCAACGTTTCAGTATTATTGACACACTCACGCACTCGCTGGCTCCAATCCGGTTGGCAGTCTGGAGTACGTGAAATGGGTTCCGCCTTCCGTATCAGTCGCTTCAAGCACGCAATACAATATCAACAGGGAACAACAACGACCAGTGGGCAGATTTGCCGGCCCTAAGATGCGAGAAGCAACGTACGTCCCGTAATGTCCGAGCGCTGGCCCAAAACATACTCCGACACTGCGCGTCGGACGAAAATCATCAGCCTCTGGACTTCCGATTTCGGCTAGAGTGTACATGAGCTGCACATTCGAGTTTGTACCATGCCGCGCAAGAAGCCGCTGTCGTTCAACCCGGGCAAGTAGCGACATTGAACACTACGAAGGAAAGGGATCTGCTCCAGACGATGAGTGCATTCAGAAGAGAGACTGGACGTCAGACACCGTGACGGCCCTGTTTCGAAAGCGACTTGGTATTAGTCAGAGTTGCCACCAAAGGTCGCAGGGCGCACGTCCCTTCCTAAACCGGCTCAATGACTTGGCAGCTGCCGTGCGACACAACGTGATCGCAGCATCGGCGTTCATCACAGCCTGCCCCCCTTTGGAACTTATCTCAAGAACGAACAATATTATCATCCGCGGTCATGCCTGTTATCTGCAAAAGGCCTTCCTTCACGCCCTTCGCCAAAGCACTTGCTCAACAGAATCAACACTCTCAGAGTGCAGAGTCTTAGGCAAGTCTGCCGGAAAAATGAGCGCCGCTGAAAACCAGATCTCGAAAGCGGCAAGAAAGCCATGCCAAGAGCACGAGAACGCTGGATGCAGTAACTAATATATACCGTCCGCATCGGCTGTCGAGACACACGCTTTCCAAAAAGAGAATCCCGCACAGGCCAAAGCATGCAAGATGTGTAGGCCTCTCCCTGGTTCGGATTTGAATGACTCGGCTTACATAGCCTTACAGGTTGTAAGCCGACCCGCACCTAGACAGCCAGTCTAGGTGCGCGAGACTGCTCAAGGAAAAGCAGTGCTCAATGTGACGCACATGCAGATTCCTTTTAAGGAGATCAGAAAAGCTAGCATCCAAGTCACGGAGGAATTATCACACAGACATCCGAAGGAACGGGCGAAGCAGCATTTCCTCAGGAGAGAGGGCGGCTAGTTAATCGAATGACGTTGCTTGGGCAGAATGATTATAGCCACCATTAAAAACTTTCATAGCCTTTCCCTATGTCCGTCTTGAGCCAAACGCCTGGGCCTTTGATTACCTCGTGAATTAATCGAAGCTACAGCTTCGCTCAGGCGTCACGAACAGGGTCTTAGATTCTGATCAGCAGACTATCCTCGAAACCTCGTCTTGCGTCCTTCAAAGTTCAAATCAGATAGTGAAAGACAAAAGAACCAGCACTTTGCTTGACTTTGGTCTATGAACCGTAGTGTACGTCAGAATGAGAGAGGGGGTTGGTAAAACACAGTTGGACATCAGCAACAGACCGTGGAGACGAAGGGAACAGATATTACCGACGGCTCAGGAAAGAGAAGGATCTTCTCGTGGGCCTGTACGTTTGACGAACGCTGTGATCAGCCCAACTTCGGCATCAGAGCCAGAATAAGGACGGCATCCATGATCAAATCAAAAGATCTGAGATTTGGCGGAATCGAAACGCCGACTTCCAATCTGAAGAACAATGCGCGATTCACTTTTCAAGATTCTCAACAGGGCATACGTGCAAATCGAACGCCTCTTTCTGGCTCCTTCAATCGGAGAATGTTAGCGGGACACAGGGAACTCAGCCATCGACACATCTGAACCCTTGGATGAATCCTTCGAATCTTGAGTACATCATTCTGCTAAGAATTATTGTAGCCCCTTGAAGGATTCCCTTACAAGATCTTGGTTTCGAAGGACTTGAGTGAATATCAGCCGAGTTGTTACTTTAGGCTACTCCAGCAGCGAAGAATGTGCACACGGAACCCCGGTGCAGAAGCATGCTAGGACGAGAACCTTGTAACAACCAAACGAACCAACTACCCGGTGCCGGGTTGGCACCTCCGAAGACTTGGAGCTTACAAGAAGTCTCACAGCTCATGGCTTCCGTACACAGCCTCATATACTTGGAGGGCTTGAGCTTTCAGAAGTCACACACGTGGGAATTGATGCCCGCCTTGGCAGTTGACGAAGTTTGACAAAAAAGAACCATATACAATAGGCAATCCATCAGGACCGATAAGATTTGACTTGTTTAGTAGATGCGTCAGAGGAGACTTGGGCGATAAGGCGGACTTGAATCCGCTCCCTGGATGCGCAACCCATCGGCCTCTCTCGACAACGCTTCTCCGCTTTCCGTTCTGACGTGGACTTGGAAGTCTGCGTTTGTGCTTCAAGGAAAAGGACAGTCAGAATGCTTCCCTACATACATCAGAAAGACGAAAGAGTCCGTCTATTGTCGGATTAAACGGCTCAGAACCACCGCAGGATGGCAGCCCTGGATGGACATCCCATGGGCACCGGGATCACAGCCTTTCGCATGCAATTATGAAGTCAATCTTTGGAGTAGTCGAAGAACCAACTCGTCGAACGATTTGGCCCCTGGGATCCCATGCATTAGAACTTGATATAGGATCTGCGTCGCAAAAACTGCGCGGAGCCTTAGCTCCAACTTCAGCATCCAATCGACGGCGATGGCAGAGGAAAAGGATGAAAAATTGCATAACCTAGGGCGCTGCCACGTGGCGTCGCTCGTACGCGGCTTGCCTTGCAATTGCTGCAGCCTCGCTACTTCGTCTGGTTGGTTAAGATCAGCCTGCTGACTGCACGGGACGTTGTGATGCTCAGGAGCATTGAACACCGGACGGCGAAGGACCCTTGTCCAAGGAACCGAACCTTGAAAAGCAGAGGACGATCGTGCAGCCTACCAGACCCAAACCATCAACAACGCCCGCTCTCCTGCATTCTTGAAACACACTTTCTTGGTTGTTTGCTTTTTGAAACCACCCCCAAGTAACCGCTTGGCTGAAAAGGGCCCATTGGGAATGTACATAGCCAAATCATGCCAAGGGGTTGAGTTGGCAGGCGCGTGGAGTTCCTTGCACACAGCGCCTTGTTTTGCCCTATATCTTTGTACAGGGCCAGCCTGTTGACTGGCTCGACGGTGGAAAAGGTCCCTTCAAGGCCTGACGAAAAAGAGGAAGAGATCGTTGAGGTAGAGTACAACGGAGGTCCGAATACGGCCACGTATATAAGAAGACGCCAGAAACTGCTAAAAACTGCTTCAGAAACAAGAAGCGGGGTTCAAAGCAAGGTTCAGCACATGAGGCCCAAACACAAGCCTGAGTCGACGGCAACTTCAAGTTATCAGATAAGGCTCAGGACAGGTTCCATACAGACAACACTGGGTTTGCATCTACCCAACACGCTTGCTGCTTCCATCGTCGCCCTAAGAAAAGTGTTTTCCACCTTGACAGGACTCTCCTTGACTCCAGATGCTCTTTTGTCTTTGAATTTTTTGACCTCTCAAAAGCGGCTTTACTCCAATAGCATAGCTGGTAAAACTAAGATTATGGTAAAGGCCACGGCCACTCACGAGGAGATGATGCACTTTCCTGATCTGCTTACAATAAACGACTTGAATGATTTTATTAGCTTGATCCGCTCATTTTCGAGATGGCCACCAATCCGAGGAAACGAACGTAGACGTTGACAGCAACCAGCACAGCATCAGAATTGCTAGTCTAGAAGGTTCAAACGTTGATCTAGAAACATGGGATCGCCGATCAGAAAAAAGAGAGTGCGGCAGGTGCAGCGTCCCTGCCGAACAGACACGGATACTAAACATACAAAGAAACGCGCTCTTTTCCTGAGAGGGGTAGGAGGATTGCCCCGCTACGACTTCAGTAAACTTTCAAGCGCTTGGTTGACCTTCCTTCTATGAAAGTGGTTTTGATCAAACTACTGTAACTTCAAAGAACCTTCTGCCTTTCTATTCGAAGCGGCCTCTTTAGCAAAGGCCTAACCGGTTGCTTATTAGAAGCTAACAGTGCGTTCAAAGAGCTTGTTTGGGCTATCTGCAAGTAACTGCCAGTACCAAAAGCCTAAGAAAGTGCCGGCTCAACGCACCAATCAAGCCATCCGTTGGGCTTGAAAAAACGACTCAGCCCAAGAAGGTCAATCTCATCTTAGCCTCACTTGAGATCAAATTATGGTTTAGCGGTTCCGGCCACTTGCCTCAACTCTACGAAAAGTGCTTTAAGACCCTCGCCGGCACGACCGAAAGTAGCAGCTAGAGAACGAGCAAGGCGAGGGGATCATCCAGACGTCTGTGCGGTCGGAATGCTGCTTTCGATCGCAATATCACCGGGTAATCGGACGATGTCCGCGACACGAGCAGACTCGTCCGGACCGGCACAGGAAGCTTTCGCCCTTACCAAGACTGGTTAAAGTGCAACGAACCAGATATAAACCCAGGTTCAGATGTAGAAGGGCATGTAACCAATCACGAGCCAAACTTGGTTAATATCTGTTTCGTCCGGTGCGGACGCCTCACGGAAAGCTGGGGCATGGCTTTAAGCAGTTCCTTCACAACAAAACTTCCCAGGCACGGGCACGGCGAATATCCACATACATACGAACGCTTCATCCAAATCGCCGGAGGTTTGAACGACTGGGAAGCAGCAGCAACCAATCGGACCATACTCGAGACGATACGAACAAACCCGCCGCATGCTGGCCGGTCAAGCAAACCCAACTGGAAACCCTCGGTTCAAGAATCCAGTCATACGAGGTCTTCCAGGCTTCGGGTGGAGCACCTCCAAAACGTAACGGGCATATGGGAAGTCAAAAGTTACAAGCAACTCAATACTTCCAACGCTCCAAGTTGTTCGTCGAGAGAATCTTGGTGGCTTGTTTCATTGCCCACGACGGGTTATTTCAAGCGTATTTCGGCTGATTCACCCTCGGACGTTTATGCTCGGGATAAAGCGGCAGGACTCCATCAACCTTCATTTTACAGTTCAACTTTCGACACAACAAAACCTTGCACGATCATGAAAGCTGTAGCGCTCGTGAGAAGGAGCAGGAGGTTTTCTTTGTCCCCAGACTTACAGAGAAGAAAGATGACATGAATGCGTCATGACGACCACGAGAGAGCAAGAGCTTTGATTCTCCTTGAGGATTGAGGCACTAAAATGCGCCGATTGAGCCTGAAACGCTGATTGATACGACGTCACTGCGGATTGCACAAGCCTTCAGATCGACGTGCGAAGAGCAGGACAACAAAGTCGCCATCTTCTCGCAACATACGGGTGCGAGGCATCAAAGGCCGCTGCGCTAACACGGAAACGGTCCGCGACTTGACCTTTTCTGTATCCAGCAAGGCCTAGGTCGAATTGTCAGAACAAGTACCTAGCACGGAACAAACCAGGCGCAGCGCTTGCACGCTTCCGCCATGCAGCATTCTGTCGGATTCTTATTCTGATCGAGCTGAAGCTACTTCTTCTCAAGTGCACTCTAGAAAGTACCTCAATCACAAACTCAAATGTCAGCGCGGTCGCCAAATGCTCCCGCAATATGGACGTCGGACGGCGGCGCTTCCCTCTGCTTAAAGTGCGGGCTCCAGGGGGAAACGAAAGCAGCCCACCTTGTGATTTAGAAGCGTCTTCCAATGCTAGGTCACAGCGAACATAAAACTACAAGATGGTTTTTTTAGAAAACTCAAGCGAAGTAGAATTTGTCCTTCAAAATAAAGAGCCTGCAGATTGGCCAGAGTGAAAAGTTTAAGTTTTGAGTGTATCTCGCGACAGGTCCGAGCAGTGCAAAGGCGACACAAGGATGCTGGAACTTGCAGAACAGCAACTTACTGTGCCAATCACAAGCTCACGTTATTTCATTCTGGGACAGACGTTATTGGATGGCATCCCTAGAAAAGCGGCTTAGATGATCACACCTCCCTGGTTGGGCTCCATCAAGAATGGCCCATTCAGTCGTTCCGTTCGTCATGGCCGTTCTCGTTTCGAATAAGATCACATGTTATAGCTCAAAATACATCGGCATCGGATGTAATATCAGCGGTGCAATCGCTTCAGAAAAAGCCGTGTGACGCAAAGGCGTCTCTGAAAATGTCACTGTCAATCCATCCATAGATTTTCAGGGACTCAAGAGAATCAGAATCTGCCAGACGTCCGACATTTCGGCTTGGGTGCTGGTTGATCTCCATATGGGCCTTTTGGTTTGAGTTAAACTCGTTTCTGATCGGATACTGGATACCGGATACCGGATACCGGGTACCCAAAACTGCTCTTTCTAGCGCAAATCATCCATGTAAAGGAAGTCAAACCTCTGCAGACGTTTGACGGGGACGCGCAAAAACGGACGCACTCTCATCGACAGACTAGAAGCGAAAGAGCCGCGGTTGAGCAGCCCAATAACTCCGCTTTTGCGGGGCCAACCAATGCATCACGTGCAGGAGCTAGATGCATTCGAATCTGACCAATCCTGAGATGCGTTCTAGCGCAATAATGACAAAGGCCTTGAAAGTGGGGGTTTATACTCTCAGCTGGCTCGACAACCGGCAGGAGAAGCTGGTGGCCTCGTCCTTGTATTCGCTATCGCTGATAGCGACAGGCATCTCACTAACACGCCAACTTCTTGTGTGGTTACGCCAATTACTTCGGAGTTGACATCTCAAAGTTAAACAGTGACCTCAACCCCGAAGATTTCCTCCCTTTCAAGTGCAAAGCAGGATTATGGAGTTGTAGTCCGAACGTTCCCACAGCCCAGTTGCAGCTCAGAACCTCTGGGAGCGGTACGCAAGAAGGTACGGTCATTCAAGACCTCTGTTGGTTGTTCTTGCTGAAGACCTTAATCTCAGGAGCGACCAATTGCAGAAGGCATCTGGGCTGTAATTCTGAAGTTGGTTGGAGGGGCCAATGAATACTCCCATCATAGCCTTCGACTCTTCAATTTTGTTGCCTGCATCCGCAATTACTAACGATGGCTTTGCTGCTTCCTGAAAGGGCATCCTGGAGCAACTCGTTCAGAAAAACCGACGGACCAACCGTCACACTGCCAAAGCACTTGAACAAGCCAACGACAATTGCAAAGAATCGTCCAGATTATCACAGCTGCCCCAGACTCCAGGGACTGGGGGGCAAAGCAACATTCGCACCAGACGCAGAAACCGTAAAAGACACCCACAAGTCCAATCTCTGCAAGCGGCATAATTCCGCACACGCAAAAAACGGAGAAAGCCTAACAGACCCTGACAGGGAACAACTAGGGATGGACATAGTCGCACGCACCAGGCGTTGTACTTGGGATCTCCCGAGGCGACCGTCATGCACGCGAGCGCAAACATCCACTTGGTCAGGTAGTGGAAGTACTGCCCGTCGCCGTCTGGGTGCCCCTCCTCGTGCGGCTTGCCGATGCGCAGCCCGCCCCTGCAGGAGGTCAGCTGACGTCAGCGACTGTGTCACGCACATGTCATGCTTAGGTCACCCTTCTTCTGCTGTGCAGGAGTGCAATCGTTGAAAAGGCCCTCCTCGTGCGGCTTGCCGATGCGCAGCCCGCCCCTGCAGGAGGTCGGCTGACGTTAGCAACGACGTCCAGCAACATGTCATGGTCAACGTCATCTTCGTCTATGACACCGCCCTGTGCATGAGCTGGGGCGGCCCTCCTCCGCGTGCGGCTTGCTGATGCGCAGCCCGCTCCTGCAGTATTTCAGCTGACGTCAGCAACAGCGTGACCAAATGGCATGCTTAGGGCACCTTTCTTATGCTTTACTGAGCAGAAGTTCCTTGGTGAGAGGTTCTCGGAGTGGCGCTCCTGGTGCGGCTTGCCGAACCGCGCCCCGCCCCTGCAGGAGGTCAGCAACAAAGTTCTGCTGAAATCATGCTGATGTCATGCTCATGTAGCTTGCAGAGCGTGCAGCAGAGATCGCATCAGCTCGACTGCGCTCCCGGCTGGATCAACTTCGAGGGCGACCCTGTGATTATGTCTGCGAAAGGCTGGAACGTGAGCTTTGTAAACGCTGCTGTGCGCTTTGCATTCTGCATGTTCATCCGGAAGAAGCCAGGAAGGCAGATCTTGTGCTGAACAATCGCAAGTGCTCCTTGATTTGTAATTTGGTATGAGTTACTGGTACGCAACGGATGACAGTAATGGCCTCGCGAGAAGTTCAGAACTGTCGAACGTTTGGTCAATCAATGGAGAAGCAAACAATACGGCAGACTGTGAACCAACGTGGGCGACATTCAGCAGGTTTCTCTCAAAGGCCTTGACTTGGCAATAAAGAGATACGCCAACAGGCTTATAGATTGTTGCACATAGATTCTCCTGACACGACGAATGCAGTAGAGCAGTATGGAGGTTCTTCGAATCATTAGATACGCTACCTCACCTAGTAGGTTCCTCATCTGTTGCATTCCCCAAGCGCCGCCGCCCCTGCCGGTCCTTCCCAAGCGTGTCGTGGACCGTCTTCACAAGAATGGTGGCCTGCATTGGCCTACAAAGATGTGTCAGACTAGGGCCCCATAGGACGACCAATGTCTCCAACAACTAGGATGCCATTGAGTGAGCTTCACCAGTCTGCTCCTATCATTCATCCTTGAGTACATGCTGAGTGTCGCAATCAGCAGGTCAGCCACTGCAAAGCTCATCCTGATCGTGCAGTGCACAAGCAGTGGTATCCAGCTTTTATACAGCGGCAGCAAAAGATCGAGTGCACAGATCCAGCTGATCATAAAGCAAGCAGATTTTTCCTGGGCCCACCAACATCGACATCAGCCTTGAGCATCAAAGACATCCTTGGTGCTACTTGCAATCACCCATGACAACCATCCACTTGACGCCATTCGCTCAGGCGCAGCCAGGATATCTCCCATGGGCTACGAGCTGCTGGCATGACAGCATGCACGACCTGGACCAGTTTCAGCACAATCTGGATTGAAACTGGCCATTTGATCCAGCTTTTTCACGAATAGTCTACAAATGAGAACATGCAAAGCCTTCTAAGAGCCGCCAGCTCATAACAACTGACAGTGAACGCCAATAAACATCGGCATTGCCAGAGACAACTTTGGCTTGCTTTTGCACACCCGCAAGCTTCAAAGCTGCATGGGAGACTCTCCCTTGCTGAAACCACCTCCTGACCCCTTTCTTACCTGCTGAAGATACTTGTTCTCCCCCGTCTCAAAGAACAGAGTCAGAAAGTTGCACACCCCGAACGCATCAGTCCACAGGTAGCGCCCCTTCCCCTCCTTGTAGGGCTTTGGCGCCCACTTGCTGACGTCATCAGCGGGCCCGTACACGTCATCCATGACCTGGCGGAATTTCTCCAGGGTATGCGCATCGACTGAGTGCCGCCCTGACGAGGAGTTTGCTCCTGCGGGGACCATTGTGCGGCTGCTGAACCCGGGGCCCTGTGCAAGTTTGTGCAGAGGTCTCCGATGAAGACTGCTGACAGGGGCAATGTGGCTGGATGGAGGAAACAAGGCCTTTGTTCCTGCAGTTGAGCTAAGAGTTTGAGAATTGCTACTCTTGTCCCTGAAGGCTCTGAATGGATTAAGGAGGGACAAACCCTGCTTCCGGCCGCCACAAGCTGAACCGCCGATCGCTTCGAGTAAGGAAGGATTCGCAAAAAGAAGCGACTTTCCCGTCCTGCTCCACAGCTGGCACAGGGCCGCCATAAAAGTGAGCAAGCGCTCGAGACCTCATCGCTTTTGACGTTGTACCCCGGCGGTGCTGAACTTGAAGTTGAACTTGAAGTTGTTGGTCAGTGGTCACGTGTTGAGGTGAAGGGATCCCTGCACCCACTGGCGGCCCGCGGCCGGCAGCCGCACCTCTGCCACTTAAACGCCGACGGTCGTTTGGAACCTTCCAAACCCGCGCGCTAAGCTCGCGGCCAGGCGGCGCGGCTTCGGTGCGTATGGCGCGCGCGCGCCGGCCATATGTAGTGGAGTAGTACTTTACTGTTTACACAGCTGACGCCTCGTGAAGCCCAGAAATCGTTTGTCGTCAACACAGCAGCCGCGCAGAAGCAACCCCAAAGGGCAGCGTTATGCCAAAATTGAAGGATTGATCAAGACGCACCTTGAGAGCTGTTCTTCAGGCATCCATCTCGGGACGGCCCCAACCTGTAGCTGCATAGTGACAGGCACTTGAGGTGCGCTCCGCTAAGAAGTTGCTTAGTTGCTCAATTGTCTTGCCTGGATTGTTTCCGGTATCTGGGAGCCTTCTTCCCGTGCAAGCGTCCGTGGTTCTTGTGCTCGACCCCTTCTCCTTGCGCATCGAGACTGCTTTAGCCTAAAGCCATTAAGATATCAACACATACATATCTGCATTGCCAGAAAAGCTGCAATCTAGTCGACAGAAGAACAGCTATAAATCTCAAGTCGTTTCTCAGCTCCTCAAAACACTTGGCAGCAAAAATCTTGACGCTGCTCTTCTGCTTAATTGTTTGCAGGTGACAATGATATCACTCTCCACAACCTACCTCTTTCTGAACCAATCAGAACCCTTTCCTGAACTCTTGTTGGATTACGCAAAAGCGGGAGGCGATACGAAGGAAGTTCTTATCCTGAGTTGGCCTTGTGTAAGTTGCAAGAAAGAAAGAAAGAAGCATGATTCTGTTTCGTTTATCATGGCTGCAGTCCGAGAAGACAGAAGTTGAGCGTTTCGATGCTTGGGGTATTGGATCAGGAAGGAGCTTGTAAAGCCTGGCCAGACTTGCACATAGTGACGCACGTTTGTACTTTCTTGAAATACATGAAGACAGATCGTGCTCACTCTTCTACAAAGTATCCTGCTACTGCATCCAAGGCCCGACTTCTTCCCTGCTGCCTCTGAGGACTCGATTTGTTTCTGCAGCCTTACGTGGACGAGTATGAACAGCTTCCCTTGCGGAATATCGTGAATGGTAGGTGCTCACTTTGTGGAGAGGAGTTCTCACTTCTAAGCTTACCATTAGAGCATGAAAAAGTGTGCTTCTTTACGAACAAGACGCGCGCCTCAAAATTCTTTTTAGAGACAGCTCCAAACGGTGATGTTCGGTACTGGCCCCAAGTTTATGGACACACCTTTTCAGAAAGAAAAGATTTCCTTGACATCAACAGATGCATCAACAGACCGCGCCCCTCTGCAAAGACGCTGTCCTGCAGTCTCGAAACCAATGTGTTGTGTAATCTGAACGAAGCTTCGACAGTTCAGCATGCACGCTTCGACTACCCCACGCGATACTGCTGTCCGGAATTATCTTTGTTACCACAACTTACGAGGCGTGCCTAGTTCCGCTTGCACATCTTCTCATCTTTGGGTTCACATGCCTTCATCGAGTAGATGCTGCTTCTCTTATCGAAACCCATGCTCAACGCCTTTGGATTCACGAAAAACGGTTCAGCTAAATAATCCGTCCGCCTGCCAGTTTTTCAGGGGCATACAACAAGTCTCAAGAGATGACAGTGGCATTCACCAAGAGACTGATTAAAACCCAATCGAGCGACTAGTCCAGTAAAGTGTCTTTAAATCCACAGCTTTGACCAGATGTTCATAACTCAGCTTGTCAATTTCTTACCCAGGGGGGGACGACGAGCTCCTTAAACGAGACTCGCACTTCACGATCCGTGTGGATGTAGCTCTGCTCCAAATCAATGTACTCCACTCCGGCTGACACGATCTCAAATCCTGGAGAGAATCTTCAAGGTCAATGAATTGCAACATGTTTGAATGTATGTAGATGGACATACCTTTCAACTTCCTCGCAGACAGACCAGGGTTGCTCAACAAGGACCCAATCATGAAACAAGGGGATGCTTTTGACGACCCAATCATGAAACAAGGAGATGCTTTTGCCGACCTGCTCGTCTGGTGGCGACAGACAAGGGGGTGACATTTTTGCGGACCAGACAGGGAGGAAGGAAGTGGATTCAAAGAAGCCTTTCGGAGGTCTGCTCTCCCGTGAGGTCTTATGGGCACAGTCCAAAATTCTGCCTTCTTCCTGACAGACTAACTTGAATCCAGGATCTAGTCTGATGAGCTCAGCTTTCACGTCGCAGCCAGCATTTGCACGCGTGAGTGGCACCTGTGTGTTGCCCATCTCAAAATTCGGATTCGCTGGAGATTTTTATCTAACTGCCTTCGAAGGAAGTAAAAGCGCAGGTGCATCCTGGCAGGGGGCAAAAGTCTCAGTCCACAAGGGCTGCGCATTGGTCTTCGACACGCAAAAGCAGATGCCAGACGCTCGCGTACACGTTACTTGATGGGCGTTGTATACCTAGCAGCTGCCCTTGCAGTCGATTCGTAATATCCAGTTCCAGCTTCTCACGTTCTCTAAGGACCGTTCTTTAAGCTCTCATGGATGTGCAGGGGCAAGAAGACACGCAACAGGCGGAAGAGCTCGAACGACGAGCAGCACGGGTGAAACGGGTGGAAGCGATCAGAGCGCGGTGGAAGTCTGCATGCGAGTCGCCAAGCAAGACTACTGAAGAACGGTACGAGATAGAATCACCAGTGACTAAAATATCAGCGGCCCGACGTAGAATCTTCAAGGTAGTGCGTGCAACCGGTGTCAGCGTTGTGTCCGAGGGGCTGGCTTAGTTGTAATGACACAGCGGGTCCGGAACGGGGTTAAGATGGGGTCCTCAACAAGCCGTAGACGCTCTGGAGTTAATCTGGAAACGGGAACGGCCTGCAAGACGTTACGGATGGAAGCGGCTGTCTTGCAGCCCTTGCTAGGTTTCTACCTAGCAACAAGTGCCCGTCGTTGAAGTGTTTGAGAGGGAGCGAAACCTGTAGACGGCCTTATTCTTCTGAGCAGAGGAGGCCGTAAGAAAGAGCGTTGGATCAAAACAAGGGCTGCTTTGTGATTGCCTTTGATCGACAACGTAGAACAACTAGGGCCACGAGTAATCCAGGAAATCACAAGGTGGTGAGTTGGATCGGATCAACGTGGATCGCTCGACATTGCTCTTATAGAGCTTGAAAGCTTATAAGTGGTAGCATGTCAGTGCTCGATCTGATCATGAAGAGTGCGGTGGACAAATCAGTCGCTTTATATCGAATCCACTTCTTGGTTCTGATACTCAGTAGCCGAGGAACACGAGGCCGGAGCCTTCATCCAAAAGTCCCAGGTTCGATATTCAGATACCCTTGAAAAGGCAAGATTTTCACTGAATCATCAAATAGTTGAGGAGGTACTCAAAGCTTTAAGGTAAGTTCGGTGAGGGTGCTCGGGTCCGGGGTTAGGCCGGCCCGGAAAGGGTGGGAGCTGAGCGGGGGGCCATGGTTGAAACTCGTATGCGGTTGAAGCAATGGCCTGGCCGGGCAATTGGCGGGCCGAAAGCTTTGAAGAGGCACGCCATTCCCAGCCCTACTTTTAAGTCTGCGTGCTTTCTAGCTTCGATCAGCATCCACCGGGATTTTCAATGCCTTGTCAAACACAGATCATCTGGTAATATGAAGCATGCCATGCAAAGGACTGACTAGGGATTATCATTTACACCATGCAAGCATAGTTCATGTTTAAATTTTGTCACGTACTGTCGCACACAATTGATATCACTTTTTAAGAGCCGTACAAAGATCGATCGTACAGGGCTGCATGTGGGCCCAGCTTCTCAAATGCAGCACACGGAACTCGGAATGCAGCCTGACGTTCACATGTTTAAGCTTGTTTAGCGCGTGACCATTTCATGACTCGTTGTTGCATGATCCTTGCATGGTGAAAATGTGTGCATCATGCACATGACGCAGCCTGCTCGACAACTTGTAATATTGCGAACTCATAGTACATAAAATGATGCGTCAACCTCGATGGACGATCGCGTCGGTGCCAGCAATGGATGTAACCTTCGAAACATTGCATATCGTTTAATATTGCAAGAAGCTGGCCTGGCCTGCACAAGAATTGATTAGAAAACAAACGTCATGTAGTAAGTAGCAGCGACGGTATTCCCATACAAACCCTAAAGTAGGAAGTTCGTGCAACCTATCATTCGATAAACAAAGTTCACAAAGCTACTCAACTTCGACATGGTAAGGTTCCTGAGCATACACACAACGTTCACTTCGAAACGATCTCCAACCCGATACAGTATGCACGATGCAAAAAAGCGCAATCAAACCGCCAAGACATGGGAACAGCCTGAATAAGTCAGAGAAACATGAGACAAGTGAGCTCCTTTTGAAATGAGGATCGAGAAACCTTCCGAGAGGTTCGTTCCGTCTACCGAATAGGGTCCTCTCTTATCCGTCGTCTTTTTGCTGACGGCTTCTCTTCTAGTCGAGGGGGCTTTCCCTGCCTGACACTGACCCCCCCATTCACATTCCGCGACTTTTCCGCTGCCACGTCTCGCCGCTCCCTCTTCAGACCCTTCATTTTGGACAGCCCCAGCTTGTCCACCTGCGTCCGAGTGGATAGCTTATCACTACTCCTGATTGTAGTGTATCTCAAGGGTCAACGGGAATCGACAGAAACTGACAAAGGTGCTTCGTGTAAGTTGCCGGTCACAGTGACTACCGAGAAAAGCATGACGACACGTCACACATGCAGGGCCGCAAATCCTGAAAAGCCGACTCGACTCGACATACCAAATAATGACGCAAGCGGTACACGGTTTGGTCACGCCCACCCAGCATACAAGCGAGATTCTAAGCCGACTCCAAAAGCCCACGATGAGAGTCCAGCAAAACCTCAAAGATCCAGATTTTTCTGCGTGGATACCAAAGCAGAGCGGCAAGGCTACCCCCCGGCCTAGACCTCCTGATAGGAACCAACCGAAGGCACCGTGCGCTTGCGCAAAGACCTCGCATCTCTCATATGGTTCAGAATGCACAGGACCGAAATGCAGTCGCACCATCAACGCGCGGTCAAAAGCATACGCACTTACCTCCTGCTTGGGCATGTAGATCCGCCCGACCTTGCCCGCCAAAGAGTCCATCGCCGTGTTCTTGACCTGCAGAGCGGCAATTCACACTCAGCGACAACGCCAATCAGCCCGCATTCTGTGACATGTTTTTCACGAGCGGATAAAGATTTCGCAGGATGGAACCAGACTATTGACACATTGTTGGCATAAAAGCAAACTAGGGCGACTGAATGCTTGTGTTGTCTCGCTCTTTCCAGTTTCAAGAGTGCAGCGTTGAACGACTCCGATGATCCTTCCGCAAGTCCGACGACAGATTGCATCCGAAGTAAACCATGAAAGCAAGCGCAAAGCAACGCAGTTTCGAACCCTCCAGGCGACCACCGATATCAGACTGGTGCGTTTGACATCTCAGACTAACCCCCTGCTCGAGTAAACCGTTCCAACAGAATCTCGCCTAGAAAGCTGGCGTTCCTATTAGATTCAGGTCGGAAGCTGTACAGAACCAGCGTAAAATGCACGGAAGCGACCAGTCCCTGTACATTGGAAACATCATTCACTAGAACGGGGAACGTTATCATGCAAACCGCTCCGAGACGGCCGGGTGGCTGACGCACCTTCTTTTTGGTGGGCTTGGGCGCCATTTTGAGCGCTTCCCGACTGAGATCGTCAGACGGCGGCCGATGTCTCCGGACGGTCAGGTCCATGGAGGGGCCCATCTCTTCCAGCTCTATCCGCGGCACCTGTGCAAGACAGTCAGATTATCCTCAGAACTTTCGAAGAGGACTGGTTTATCTAGTATTTCAAGAAAATGGAGTAATACACGCCGGAACAGTCCACCTTTAACTGATGGCATTGCTTTCGAGCAGATCTTGAGCAGATCAAATCTAATGTTCGTAGTCTTGAGGTCCATTTTCTGAAACAAACCTCATGTGCTTCTTGGCCGTTTTTGCAGTACAGTTGGGTGTGCTCGCAACGGTCTCCTCACTTGAATTGCTGGGGAACCGTCCACATGGTTAAAGATATAGAGCCACGCTTTGATCAACGTATGCGCCTGGGCTGCTTTATGCTCGGGTTGGCCTGATCATTGCGTTCACAACGCTACGACACCGTGAACGAGACCGAGCCAGTTAAGTTCGTTTTGAGTGGGTCGTATATACGACTTGGCCCGATCCTTTTTACCCGGAGCACTCCCATAAGTCTGACCAAATAGGCGTTTCAATAAACATAAACAACTGACTGTAAAGCTCCAAGTTTCTTTCACAAGAGCGAAACGTGGTCACGGCGGCTGCTTTTAGCAGACTGTCAGCTCAAATTCCTCGATTCTCGTGGGAAAAATCAGAAACTCGAACGCTGAGAGACTTACTGTACTACCCGACTTTTTCAGTTTGATGACGCAGTGACGTATCCGCACTTTGCCGGCCGCTGCTACGACCACGTAGACTCGATCCAGACCCTGCACGGCAAAAGAAGCAAAAGACATGCATTGAGCGTTGAGCGGTAGGGAAGCAACTCTGTCGAACGGATGGCTGACATGTCAGCGGTCAACAGAGTTGTTGGCATAGAAGCGAAGCTGTGGTGTACCAGACCAGTCACGCCACTAATCAGTCGACGGATCTTGTAGAGAGGTCTTTGCAGAGCTTCTTTTGGAGAACCCAATTTGGCTACCTGCGGGCTCAGCGGATAAGGGACGAGCCTTGAAGTGGCTTTGTTTGAGTTCGATAACGGAAAACCCAGAACGTCGGTCCGCACTCGAGCATTACGCGCAGATTGAATCAGAAGAAGAAGCTCAGCAGGTGCGGCAAAGCCTTATTATCCGCATGTCTGATTGACAAACCGAACCCGAGAATCACTAGATAGAAGAATGTCTTACCCTCAGATTTACTGTTTTGACGACCGTTCCCCGGAAGAAGTCTAGGAGGATGTTCTGCACGGAAGGGTGACGTCAAGCTGAGGACATGAAACGTCAGCGTGACTCCATCTGACAGCAGTCCACACCGTACAGACCCTTCAGCAGGATCGGCAGGCAGTCGCAATATTCATTCCGACGATGAAAATCGAGTTACTGGGCAATTATCTCTAAGTCGTGGCATCAACTGCGATAGACGGCAGCTGAAAACAAGTTGATTAAGGCCCTAAGACAAGTCGCTTCATTTGGTCTCAACTGCTCGCACAAAAGTAGTCGCATGATTCGTAAGCCAATCTATATTCCGCCACTCCAGTTCCCCCAGCTTCCTGCACTCATTCTTGGACTCAAATCGACTGATCCAAACGGGGAACTCCTTCAAATACAGGCCGTCAGCAGATACTCGGGCATCGAAAACGGCCTCAGTCGGCTTCCAACAAAAAAGCAATTGGCGCCGGCTTACTTTCAGTAGCTTGTACTCGGGTTTCGTCTCGAACTCCTGCCCCGCGAACGCGAAGCACGGCTTTGAGCCCGCCATGACTTGCGACGCCACCTTTGGGAACTCCTTCAGGCTACGAAAGCGGTCCACCTGCGCACCGACGACAGCCGTTCAGAACCCGCCACGAGATAACCGGCCACGAGATCTCAGATGGATCGTCTGATCGGAACATTCGGTATTGACGGTGGGGAGAAGGGGCTGTCAGAACGGATCAAGGGAGAACGTGGACTCCCGAGCTGATATAAGAGACCCCTCCTAACTATTACCCCTACAATCGACGGTCTGGATTTCCGAATTCATCCATTGTGACCGTCGATCAGAGTCGTCAGAATGGACAGGGGGTCCCTAGGAAGTCTGACGGGAGTCCCTGTTCTCTTTCTGTCCGTTCTGGCAGTGAAGGTGGTGTCTGTAAGGCCCGAGAGCTATTTTTGACCCCACGACTTTATGAATCAGCCATAAGTTCAACTGGAACATCTGACCGTTGAAAACTGCATGGCAGGAAGCCCGGGTGTTCTTAATTACAGCCTCGGTCAGCTTTCGTTTACCCGTTTATGCTACTGCCGTCAATTCATGGCATGACCTCGTCACTTTGAGTGACCCTACTCAGACTCTCAGAACAGTACAATTGTGCGCCTGATCTGAAGGAAGAAGTCCATCACACCGTTTTTCCCAGAGCGCCGTGAAGGCAACATTCAACGATCAAGAATTACATCTGCCAAAGGTAGACGTAAAGCCCTAGACTGGTATACCCGCCAAGCTTATCAAGTTACCCGGTTCAGTGCGCAGATTACCCTTCGCCATGGACGATATGAAGGAAACTACTATCACGACTCAACATCGATGTTTGAAAGCTTGATCCGTCCGAGGGCTACCAAAGACGAACTTGAGTTGAATTCAGTAGTGTCCTGCTCGGAAAGTTTGAACCCCTGTGTGCTCTACAATGCACCATTTCTTCATACCGGTTTGAGCCCCTTGAAAAGAATAACTCGTTTTGCAACCCCTTGACCTTCAAGCGTGAGGGCTGAAACATAGGCCCCGGGACCATGGAAATGCTTCAGATGCAATTTTTCGTGCCCTTGGTTTCTATCCTCACCCCGAGCTCGACCATGTCGTAGAGATGGTGGTCGAACATCCTGCCAAGCACGAGGTTGTGCGGCCGCTTCTTGGAGTGGGAGGCAAACTGCAAACAGGCAATCAAAAACTGTCAATATAAGTTCCAGGATGTCACATAATGAGAGTGCACAAGCCCCTCCTTCACTGATGTTGTGATGAACACCGGAAACAACCACAGCCATGTAATGTTTCTTTTGATACACAATTTGCAGCAGGGGCCCAAATCGAAACTGACAATTGAACTAATTTCAAACTTTCTAAAGGCGGAAATCAAATCAAATCAATCGGGGGGCTGGCGGAAGGTTCGAAGGAGAAAACTACAAACCAGTGCGCCAGAAGCGCCCCTCACATGACTGGCATGATCACTGCTGAACCCCTCTAAGAAGTAGGCCAGTTACCACAACTCCATCGCGTATTCGCAAGGCTCATTGTCATTTGTAACCCTCGTCAAAACTGGATACCAACAAAGACTTATCGGAGATCCTCCAACGACAAATGCACAATCATTTTCAAGATCTCACACCAGATTGGATTCAACACTTTGCTTTTACCCACTCCAAGCCAGAATGCCAAAACCACAAAATATCACTAAAAATCGGAGGGCTGGCTAACATGCAGTCAACCAAGAGAAAGAGGAGCTATTTGAAAAGCTAATTGGGCCCCAGGAAATTGGAGCACTCACTGCGAACATACTGCAATCGTGTTGCTGCGCGAGCCGCTCAAGCGGTTGCTCCATGCCCCCCTCAAACGGCCGGATGTTCTCATTGTTGCGTGTCAGCTTTTTGGCCTGCTCTTCGAACCTTTTCAGCGTGTACAGCTCTGAAATCACGTTCTTGATTACAGCGCTGGTTTTACCCCCAAACAGCAGGAGTGCGTTCTTTGGGTTCTCATCCTGCAATTAGTGCGGCGCAATTGTGTCACTTTCGAGGACACTTGTGATTGAACAAGCTGAAAAGTGCTCGTGTATCCGTCAGAGGGTATCAGCAATGAATCGGAAGCAGATGGGAAAGGACAACTGGTGGGGCATTCTCATTCTCCATGCACGGCTTGATTGGGGTCCTTCTGAGATTGGGGCAAACAAGGAGAAATGGAACTTCAGGGTCTGCACGTGGGTCCATTAAGCTGAAATAAAAGTGGTTGGTGGTAAACACTCGACATGTATTATGTAATGCCGCAAGATAGATGGCGAATGCAGTGAGCGGTAACGCTACTGGCTTGATGGTAATGGCAGGCCCAAACCTCTGAGACTATCCAAATTTTTCCAAGAGACAAGAGGGTAGGACCAAACCTCTACCACTGCTTCATCAAGAAGAAGAATGCTGACGGAGAGTCAGGTGCCACTCGGCCGTCCAAACCCTAATTCACCGCAAATTCATTAATGCCACTCTGATCAAGAAGTGCTTAACCCTATTCGTCAGAGCGACCAGGGGCGGCGACACTCACCAGCTTCGGAGCTCGCTTTGCGAGCACTCGCTCGCCCTTCTTCGTCTTGGGCTTCAGTATTTTAGTCGCCATAATTTCTATCGCATCTGAATGCTGATTTGTATGTTGGATAAACTTTCACCACCTTTGATTTGGGCTGCTCCTTTCCGGCAGATAAAGATGAAACGTTCGAATGTGACCACCTTAAAGCGCTCCACACTTGCAACCAACGCTAGCATAAGCTGCGCGCTGTCACGAAGTGTGAGAAATGAAAGCAAACTTGCAAGCCGGCCTGTTCACCTCAGCTGATTCAAAGCGGGGAAGCTGGGGGGCCTCGTCGTGCCGCTCTCACTTTCTCTCCTCAACCGCACGCTAGCCCTCAAGTTCGTAAGAGGGTTTCCAACGAGGCCCACGAGCAGCGTCGCTGGTGACCGTGCCTCGCGGGCGGCCTCGATGCGCGCTTCGACTGCGCGGCCGCGGACTCGCTCTCCCGCGGCCGCCTGCCGGGCGCGGACGGCGCGTCGGGTCTGGTTGGCTGCACGTGAATCCTACGCGTCTTTCGACGCAAAAAGAGCGACCTTGCTCCTGCCGTTGTAAACGCAAAAGGGGCCCACTCATGCACGAGCAGCAGGTATCAGCGTCAGCATCCTAGAGCACATCCACAGCTCATGACCCGCGCAGCTTCCGAATTGAGAGCCGCACGTTTAAACTTTCAGCGTCAGAAGGGGTGGAGAAATCTGATTGCTCTAATCCTATGATGCGACAACGCGCATGTCTGCGCGAGAGCCTGGCATCGAGCTCTTACTATGATCGAAAAGATATTGGAGATTTGTCTGGCAGAAAGGGAAGGTATAGGCTTTGACGTCAACTCAAGACGATAAGACGATGATCAAGAGTGCAAATGCTCTAAGATTGCATTTAATAATCTCCACGCCAATCGGGCTAAAAGTCTTGACCGGCTCCCTGTTGACCAGACTCTGCTAGTTAAGACGAATCCAGGCAACTTGAGCTCAAGCAAGCTGCTTCCGGCAAAGCAACTCTTCCGAGCAACATCACTCGGCAAAGCACTTGGATCCACCTTCCATTCAAAGCGCCCATCGCTCACAAATCTCACCCTTCCCCTCCCCCCACGATTGACCTCAACGTCCGCACCCCCCTCGCGGGCACCGCCCGGTTGTGGCGCACGCACCACCCGGTCCTCGACCACACCATAAACCGACCCCCCCGAAAAAGTACCCCGGTCGAGCATATGGCGGGCCAAGACCAGCGCGCGGTGCTGATCCGCAAGTTCGACCAGGCGCACTACCTGGACTATCTAGAGGTGGGGAGGCGCCCCAAGCCGCAGCCCAAGGATGGCGAGGTGCTCATCCGCATGCTGGCCCGCCCCATCGATCCGGCAGGTGGGGGTTTGGGTTCTCAACGGAATGCTGGCGGAACTTGTGTCTTGTGTGGGTTTTGGTTTCATTTGTGGTGTTCTGACGGAATCTGTTCCTTGAGTGCTCATTCTGCGGAATTTACGGAGCTTGTGTCGAAGGGGGTGAGAATGTGGGACGAAAGAGTCTTTCTAGACAGATAGCGGACGGAATCCCATTTTGCAACAGAGAAGGTATTGCAAAGTGAACTTAGAAGCATTAGGGGATTTATGAATAATCCCCTCCGTTGTTGGAACGAAGGCGAATCATTCGTCTGGCAAGGATCTGATGCCAAAATCGTGCTTTCGTTTTTACGGCTCGCTTCTGGCATGTATCCTATATGTGAGGAATGGAGCTCGTTTAATCGAGGGAAGCTAGCATGGCATTCTCGCAGTTGGTGCATGCCTTGCTCACGGGAAGCTTTTCAGCATTAGCGCTTTTCTGACGTCTGCGAGATTCGACTTCCAGATGCTTACATGCTTCTTTCATTGCGAGCATTGCGTGCATGCACTGCTTTTCGTGCTAAGTCAGTATATTTAAGTCCGAAATACACGCTCCTTTCTTGAGAAGGGCGAAGTGTTTTGGAAACTGCGCCCGTAAGAAAGTATGGGATTCTTATATCGGATTCGACCTGCTCTGCGCGGCATTATTTTCACGAGCTCGTGCAACTGCTTTATCCAACGGACTCTCCCTTTGAATCTATCATCCCACGTCGTCTTGCATTTTGATCAGCGCATCACTCTACCTTCAGATACTTTTCATTGACATTTCTCAATTGTGAGAGATGATTTTCCGTCTCTGTATCTTCTTTAGGCAGCTTCACGCTCAGGGGCATCGCTTCTGACAGTCCTCCTACAGTTTTCCCGCTTGTTTCTCACACGCTTTTGGCCTTTAGCATTTAGTGGTCCGAAAGTTTGTGGATTTGAACCTTCGAAGTGCAAGTGCAGACCCCTTTGTTCCTTAGAAAGTCCCTGTCCTGACGTCACTCCCTGCAATATACTCACATGCCAAAGCAAGGACCTTGAGTGTGCGTAAGTCTCTCAGACTCACCCGCAGACTATTTTTTGTAGGACAATAAAAAATTGTTGCATCGATCCTGAGAGGAGCATTCAGTTTCGAACACTTTATCCCGTCCAAACGCTCCTGTCTGCAGACACTGTCTCGCTCAGGGGCATCTAAGTTTGCTCCCCTGCACAAGTTTGCACGAACATTTAACCTTTGTTTTTGCAGACGTTCTGTCTCTCAAGGGCATCTATCCTGGCTTTCGCCCGAGCGAGCTTCCGGCGGTACCGGGCCTGGAGGGCATGGGCAAGGTCGAGGAGGTGCGCACATCTCTATTTTCTTCCTTGTTTCCCTTATCTGCTTTTGATATTCTTTTCTAGGATTCCATTGCAGCCGCAGACGTCAGCACTGCTATTTGACGGCGAATTCAGTATCTCTTTTGGGCTCCTCTTTGACTGAGCGGAACGACTCAACCAAAGCATCTCTCGTCGAGGCTCTGTGGACCCGTCTGAACGCAATTTTTATTCCCCCTGCTTTCTGTGCCATTTCGGCGTCAACTGGTTGTAAACCCAGGGGGATGTGAAGTGCAGATGTACGCATCATATGCATAAGAAGGCGCATCGTGTCCGTTTGAGCGGATTTAGGCCGGCGGCACCGTTCGACTGAATATTGGACATATCTATTGAGACCCAATGACATTAAGGTCTGGGGTTGGCTCAAAAGGAAGCCAATCCTCACCACCTTACCGGATGGGGCTGGACGAGCTCTGGGTTTTCGATCCTGGGACTTCGCTATGTTTTCTTGAAGACCAGGAGTGGACGTTTTCAGGCCCCCTTATCGATGGGGATTGACGTGGATATGTCCGGCTTGTCTGGAACTTCCTAATTCGCACCTTAAATCAATCTATTACCGAATCCGTTGGATCGGCTAACCCGGTGCGGGTTCCTTAACGGAGCAAAAACTGTGCGCTTTTCAGCTAACCCGTGCGCTTTCAAATCGCCGCCGTCAAGGTCAAGACCGGGTTCTGCTCGAAGAATGTCTTGCCTTAAAAGCTGACAAGAAGTCCTGAAAATGGGTTGAGAAGAATACCCCGGTTCTATTACCCGTCCCGAAGATGGCTAATACGTCAACGTATCTGGGGGTTGGAAGCCGGGTTATGGTCAAACATGATTTTCCTAGGACACTGACTCCAAGCTCTGGAGTCAATTTGGACGGAGGTGCCAGGTTATCCTAACCCAGGTTCTGGGATCAGATCGAACGGTGCTAACCCGAATTACAATCCCCTTCCGCAGGTGGGTCATCACGTCACCGCCCTCGAGGTTGGAGACCGGGTGGTGCCCCTTCTAGCGTCCGACTACGCCAAGCACGGCAACGGATCCTGGCAGGTGAGCAGCTCTCCGACGGACACTTGGCTCAAATTCAAGCCGTAAACTCCGTCCTCGTCGTAAGAGCAGTGAATTCGTCTAGAAACGATCACTCGCAGTGCGGCAACGGTCCCGGCAGGTGGGCAGCTCTCCGTTGGACACGTGGCTTAAACCTTCGGAGTCGATATCTCGCCCTTCGTACCGGCAAAGAAATATCCATTCAATAGGAATTGGAACTGTGTTTCTCTGTGCCGATGTCTAGGGATGAGAACGTACGCTGCGAAAACGAGCACTGCAATTGGCGGCCTCAATGTTGGTTTGACCGTTAAGGCAGAACACGAGACCGAAGGTTCTGACATCAACGGAAATATTCCGAGATTTCCTTCCGAGCGTTATCCATTCTATCAGGAGGTGTGAAGAATCTCACGCTAGCTTTGGCGCGCTACTCATAAGGAAACAGGTTCCACTTCTGTTCCGTTTCAGCCATATGGCTTTTTTGTCAGGCAGATGCACGCTTTGCACAACGGATCCATGAGCGTTCTTTGACTCAACGGCAAACATCGTCTTTCAGCCCATCTTCTGCTTCTGACGCCAATACCAAAACTTCGAGCTCGCCATGTCTTGCAGCTTTAATCGCGGCCGCTCAAATCAAGTCATCCGCTGGTTCTAAGGCTTAAAATCTTGACAGTTGTCCTTTTTTCTTTCTTCCAGGAGTTCATCGCGGTCAAGGCGAGTGACGTCGTGGTGATGCCGGACAGCATCACGGACGGCGAGGCGGCGCAGTTCTTCGTCAACCCGTGGACGTGCCTCGGCCTCTACCGCTCCATCAACCCCAGCGCCGGCGACTGGGTCATCCAAACCGCGGCCACGTCGGTGCTCGGCAGGCAGTTCATCCAGCTGTGCAAGCACAAGGGCGTCAAGGTGGGAAAGCGCTCAAATCCGGTTAAACAAACCAAGTATTTTAAGCGTTTCAAGATCTGGTAAAAGGAGTGAGTGGGTCATCCAAAGCGCGGCGACTTCGATTCTCAGGAGGCAGTTCATCCAGCTGTGCAAGCACAAGGGCGTCAAGGTGAGAATACGCTCAAATGCGGGTTATTTGAGTTGGTTAAGGGTTTGGAGAGTTGGTTTGGTTGATAGGTCTGCGAGGGAGTGGGTTATTCAAACGGCAGCAACGTGGTGCTCGGGCGGCAATTGATCCGGCTGCCCAAGCACAAGGGCGTCAAGGTGGGAATGCACTCCAATCCAATTTGTTGCAGAAACTGGGTAAGGATTTGCAAGGGTGCTCAAAACAGGATGAAATAGCCAGGGAGTGGATCCTCGAACCGCGGCAACCTGACTTCATGCAACTTAAAAGTAGTACAGGGGCGTGGATTTGACAATGCGCTCGAATCTGAGTACGGGTCTGGATTAGACATACGTTGATTGGCTTTGGGGGAGAAGCCTTGTAGAACGGGGCCACTTCCGTGCTTGGAGTTTTATGCAGCCTTGGAAGCAAGGCGTTAAGCTGAAATCCTTCTCAGAACGCGAAGAGGCTTCTGCGCTGAGCCTTTCTCTGTTTCGAATTTGCTCAACGGGATTTTTAAACCTTTCTTAACGAAACGTGCTGACTTGTGCATAACGTCATCATTCGCAGACGGTGAACCTGGTGCGGCGGCCCGAGGCGGCGAAGGAGGTGCATCTTTATGGTTCAAACCCCTTTTCCCCAGTCATCGCCGAAGCGAACGCTGACGTGCGACGTGCTGACGTGTACATGACGTCATCCTGACGCAGACGGTGAACCTGGTGCGGCGGCCCGAGGCGGCCAAGGAGCTGCTGGACCTGGGCGCTGATGTGGTGCTCTCACAGGACGACCCGTGCCTGGCCGACAAGATCCGGAACGCGACCGGGCCATCGCTGGCGGTCGGGGCGATCGACCCGGTCGCGGGCAAGCTTACCAAGGTGCGCCACGTGGCAATCATGCATTGGGCGCCCGGCTTTCGCTACGGTGGCAGGCTTTGTGGAAGCCAAAGATTATGTGTGAGGGTTCGCAGCTAGGATCAACATACGAAGTGGGATTCTTACCAAATAGCAGGTTCCGCACTTTGTGCATCGTGTCGAAAGGTTCCGTTGTTTCCGTTTTGGTCGCGACCATCACGCCATTCTCGAGAGGCTGAGAGGCCGCACGGCCAAGAGCACTTTGTTTCCCTCTTTCTTTCGTTCCTTCCGTTTTGGATTTTTGTGATACCTCGCGAAGAGATTCGGAGATTCCGTTCCTCGCCAATGTCCCCAATGAATGCCGCCATCCCGTCTGTCTGCAAAATCTGACAAGATTAGTGCATGTGGAAGCGTCGGTGTTCTCAAAGCATTTCTGAGCCGCCTGAATTTCTCAGATGCGACGCAGTTAAGTGATAAGACAGAACAAATCGACTTAGTGCTTCATTCGGTGACGGCGTGCGTGTAAGAATTTGTGTTGTATTCGAAAAATCCGAGAGGCACGGTGCTCCTTCAAACTGTTTCCTTCCGTCTCCTCGCCGTTCCGCCGCCCCGCTGTTCCTAGACGCGCGGACAGAATGCGTGTGCAAGGTCGCATTAGCGTTCGATGCGAACATGCGACTCCTTTTATCCTCACTTCTCCCGACCGTAACCTTCTGCTTTCCCACGGTTTCACAACTGCTTATTCCATTCCGCCATTCCGCTGTTCCCCCGCCGCTGACGGAGTGTGTGCCGGATGAAGGGTGCGTGTCCCAAGACCCGTTCTTGGGCAGCGCTTAGACGTCTCAACTTGCTCATGTCCCCTTTTGGAGGCCACAGAATCTGCTCCCCTCTCCGCAACTGCTGATCCGGTCCGCCGTTCCGCTGATCCGCAGCCGCTGACGGAATGCGTCCGCGAGGACGCGTGCGTGTACCCGTACGCGTTCCTGGGCGGTGCAAAGACGCATACTGAGCTTTTTCATTCACTTCCGAATCGCGATTTCTTTGTTCTCCGCGGTTTCCGCGAACTTTCCTGATCCGTTCCGCCGTTCCGCCGTTCCGGAGCGCTTACAGAGTGTATGCGCAGGACCCGGGCGTGTGCGTTGACCTGGGAAGCGCCAAAACCGCCGAAGACGCTTAATACGTAATCTATAACAATGCTCTCCGCCTTTCCGAAGCCGTCTTCTCACTGCTCAATTGACTCCGCCGTTCCGCCGTTCCGCAGCCCCTGACGGAGTGCGTCCGCGAGGACGCGTGCGTGTATTTGTACGCGTTCCTGGGCGGCGCGGACGCGATCGTGAACACGATGGACCTGCTGTTCAAGCACGTGAAAGTCACCGGCTACTGGGTCTCGCGCGACTTCCACCTCATGTCGCGCGAGGAGCGCCAGAAGGAAGCCGCCACGGTGAGCCGCCCACCAGAATTTCGAAAGTTGTCGTCCTCAGAATTGGTAAATCGTTGCACCGGCAATTGAGTGATAAATGAGGACTTTCATGCATCGCCAGGAGGAAACCCCAACGATGAGCCACACCGACCAGTTAAGGATCGCTGACCCTTCCTTTTCAGAAGAATCTTATTTGTACAGTGGCAATACATTGAGATATGAGGGCTCGCATGCGTGCTGGACGAATTCCAACCGGAAAAACTCGGCTGGTTCCAAGGTGTGCTGTCCAGAGAACCCGGAAAACTTGCAGATCTTGAACCTGATCCAGCAGACACAATCTTCGCAAGAGCAGCAGCAGCCATCAAACGGACTCCGATTCAGAATCCGACTTAGCTCTTTGTGATTCTCCCCGCAGGGTGATCGACCCGATGTAGCAAAAGAACGACCAGGGCAAGAAATGAAAGAACCAGTGGTTGATTCACAGTCGACTTATCTTGGAACTGATGAGCTGACGTCACATTCCCGCGCAGGTGATCGACCTGATCCAGCAGAAGGTGATCAGCACCTCGGAGGGCCCGCACTTCGACCTGGCTGACGTCAGGGAGGCCGTCATCAAGGCGCAGGAGCCGACGTCCAAGCGCGGCGGCGGGAAGGTCATGCTCGTCGGCTGAGCAGGGTTCAGGGTTTGGGAAAGGCTTTGGTTTAAAAGAGGATTGTCCAACTAGTAGAGGTCTGTACAGAAGCTTGAATGTGTGAGCGGTACAGAGAGGCTAGAAGGAAACGGAGGTGTTCAGATTGTGCGTTCGAAGGGTCGTCGAATTAGGCGCCGTGTGAGTGTGTACTAGGAAAGGTAGAAAGCCCACATCGGTCCTGTTTCCAGAACAGCTGTTTTTGCTGTCGGTAGAGGTGTACAGATATGCCGTCCCGGAGTAGAAACCAATGAAAATAAAGATTAGCCCAGTCGAACCCGCCGATCGGAGACTTGAAACGCGAGCCGTTTTCACGAGCTCTTTGTAGAAGAGAGAGAACGTATATGTCCAAGATTTCAGAGTATACATGTTAGCACTTGCTCGTGTGGTTCTTGGATGCTCGACTGCGGAGAGTTCTGTCCTCGAATCTGATGCCCAAGCCGCTCTGCTCACCGTACGGAGGACTAGAATGTCCTCCCCCTTGCAACTTTTGCGATGAAGGCTTTACTATGGGGTCAAAGATTTCTCGTTTTCGAAGCAGTGAATCTGCTAGGGTTAGTAGGGTTACTCGCTCAAGTTTCGATCCCGGTCAACGCGGTCGACCCGGTAAGGGCTTCGGTCAATAGGATCACGAATACATATGCCTTACCGTTTTAGGAACATGTCATGTCAATAAAATAGGGGAGGCAAATATGATTGACAACAGCTTTTTATCAGCCGCTTCCAAGCAAGCATGGATGAAAGATGCTGTAATTATTAAGCGGTATCAGGCTGCACTTGCAGGTATGGGCAAATTTGATGCAAGAATTCGAATGACCAACTTGCACATATGAAGTTCTGCTTGCAGGCTAACGGAACATGTTCAAAGTACTTCTTTCGACTGAAGAAGCCTGATGAATCCGTACATCCGATTCATATCTCACATTCCGAATACGGAAATCACTTCTGCTTCAAAAAATCCATGTACGTATACTAAATGTTAGCTGAGACGTGGCGGGTCACGCATGGGCGACTGCAACCAACAGTCGTCAAATTTGTGCATGTTTGTGTTTGCGCGCGTCGTGTTCATGAATCTCAAGCTACGTGGCTCAAGCTCTGACTGAGTAAAGGGTATTACAATTCCTGGCATCAAGGATGCCCAATCAGGATGTCCATAATTCTACGGATATGCTGCATGCGGCGCCACCCAGAATAATCCTGAAGTCTTCGAACGACCACCCTAACGTGTGCCAAGCACATATGGTAAGCTTAACTGTCATTACTGAGGCGTTAACCGTTGTATACTGCGGTAGAGGTTCTGTGCGCTTCACTAATCATTTACCGAGGGATCTGCGAGACCTGCTTGGTCGGTCGGATGCATCTATAGTGAAGAAGTCGCCACGCGCACGACGTGGTTAGCTAGCCATGCCCCGTTTCTCTTCTTTGATTCTCGTTCTTTTACTGCGCGTTTCCTAAGTAGCGGCTCGATAGTGATCAAAACTGATCGCTTGGGGGAGCGCGTTCCTTAAGGTAATGCTTTCATTACTTTCAGAAGGCTCTTGCGGAGAGACGACTCTCTCAATAGCGACGAATCCGCTCCAGATCCCATTCTCCCCTTCCAACCGGGTGAGATAATGACCGGACCACTCTTTTCGAGTCCTCTCCAGATACGGTTCCAAACCCACGTCTTCCTTTCCGTCACCTGTACCCACATCCCCACTCTCGTTTTGGGCTTCGCAGCTTGACCCTCTCGGGGTATTCCGCTGACCCAAACTCCGGCGGTCGAAACGGAACGCCGCGGGCGGCCAGTCGTGCAGCCAGTCTTCCTCGCCGGCGGGCGCGCCCAGCGCGGCGGCCGGCAGCCGCGGCCGCGGCCGCCACTCCGCCAAACCCCTTAAACCTTTCCTGCGCCTGGCGATCCTGAAGATGAGCGCGCAGAGGACAAGCGCCAAGACGCCCGAGAGAACTAGGACGGGGACGAGATATCCGGCCTTGGATTTGGGCGATGTAGCTGGGGTGGGACCGCTGGGAAACGCACCCGGGGGATGCAAACCGGAGATCGGAAAGGTGGTGGGCCGGGGAGAATTCCAGGGTGCCGAAAGCTTAACGGCGGAGACGTTGGACACGTGGAACACGAAGGGCGCGTCCACGTAGCTATTTGCGGTGCCTGCGATGGGCCAAGTTGGACGCTCAGCTTCCTTTCTTGTATTTCAGTTAGGCAAGTCAGATGTGTATCCATCAAAGTTTCAACTTCATTTCCTGTTGGGTGTTGTAAAGCGCCTTCAAGAATTCGAAAGAAGATACCTGCAACTGCCAAGCCTCTGTTTCTCCAAGTTTGCCAAGTTTTAATGATGTTGAAGAACAAAGAAACATCGCTGACATTTTCCATACGTTGGACAGTGGAAGCCAGAGGTGCACCGGCCAAAAGCTGCAGGTCAGAACACTGATTCAGGAGAAAGTTTAGGATCAGTTCATTACCGTAAGGAACTTGTGAGTTGGTAATCTGAAGCGTCAAGAAAGTGTTCAAGTTCCGTTGGAGTTTGATCGGAACTTATCCGTCCGGGTTCCGCCGGAAGCCTCACCTGACCAGCTGCCGTTATTCACGTCTGAAGCGTCCCAAATGGAAGTATACCTGCAAGGAAAGTTTTGCATATTTCTTCCTGAAGATGAGAGTCCGTCCCGATAATTTCATTTCTCCTGAAGTCTGAAGCCCTCATTATAAAAATCCACTACCTTCAAGCCTAAAGGCACTTTTGCAGGTCTTTACGAGCTCAGGTGTGAACCTACTCAACGGATCGAGCTAGCTTTTGGTAAGGTAAATTCTGATGAGCTCCCAAATGATCATGTTTTGATTCGAAGTCCATACGACAGGGAAACTTCGAAACGGAAGGCAGACTTTTCCCCCTGCTTTGTCTTCGCCTTTCCTTTTTTGATAGTTGTGCAGTGATAGGCGTCACTTACAAAAAGCCTGGCAGAGTGGGGTATGGTAGCCCCGTCTTGTTGTACACGGTCCGCACCTCTAAGCCGTCGATAAACCACCTAAATTTTGAATCCAAAGGCTGCCGTGAGACACACCGGCACACTCGAAATTGGGCCGGTAACAACGAATTATGGTTCAAAAGGCCTTTTGAAACTAGCCAAATCTACATCGATAGCCTATGTTTGTTCTGTGCTTTTCCAAAATGAGGACAAAAGATTCTTCTCATCTTGCAAGCACTGCAAACAATCCTGATTGATTGGGTCTGATTTCACAAGAGTATCTAGACCGGTAACTGGAAAGCCGATGCGATTAAGAACTCACTCATCAGGCCGGGACGGATGACGATAAGACTTCAGGTATTACGGTGGTTCTGACTTTCAGGGCAACCAAATCGCGTAGCTCTCCGTTTGATTTTGAAGTCGACCTTATGTATCCTTTTTAGACCATTCGACTAGAAGTTTCCGACATACTCGTCATCGGCCGCTCACTTGATTCGCAGAGGTGTCCAGTCGATTTGGTACTCGTGAAAATCTTTCGAACAATCAAAACCCAGCTCGATGATTTTCTCGTTCCCCACACCGAGTGTCGTGGCGCTTCCGTTCACATAGTAGTTCACCTGCAGACCAAACCCAATGTTTCAGAGTCGCAGCCTTATCCCGAGGAATGGACCCATCCACTCTGGACTCATTCCAGAGGGTCAGCGTTTATGCCGCCACAAGAATGTTACTTTGAAAGAATTAAGATTCCGCCGTGACCGTCTTCCTACCATGTGCGGTATTGTGGCAGGATCTTTCACGTGCATGGCATCAGAGGCAGAAAGAATGCAAGCGTAACGGCTGATGTGATTGAAAAGAACAGTAGCTGTCCCTCATACAGATCTGCGGTTCCTGACCAATCCACTTCAAGCCCTAACCAGCCCACCAGAGGACTATCAAAAAACCTGTGTTTCGAGATGCGCATCCAATCCATCCAATGAGTATGCTAGTGTGCGTTCTCCCGCCCTCAGGTGACACGAAGCACGAACATCTACCTGAACGATCGACTTATTTCTGCCCAGCCACTCGAAATCGATCTCGTCTTGCGCCGGTTTTATCCCCGCGGTTTCTCGGCTGCAGAGGTTTGGAAAGAATCGTTCAGGCAGAGCTTTGAGAATCCGAACCTGAAGGTTGGAGGGCTCTACAATAAGCAAGAATGAGCGCAGCTCGATTAAAAGTCAGCAGAACGGATTCAACTATTTGGATAATGGTCAGAAATGTTTTGCGGGTACCCGGCTGCCATTCTCCCTGGTGCTCGCGGACTTACCTGGACGTGTAGAAATTCGGTAAAAGCCCAGTAGTGTTGCCTGCACACAAACTAGCGTTCTAAATGAAAACGACAATGCACTAGCTTCACAGATTCTGTGCTTTTGCATTGATGCTTGGTGTCTTCAACTTTTTGGTGTTTCGCCCATACTGATGCGGGTGGAACATCAGCATGGATGTTCCGTCGTGCTTCGAGACCAACTTAGAGCGAAGCAGAAGCTCAAACGTCAGCCGGTCACTCAAAAGTTTTCAAGGCAAGATTTGGAGGCGTCGGAAAACGGGAACTTCGTCCACCGTATCTCAGCTTCCGCGTTCTGTTTGAAGAGGAAGCAAGCTCACCTGCGGGACACTTGATCATAGCTGAAAAGATGCTGTACACGTAGCGCTGAGCGGTGTGAATGCGCGCTCCCGCCGCGGAGCCGCTCTTGGCGGAGATGCTACAAACGCATGCGATGAGCGCGCTTGCTAATAGAAAGATTCCATTCTCTTAAAATAAACCTCACTGCCTTTGAACCCGCTATATTGGGCTTGATTTGAGACTCTCTCCTTTGATCCATTGAAGTGCAGAATAATCCAATTTCAAGGAGCGCAAGTGGAATGATTGTTTGCAGCACGTGCCTATTGCTGGCAGTGGCCATGGCTGTTTTTTTTGGAAAAGCAAGAGCTGCTGTGAGTGCGAGCTTGAAAAAAATAGATCCTACCGAAACGCATCGGTAAGGTGAATAGTACTCACGTGAGACTTAAAGAAGCTCCTGAGTCAGCCACATTCTGAAGGTCTGCAAAAATGAGGTTTGAGATAAGAGATAGCTTTCTCATTCACGCCTGATGCACAAATCATGACGCTATGAGCCCTACTTGTATCTCCTCTCCATGAACGCGCAAATCTCAAGCGCTTTGCCCTGTATTACTTGTTTCAATCAAAAGGTATGGATTTCCGGATACTCACATAAAGCTTGACAAGTATCTTAGAACTTTCAAGCAGATGGGCGGTTTTCAAAAGCAACCCTCATGATCGAAGCAAGCCAGATGCTACGAAATTTTGTCTTGCTTGCATGCATGGTCAGATTCGTAGGCAATCAAGCGAAACAAGCAGCTTCAGCATCTCGACTAAATTGATGTTCGTGACACAATTGATCTAGGAGAGATCTCGGCCAGGAATTTTTGAAGAGCACTTACTGTAGTCACACCAGGCAAACGGGGTTTCCGCCGTCATGTTTGCGGGCAGCAGCGTTCCGTTGTTCAGATCAGGATCGGAAGGCAGTCCCTCAGGGTCCCCTGTTGCGTTCCGTTCGACCAGAAGAGCCCTGTGAGCGGAATCTCGATCGACCAGCTGAGCCTCAGCGGACTCCAGAAGAAACAGCAAAGCAAAAGAAACCATGGGACTAGAAAACAACGAACGTGCGCGGAAAATTTTCCCTCCGTGCCGCAAAATTACTGCCCAGAACTGCATCATCGCTAGAATGCCTTCGCCCCCTTATCAGGCTTTGTTGTTTTCTTTTGACATTCAAAACCTGTGTCACGCAGTCAACGGCCAGTTTTCTTTACATCAGCAACAGCGCCTCCTTTCAACAACCCCTACAAGATCTTTGTGAATCTTTCTTTCCTATACTTGGAGATCAAATCCTCAAGTATCAAGGGCCCAAGACCTAAGTCGCCCCTCTTGAGTTCTGTTAAAATTGGCGGCCGAAAGCAGGTCTTCCTTTCTATGCAGCTTCACGGCACAGTCGATTTGAACTCGCACTCTAAATCTCGAGGACTCGTAGTAGGAGGTAATCTACCTTGATACTTTTCTACTTTGAGAATGAAAGGGGCGACTCAATCCTGGTAACTTGCGTGATCAGTTATCTTGGAATCGTCTGGCGGATTGATCGAAGAGATACTGGATAACGGATATCAACCGTTATGAGAAGTCCACCAGCTGAAACCAGTAGGATCACCAAAGTTTAGGTCCGGTCTGTCTGGCTTCCCTTGCCTTCCGACCGGGCCGGACGTTCTGATTGTCTTGACGACGTCAGATGGGAATCTACTGTCAGATTCCAGGTCCACTATTCCCTGGCGGTTGGTTCCACTGTCGGTTGCAGACACTTCCAAGACTTAAGCACCGGAGCGACTGATATACACTCGACGCGCCATATTCAAAATTCTGACCCGGAATTCTTGGTTGAGTCGTTTTCTTGCTCTCCAAACTGGTCCGTTGGGCTTCAGATTCCGTCAGCTCCTACCCAAGACTTGGTGCGCAGCGCGCGCCGAGTTCAACTCGTTGGAAGTTCCAAGGTGCGGGAACTATGCACCCTGCCTAAGAGCGAGCCTTGTACTGGCTCGCAGGACCCCCTGGCCAGCGCCGAATCTTGATACTACTCAAGATGTGCTTGCATATATATCGCCAAACCGCATCATGGATCAACACGGCGCGGACTCGTGAGGATAATACAGAACAACACTGATCACAAAATGACCCCCCCGACAAATTGACGCGCTAAAGGTGCCAAGAGGGTTTGCTCCATATAGGCAACAAACATTACAACAGTTTGGAACCACGAAGGCACCAATTACGCCCTCGATGACTAAGTGACGCCCACTTGACACGTGCCTTTTGGTCGTCAAATATGCTTCAGGTCCAAATTGGTGTTATGATGGTGTCAATTTGGCAACTGTTGGGCGGATAACATTACAACAGTTTGGTGCGGGCATGGGTGATGCCCTTTAGGCGCCAGTTCGTCGGGGGGGGGAGTTTGTGATGCATACCTTCCAGTTCCGAACATATCTTATGCATAGCGCTCTGATTTGTAAGCCGATATGTCTACTAGTAGCACGTAACACGAGAATGCTCAATCGACGCAGCTTGGAGATCCCGATTTTCAGCGGTGGGTTACTTGGCTACGTCTTCCCACATACATTAAGCAGCCAACTTTTTATCCTGTATCACAATTTCTACTGGATATAACACCACACTTACCTAAACGGCTTCATAGTCAAGTTTCCTACAGTCAGCTAAGCCTGCATGGAGCTTTTATAACCGCTTCTGTCAGGGTTCATCCAGATATTGCTGCAAAGACTTGTCGATATGTCCGAATGGGTTCCTAAAGGTGCGATAAAACAAGCCCGATTCCAGCGTTACCTGCCTGACAATATTCTTCAGCTTTCTGTTCCCCTCAATCAAAGTTCTTTGCTTCGCAGCGAGCCGCTCCACCATGAACGTTAAACGGTCCACAGGCGAGACTGACGTCACCGGGCTATCACGCAGAGTCCTGCTGACGCACCGCAAGCAGCCGACATCTGACGTTGCCAGACCACCTCGCTGTCGCAGTACAAGGATGACGTCGAGCATCTTCTCAAGCGTCTCTCGCCCCATCCAACTGACTGGGGCCGCCTCTTCAACTTCAGAGACGTTGATTTCCGGTCCGTGAAGGGGTTCTATAATCAAGGAATCCCTTAGTTCGCTGTGAGCGGGAACGTCCGTGCTTTGGACTTCCGCTACATTGGCATCTGTCAATGAGCTCCGGCCGGCGACAACGGCCGCCAGTGACCGAGTTCGCTGATCAGATGGAGCATTTGCGTCCGGGAGAGGATCTGCAAGACATACATATGCTGAAATCTCTCATTTGCCCGGATCAGGATCCGCAGTATGTCCTACGCCTTGACCTCAACAGCAGAAGGAGTTCTGTTTCAAGAAATGAAAGTACGAAATTGAAGAGATACAGTCGCTGATAAGATTTACCGATAGAGAAAAGCGTTTGAGTGAAGCTCGGAGACCGCTCAGATGGGGGGCTCACGATACAACATCGCAGCTCAGAAGGATATTTCAGCCATTTACCGGTAGCTTCAAATTGAGGATCAGTACGATAATCAGTACTGGACAGGAACCCTTGAGAAATGCACAAGCAAGGCGATATATATTAATTGCCTGTGAGTTGATCCGTCGAAATGACTGGCGAAGACGACCTCAGTCTATCCAACAGGAACGTCATGAGTCTGGTTCCAAGGTCATCTTTGCCTAATCTGAGTATTGTCAGTTTAAAGAAGTACTCTGACGGATGTCAGTTGGAATGAAGCCTGTTTTTTCCTAAAGGATGATATCAACGGAGGCAGTTTGTAGAACAAAGATTCAATCTTTCAGGACGGACTCCTCCTTCACCATCATTGCGGTGTGCTAAGCATTAATGACAAAGTAGATCAAGCAGAAGGGGAGTTGAAACGATGAGATCACGGACTGACCTATCCTTGATCACTTTGAACAAAAGCTGCTTCTACAGTACTTATTGCAGTAGACAAGTTTGCATGCAGCGGCATCAACTCACCTGAATTCAGCACATGAGGCGGCCGAGGCGCAGCGTCCGAGTTGTTCTCACCAAGTCCCGACTCCCTGCCAATCTGATGCGGCCGGAAGCAGCTGAAGAAGCTCTGGAGAGGCATCTTGGCGATTTGGCGTGTCCTAGCTTAGGCTTAGCATTTGGAAGCCGCTCTATTTGAAATTACTGGCTTAGCAGCGCGCACGCGGCCGCGATCCGGTGAATTCCCAGAGGGTTTGGACACAGGTTTTACGTTCGGACAGTGCCTACGCGCGCGGCGTGGTCATTCGGACGGCCACTTTGTGGTGGCGCCATGAGGTGCTTTTCAATCCACTCCGCTGTAGGTAGACTTCAGCTGAGCACACGCCTCCTCTGCTGTGGCCGCCCTTGAAGTTGGGAAGCGATCTCTCATCTTCCTTGGTCCTGGATCTTGATTAGCCTTGCTTCTTGTTGCCATGGTGACATCATTGAGGCGCAATTCAGATTCGATGCTCCTGGAGGCTGAAATTCAGGGTGCCCTTCAACCATGCAGTCCGCTGTCCTGCCTTGATCTGAGACACGACTAGCATGTCCAGCACAAGCACCGGTCATTGGGCGTTTGACTCCTGGAAGATGACGCAGCAGGTTCTAGACTCGTATGGTTTCTCTCATGCCCTGACTGGTGAGGAAGCCGTTCAGCGGCAGATGTGCGAAACGAGGGCGAGGGAGCAGCAGAAGGTAGGGCAGCTCAGTCTTCTTTTCCTCTTTCAGATCGATGGCTTGCAGTTTCAGAATTAGTTGTCGGCAGATTGTTGTTGTTGATCAGGGTGTCATGAGTCCATCTGCACGACGAGCACAGTGGATTTGAGATCAAGTAAGGTGTCATGCCTCATGTTGAGCAACTTTGTATCCTCATCTGCCCCAGTTGAATTAGGGTTTGAGAAGCCCGTCGACATGGGGTGCAGCTTCAATACTTCTCTTTGTTTGGAGTTTAGCTGTTCCTCTTAATGTGGCCGCAGCTATCTCGCGTGGCCGTCACAATGAGCTTCTAGCCTGTGCAAGAGAGCCTGTGCTCCCCTTTGTGGCAATTGAGTCACGGCCTTTGCAATTCTCTACAAAGGGTTTGCAACCTATTTCAGCGCACCCACCTTTCGTGCCTAGTTGCATGCTCCTGGCAGAATCTAACATGGTAGATGGGCCGCAGAGCTCAAGCTTCGGATCTTGATATCTTTTGACTTAGTGGCACTGCTTGGTCTGATTGCATTGCAACGTAGATCAACCGGCCTATCTGCCAAGGGAACGACACACACTGTCATGTCAGCAGACTGAGAGTATCGGGTGTCATCATGATACAGCGGGCAGAAATATCCAACAAAGTGGGGGTCTTCTTACCTAAACCATGGGGAGCAACAGGCTTACAATTGTGGCTTTTTTTTTTCACGCATGGGGCCTCCACTTCTGCCTTAAATTGACATCCTTCGGCTTTGCCAGTCAAACAAAACCGGCGCGCAACCAGAAAATAATGTTTTTTTGACCCAATACGTGCTGCAGATGTGGTGGGAGAAGGAGCGGACGCTAGGCCCGGGGTGGTATGAAGACGAGCTTGAGGCGGGCCAGAATGGCTTTGCTGGGGGGTTCTCAATGGCTGCCGTCACAGCAGTGGCAAACGGTTCTTCCCTGAAGAAGCTGATACGCAAGGGCATCCCGGCGCAGTCTAGAGCAAAGGTAATTGCGTTCGGACCTGAAGTTTAGAGATAAGTGGGTGTTTGGAGCAGATGCAGTAGCACGTTATATGTCCTGGGGCCCAAAGTCTTGCAGAGTTCGCTGTCCGGCTGCTGTCCCGCTTTCCGGATGGAATTTGTGGCCCCATTTCTTATGACTTTCAGAAAAATGTGTGCAAAGCTGGCCCGTGCGCTGCTTCCAACTCCGGGACTCAAAACGGCCAGAAGAAAATGAAAGGAAGCCAAGATCGAGGGGGACAAGGGGGAAGGATATGAAAGTACCAGTACGATGCGAAAGCAGCAATATGTAAGCACGACGTGATGATGCATCTTCGGTCTCACAGGTGTGGTGGAGTTGTTCGGGAGCTGGCAAGAAGGAGCGGGAAGCTGGGGAGGGGTACTATGCGAACCTGCTGAAATTGGTGGAGGGGAAGGAGACGGTGCACACACGGCAGATTGACAACGTGAGTGCTCTGTGTTTCAAGTAGCAAACACCTTTTGCTTTGCTTGTGATGGACCCCAGGCGTCTTAAGGGTTTTGACCTGTCTAAAATAGGTTGGCTCTTTCCTCAAATCGATCCTGAGGCGTCCGAGAAGTTTTTTGGATTCATGCAAGGCTGCCAGTATGGCGAGTCCGCCCTGTTGCGAGTTGGCGCTCAGCGGTCTCTCAGACTCTCTGGAAACCTCTGTGCTCTTTCCTGCAGTCAAAATTCTGGTTCGCTTCAGGCATGTTGAAGGAACAACGATGCTCGTCAGGCCTGTTGAACAGAATCGAAGTCAGGGAACAATCACAAACATCTTCTAGGGTCAGGGTGTATGAGAGCCGACAGTCTTTTCTGATTGATGTGTCAGAGTAGATCTCTAATCACAACTGCTTCTCGTTCACACCAGCTTGAAATTGTCTGTGTATATTCTCTGTCCTTCTCGGGGATTAACGTCACCCTTTCTCCCAACAGGATGTACATAGAACGTTTCCCGGGCACCCCTGGCTGGACTCCGAAGAGGGGAAAACGCTGTTGCGACGGGTGCTCGTTGCATACTCCTGGCGCAACCCCGGCGTCGGTTACTGCCAGGTCAGTGGCACGTGCCTTTCTGCCTGCCTGGCCTGACACAAGTCCTGGATTTGACGTGCTGCCTGGAGCTTCCGCGGTTTTATTCGGAACTCAAGCCGTTTGGATAGAACGGGCTTGTAGTCGTCGCTACAAGTGGAATGTACGAGGACCTGAATAGGGAAAGGAACCGAATGTGAACGATCGGAGAAGTCTCCGGGCTTTTCCGACCAGCTCATACGAGCAGCTGTGACGATAGCGGCGACTTCTCCTTACTGGCCTCCTCTGCTGTCGCTTATTGTGAGCGGCCGAGGGGTTTCGGGAGGAGCCGAGTGCCTTGTCACCAGAAGTCTTTACAATTGCAACTTCTTCTTGCTTCTCTCTTCTATTGACTAATACTGACAGTCTGTCCCCTTGTCTACACTCTCTCGGTCTCTCATCTACCCAGTATTAGAATTAGTCTACGGATCTCTTGCTCTTACTCACGGTTTGACCCTCAATTTTGGTTGTGTCCTTCCCCCAGCTTTTGCCCTTCCCTATCTCGCAGTTGGCCTCATCACTCTCCGTTCCATCCTGCAGCGTCCGTACTATCAGCAAGTCACAATGACTCTGTTCCTGCCCGTGTATCTGTTTATCTCGTTTCCCTTGACCCAGCGCTTAACACCCTTTGGTTGCAGTTCATGAACTATGATACGGCTTTCCTGCTTCTGGCCATGTACTTTCTCATCTCGTTTCCCTGAACCCAGCGCTTGTTTCCTTAACCTGCAGTCCATGAACTACGTAACGGCTTTCCTGCTCCTGGTCATGCGGTCCGAGGAGCACGCCTTCTGGATGCTCGCTACCCTGCTGGAGGATATTCTGTACGAAGACTCGTACTCGGGGGTGAGAATAGGCAGTGAAGTCGCCCCTCTGATAGAAAACTTTCATGATCAAAAGTGGTATCACCCGTCCAGTACAGGGATTGCTTGTTACTTCTGCGGAGGGTCTACTGTAACTTGCAAGACCTTGCTACGCCATTCCGACGGGGAGTGATTGATTTGGAGAATTTCATCACGACCGATAAATAGTGAAAAAGCGTAGCTTGGGGCTGTCGGCAGGTCCTAATCAGACCCAACATATTCTGGCTGTGTTATGATACGGGCTTAGTTTTCGGTTCATCTCCAGAACTTGAAGTATCCCGCCTTCGGAACAAAAAGCTGGATCAAGCACTGTGCGCACTTGCAAGATTTGGATAGGGTATGGGTTTCGAGTCCGGTTCGCGTTTCCCTCTATTCCGCTCGGTCATGATGGAAAGGCATGACCCGTGTGCAGCCGGCTCAGCTGCTTTTCGTCGTCCCGCAGGACCTCTCAGGATGCCACGTGGAAACTCGGGTACTAGGGGAACTACTAGAAAAGAAACTGCCTAGGTGAGCAATTGTCATCACTTGGACTGTGACCCGTCACTCGTAGCCTCAAAAAGTCGGCTTGTCTGGAGCCGTTCACAGCGATCCACCTTTAATCCGCACATGTCTCCGCCACATTGGTTGAATTCCTAGGTCGGCCATGCAAGTTGATGGCAAGAAGGCGATGAAACAGTGCGCACGATATGTGCTAGGGAAGTAGTCCTTTTGCGTTCCGACTTCGTCGTCACTGTGAAGGCTCTTTCTGCATTTCAAATTGTTTCACTGCACCGTTTGAAGACAAGTGGTCCACAAGCGTCATTCGCTGTCATAGGATACAGTACTATATACTTCTTCTTGCGGTCGATCTGGAGTTGTTGATTACAACTCTCCTACCCGAAATACAAAATATCTTGCGTCAAAAGTCACACCCTGCCGTCGCGTGTCGATTAGACCCGTTCAATTACGACTCCCTGAATTCATACCAACCGAATCATCCATATTTTGCGTGTGCCACAAAGGGTTACAGACTTCCACCGGAGTGGCTCAATATTTCAGCAGAGCTTCCCCCAGAAACTTGGCAGTCCGCTTGCGGAAGAAGTTAGCCTACCAGCATTTCGCTCGGGTCCGTAAGAAGCCCATTGCTTAGTCAGAAAGTTGCCGATAGTGTCCGCCGAACTGTTGAACAAAAAGTCTCGGCAGACCCAGTTTCCGCCATAAAGTGCCGTTTTTCCGATTCGTTGCGTTCTTCGATGCAACCACACTCATTTGAGAGCCCAGATGCAACTTCGATTATTACGTACTGAATCGGTTGAAATCTCGATGCTGCATCAAACCGAGCCCTAGCCCAAAAGTCAGATAACTTTCTGTTCCCCGCAGGTTGGCGGTGCTGCTAGAGAAACTAGGGTGCGAGCTGGCGCTCCTGTGTACAGAATGGTTCCTCTGCCTCTTCGTCAAAAGCCTGCCGCCAGAGGTGCGTGAGCGACGCCGGCCCACTTCAGATTGCTCTTGCTGACTACGGAATAAAGTTTGGCTTCTTCTGATGTTGGTTCTTGCGCCGGCAGCCTGTGTCGGAATTCGAAGGACCGGCCGTAACGCGTTCTTCGATTCATTTGGTACAATGATTCTAGAGTTTATGCGAAGGGGGTCAAAGGACAGGTTCTAGAAAAGACCACGAGATGAACTTGGTGCGAAATACCTTGCCTTCGGCTGGTTTGCACTCTCTGGGGCACTGCAAGCAAGGGATTGGCTGGCCGAAACTGTGCTTTGGAACATGCGTGTACTTTCCTGATACCCAACTCTTCCGAACGGTCAGAAGTGATTACGCTTCCGGAAGCGCTTCACAAAAAGGTTTGTTAGTTTGAGCATAGACTCGTCACTGTCGATCGATAGTTTCGCTTCCCATCTTTTAGAGCACACGCGACCCTCTTAAGCTTGAGACGGGACCAGTGAACAGTCCCGAGATAGATCGGGCGGTCCGTATGGTCGGGCAGTCCAGGTTTAGTTGGACTTTTTGATTTTTATGAGACGGTTTCAGCACAGATTGGCGGTTTCAGGTCTGAGCATGAGAAGATGAGCGATGTCCACAAAAGACTGATGGGCCCATTCTTACCGTCTCTCTTTCGACTGTAAAACCGTTTGGGCCAGCTTTGGAGCTCCTCTTCAACTCCACTCGTCAAGAATGTGGGTCTTCTCCTTCTTGTGTTGCAGCTGCCGTTATGTTTTACTCAATGCATACTTGTCCGTTTGCAGACAACGATGCGGATCTGGGACGTTCTCTTCAACGAGGGAGCGAAGGTCATCTTCCGAGTAGCGCTCGCTTTGTTGAAGGTATGCACGGGATACCTTGGATACCTCACAGGTTTGCGGATCAAACATCTGACTGTGTCGCTTTGCCGTGTGCCCGAAGGTATACATGCGCAATTTCTATGTCGGAGTTCAAACGTCAGATCACGGCGCATACAAGAGACTGAGCGACGCCGTGATTTTAGATCAATCTGGAAGGATAAAGTGCTGGACAGTGTGCCGTGTGAAGGGCTGGTTTAAGGGAGCGGCTGATTTTTATTACGTCAGCATCGGTAACAATGCTGGGGCATAGACTTTGATTCAAAAGATTGATAGCTAGCTGTGCTTGTGCCAAACACCTACATTGTTTTATCCTACTTTTTGCCTGGGGTACTTACATTTGGATCAAATCAGGGGCTTTCGAAAGATAGAAAGCTGCACGGGGCAGCTTTGACACAAAAATCTCTGTTTCCTAGAAGGCGGCCGTGGTTCACCAGCAGGACGAGCATTTTTTTTGTATTTAGAAAAGTCCGCCTCTCAGTGAACACTTTGCGACGACTAGACTTGGAAAGGAGAAAGTCATCCGAATGCCGTCTGATGCGAAATGACGCAAGAAGTGACCGAGGAGACTTTTGTCCTGCATCGGTCCTTGCATATTGCGCAAGCAAACAGAAAGTTTGGAATCACATGAACGAAGCGGAAGCAAACAAAGGTCTGTCCTTCTTTGTCTGTAGATGAACGAAGCGAACCTGCTGAAGACCAAGAGCGTCGGGGAGCTGATCCACCTGTTGCAGGACGCGACGCGGCATACATACGACAGGGACGAGTTGATGAAGGTGAGCCGCGCGGCACTCATCAGCATCTGCAAAGTGCAGAATAAGGGATTTTGTAAAAGCCCCTCTCGTAGGAGGTGGCACTCCTGGGCAGTTGTTTCCAACGACTGCTTTTTGTAACAAGTAAGAGTTTGAGTACTAAAAGCGCCCGTATAGTCTCGTAAAGCAAACAGACTGATTTGAGGATCTGTGGTAAAGGTGAGCGAGCCACCAGAGCAGGCTAGAAGCGACAAATTCTGTGCCCTTAATGAAATACTCTCGGACAGTCGGCGTTCTGAAGACGGTATCTTGCGCATCGGGTACCATGTTGCTGAAACTCGGCAGTGGAGTTAGAACGTGTTGTCCTTCTAGGTGGTCACGTTGAGCAAACTGATTGACAGCCTAAGTCGTAACAGCCCCAGGAGCTTTGGGGTCGATGCTGACCATCAAAGTTACACGAAAAAAGGCCAAGATGGAAGGCGTGAGTCTTTTAAGCTGATTTGGTTTTGTTTGGAATCCTATTTGTATTTTGCCTAGTTGTTGAAGCTGTACACGGAGGACAATTGTAGTATGCTTTGGAACAGACGTTGTATCCTCGTCTGATGCAGCGTCTCCTTGCTTACAGGTGGCGTTTGAAAAGTTGGGGTCGTTTCCGATGAAGAGTATACTGAAGCAAAGGCGGAGGCAACACCCCTTGGTTATGGCTGAGCTTCAAGACAGATTGCGAAAGCACGAAAATAAAAGCTCGTAACGCTCACTTAGAGATCATACTTACCTGCACTGCTTGTGCAAGGGTTTTACTAATATAGGTGGAAGGCCCTGACTTCCAAGAGCGTCTTGCTCGGGTCCAACATAAAGGTGTCAGGTTGGATTATCATGATGCCTATTCCGTGCTGCATGTCCCGGAGTCCATGTTTGTACAGGCCATGATTTATGCTACCAGATCGAGTAGCTCCCGTCCGTATCGAGTCGCCCGAATGGGTATGCTGCCAACAGCTGGAGCTCTTTCATGCGCCCGGAGTTTTGCCGGCCGGCCATGCGAGCATTTGCATGCCGGCAGCCATCGGACCCACTAACCTCAAAACAATTCCCACTACATAGGCAGTCATTGGCGCCGGCACAGACACGCCAGCACCATATGTCAACTTTAAGGCCGCCATGTTTTACGAAAAGCTCTCTCAAACTGGCGCGGTTGTGTCGGTTGTTGATTTGTGGTCAACTGTCATTGTTGCATGATGCGTAGCTGGGACAGTAAGTTCTACCGTGCCTCTCAGCATGTGCAATTGTTACTAAAATTTGCAGGGCCGCGGCGGCCCATAGAACCTCACCCTGCCATGTTATTGTGATCAATTGGACCGGCGCCTTCGTAATCCCTCATATATGTACGATCTTGGTACGTGCAATCAGATGACGGTACCGGCCAAAGTTTGCCGTGCGCATCGTCATATCTTCGAATGATTTGACACAGCTAGCAGTCTCAGTCTCGCTGCCAGCCTATGGAGTGTGACGGCATGGGCAAACAACATGAACGGCCGGCCAGGCATGGAATGCCTTCAGGTTCTTTAGTGCAGATTCTGTGCTGATGATGCATATAATCCTGATCACCAGCACCGGAAGAAAAACGCGTGGCACCTACGAGGAGTTTTCTGGGTCTATGCCGCCCCATCTGCAACGATGGACGTGAAAGCAGTCGAATCAAGCACTTACTGCCCGACTTGGTCGCCGGCACGATTTAGGGACGGCCCGCATTTGCGGCCATGGCAGCGTGCAATACGAGCGAACCCCATCGTACGAGCTGGAGGGCTGGAGTTGGGAACCTCCCACACCGATCATCGGTTCCGGGCTTTTGCAATCGGGCTCACGAGTGCGCCGCCTTAGTGGAATGTCTGGTCGCAACGTAACACGGACATCACATGATCATATCCAGATTCTGTGCATCTACAGCCAAGATAACGTGCGTCCGTTTCATTTCTCGTTTTCAGGTCCTGTCAAAGATCGACTCGCGCTTCAACCCTATCGCTTCCAACAAAGTTGCAGACAAGGTCTCAGTTCAGACAAGTGTCAAAAGGCTCCCACGAACGGATCCAGATTCTGTCCAAGACTGAAGCCTGCTGACAGTGTACTGAAGCGGCATGGAAATCCAACAGGCTCAGACTCTACCCTTTTTGCATAATCTCGCAATTTATCTTCCTATCGGGCTCGCCTCCATGATAGGCTTCGGGGCTGCAGCCAAGTCAGTGCCCTAAACGCGCCAACATCTTTTCTAGCACTTCCCCGACCTGGTCCCCATACTGTTGAAAGTGCCCCTCTGTGATCATCTCCCGGAGTTCATGAACGTAATCAGGAGTCAACTCCCGATGCATACCTGTACAATAACAGTTAAAGATTTTCTCTGTGTCAATGTACCCGGCCCCTAAGCCTGGGAGCTCAGCAGTCGAGTCGACCGCTTCTTCTGCCAACTTCAGCAGCGCATCTGCTTCCAGTACGTCCTCTTGATCGTACCACAATTCATCGCTGCAATTGTAGAGAATCTTGATCAAGTTGCGGACCATCCGATGGAAGCTCGGAGCATCACACGCCAGAATGTACGCTCGTTCAAGGCCAACCACTGAGCTCGAAGACCGATCTTTCGGCGATTCTTTGGGTGGACCTCCTGGTAAAGAGTCGCCAGATCCCCGGTCACCCCCCTCTGTAAGCTGCTGCGTTTTTGCGGCCAGTCTCTCGTGCAAAGCGCTAAGAGCTTTCGAGTCAAAGTCCTTGGCCTTCTCATGGAACTGTTTGCAACTATCTTTGCATCTGTCATTCGGCGGATTGTGCTTATGTCCACATTATCCAGACCTACTATTGTTCCCCAGAAGTGTCCAACAGCATAGTCCACAGCGCTCCGGAGCTGGTCCATTTCCGCAGTGCTCAACATCTTTAGAACTCTGAAGAGAGTCTGCGATACACTCACACTGAATCAATGGCTTGGTGGAAAGAAATCTGAGCAAGAAATGATGGAACCAATACGCGCTGCTTGTCAGTCTTCTCAGAGACGCAGTTTGGAGCATATCTTGGTGAGCGCGGTGGATCATCTTACGCAACCTCCGGAAAAAGCTGGAAACGGCGTACTACCGGTAGATGCCAACCAGCTTAGTCCCCGGCCCCTTAGTCCATGCAGATTTCAACCAGCTATTGCGCCTTCCCATGAACAAAATCAGGTGTGGGACCATGTCAGTGTGGACGTGAGACTATGTGTCTGTTTGGCCGCTCCAACCGGCCGCCACAGGGACGTCACAGGTTGGACGTCAGTGACTTGGACGCCTTAGGCTAGACCCGCGTGCATGGCGCGCGGCAGTTGTGGCCAGCTAAACCTCGAACCCCCGCAAGCTCGGACGTCCGCAAGCGCCGGGGCGTATGCCGCGTACGACTACAGTTCACCAAGTTCGCTGGATTGATCGATCCCGGCCGCGCAGGCGGCAGGCGTGGCGGCCGCGGCAGGGCCGCTTCAAGCTGGTGGGGTTAGGGCCGGCCTGCCAGCTGGCAGCGGCACGGCCCACTGTGAGATCTGGACAGGCTGGGCCTGGGAGCCCGGAACCAAAGTTTGGTGTAGTTTGGTGTAGGGAGGCCTGAGACGAGATGGTCGTCCAGACTTTTCTTACTACGTGCAATGATTCTCCAACTGAAGAACCGGCAGTGTCTCGAACCCGGACCTGATGGGAAGAGTGAAGGGAGAGTGAAGGCAACCGCCACGTTCGTGAATACGACGAGCAACACGGTGACCGTGTGCTACGAGATGCCCAATATCAGTGTCCTTGTCTGATGCGGTAGGGGACTGATCCTGCAAGGCGAACGACATTTAGCGACAGATTAGTAGGAGCGAGTCCTTACTGAAATGCTGCTTGGTGCTATCGTGGCATGGCTGGCATCGACAGATGAGCTGTAATCTGGAAAGACGACGTGGAAGAGATCGCAGGCCGCCGGGTAACGAGATACACCAAAGGACCAGGGTGTTGATGCTTGCTAGGAACCGACTTCCACACTTGGTTCAACTTAACAATAGTGTGAGGTGGGACTGGAGAAGACCATTGAAGAGCCGTCGTTTTAAATCAGGTCTCTGAGAAGTGTCGAACTACTGTCGGGGTCCCAATGACAGTATTAGCCATACAATTAGCTGGATCCAGCTTGTATGGCTTCAGTACAACAATGAAACATCTTGAGATGTAGGTGGCCGACCAAGCCGCGCAAAAACCGAGAAAGTCTAGGAGCAGCTTCTAAAATCATGCAGTCAGCCTGCAAAAGCGAGTGAACTTAAGCAGGTATTTGATCTCCCAATTGCTTGGACTAGTCGCTTCCTCGTGCCGCTCAAGTTCCTCAGTTTGCACCGTCACTTGGCGGGTTTAGCCTAGCTTTCACGTGTAGGTCAGAAAAAGGGCAATTTCCGACCCCTCATGCAACCTTGAAACTCAAGAACTTTCAGCGCAGAGACTTTTTCTCAGGCCCGCCGGCCCCTCTAATTACTCGGTGCATGAGGCGACTCTTTCGCCGTGGCGAAAACAGGGCAAAGTTGAAACTTGAATTGACCGGACCACCATATGTCACATGCTCGGCCGCCAGGCTTTTTTCAGCTTGCATTTGGGATAACGCATACATGCGCTTCGTGACTCGCCGGCCACTGAGTGCATTACTTTGCAAGTGCATACCCTTAGCTGCACTCGACGTCGTCAGTCGTCCCGGGTCATGCGCCCCACTCATCGTGCATGGCCGGGCGTATACAACTCGGCAAATATTATGAGGTCGAGCGCGCGGCCCGAGCCCGCATATTGATGGGGCCCGTGTGAACTGATCACGGCCAGCAGACAAAAGCATGCACGTATCTATGGACGGAAGAGTTGTGCAGTACTTGTAGTTTCGAAAACACATTCAATGTACGATCGCAGTATGTACCGGCCAATTTTGCAAGGAATTACAATTCCGTATGCTTTTGTAGCCACTTATACGGGGAAAGCGAGCGGCGACACATGTGCTGCTGCAGGGCATGGGATGCCGAGTTGAGCTTGTTGCAACAAAGTGTACTCAAAAGCATGTAGGGAGGTAACTGCACACATCCTCATTCACAAAGCAACGTATCTTGAATGCGCGGTGGAGCTCGTCAAGACGGGCCAACTGGCAACAGCCCGCCAATCTCGGTTTTGACAGACTAGTCCAAACTCAGCAATGCAGCCGTCTGTGCCGTATAACCGTCGGACTCGGCTCAAGCTAGAATACACGCAAGTACTATACATAAACAACGCCCTTGCTACCGTACGCTTCTTGTGCCTTCCTCACTAGCTTGTCTAGGTCCCTAACAATGTTGAACACGGCGTCCGGCCTGCACAGAGCGACACCAGGTGTCAATCGATGGATCAGAGAGTGGCGTCGCGCTTCAGTCAAAGTCAATAGAAGAGCCCCGGGTTTCACCACACAGTTGGCAATGAATTCTTGCAACACAGCAACTGTTGACGAGGCTGCGGTGCACTTCGACGGGAGGAGGCTGCTTGCTATGTTGCAACCAACCACGGCTGGCGCGATGCCAGAAACTGCCGTCAGTCGGCTTTCAACTCTTGGCTCGACAAGAGGGTCTCGAGTTTTCGGTGAAACCGCTTTACCTCCTGCCTTTGATCAAATGAACGGGGATGAGGAAAACAAATGGCGGAGAGAGACTCGAAAGAGGGGAATCAGACAGATAGAGATAGTGGCCAGCAGTACCTGCCCAGCTACGCGGGCAGTCCTTCGTGTGACGTCAGCTCGTGCTTTTGCTTAACGACCCACTCGGCCGCAACATTCAACATATGGCAATTCAAAGCCTGACCCAAAGAAGTCTTCAAACCGAAGGCGAGCTGCTTGAGCGCCTTTTTTAATGGCTACAAGCTCTGCCAACGGGCAAACCACTCCCCTACGAACTTACGAAGAGACAGCAAACAAATCAAACCTTGTACCCAAGAATGCACGCACCTGGCCAGCTTGAGAGCCCGCTCCTTCATCGCGGTCAGCTCGCCCTTCTTCTCCCCGAACCACTCGGCCACAATGGTGGCGATCTCGGTGGGTACGTCACTGTACTTGCCACAGCCATTCTCCACGACGAACGGCACGTTTCCCGTCTCCTGCAGTATTTGAAACGCTGACGGTGAGACTTTTTTTAGAACGTCTTAGGAAAGACTTGTGGTTGACAGCAGTAAACAGGTGGTACGAATCGATCTCGAATACTGACCGTGCCGTTTAAGATCTAGCCGCCGTTGCGTGAACGGCTTGCTCAGCAAGAGCAATGTAAGCTTTATCAATCCACGACAGTTTTACCTTACTCAAACACAACCGATTGCCAGGTATGTGACAGGCGGTGTGGGCAAGGCCCAGGTAGAAACTGCACTCTAAAGTCGTGCCTTGTACAGCTGGGAAGAGGAATCAAAAGAGGTGGTGGGGCATTGGCTCCAGGGTGCATAGAAGTGAGAGGCCTTACCTGCCCGGCAATAAAGTCATTGAGTACGATGGGCAGTCCCCGGATGAGCGCCTTGAAATCGAAATTGTACCTTGTATGTGTGGGAAAGAAGAAGTAAAACAACAGGTTGAGATTAGAGTTCAGGGTGCATAGAAGTGACAGGGCCTTACCTGTCCAGCGATGAAGTCGTTCAGCACGATGGGCAGTCCCCGGATGAGCGCCTCAGCGATCGTCCCCGGCCCTGCCTTGGTGATGACGCAATCCGAGGCGGCCATCCACTCGGGCATGTTCTTCACGAAGCCCTGCACCTGCACGCATGAAGAGTATGATAGTCTGAAGCTGTTGACAATGATGTCACTGCTTTGAGATGAGATTTGGAGTGGCCGAGCTCACCCGAGATACGGCCTGCAATCGGTTTGGCCAAGGAAGTTCGCAAGATATGGGTCAACGTGCTTGGGCACATAAATACTGCTTTGAAATTTGAGTAGTGCAAGCGAACACGCCAAGATCAGACAATCTGACGACGGACAAGAATTCAAGAAGGCACCTCAATAATATCAGAGACGTCGTTGAATAATTGCGCAATAGATAAAACAGTTACGGTGCTTGGAACGTAGTCCCGGAGTTGCATCAGCTTCGCCATTGACTGCAACCGAACAAAGAGGCACGAAACACATACAGTGTCGGCGAGTCGCTGCCGCAAATCGCCCGCCGGTGCTTGCTTCCGACGAGCAAAACCAGAACCAGAGAATTAAGGAAATTGTTCCCTTCACTTCTTGCTTGGCAGTGCAAGGTCAGATCCTAAACCAAAAGGGTGGTCCTCAAAAAGGTACGATATCTGTCGCATCAAAAACAGAGCCAGAAAGTTGGTCTTCCCAAAAGGTACTTACCTGCGTCGGCATGGGCCAATCCACCGCTTCTAGGATGGACTGCAGCTTCTTGTTTCGCCCGCAAATGATGATCAGCTGCCCCAAGGGGGCGGTTCCGCTCGTCCCCCCGAGGACGTCCGCAAGTGCCCGGGCCGTCGCTTCTACGGGGCCCATGCCCTCCCCCCCGCCGATGAGAATGACAGCTGGCAGCGTCGGGTGCATCGCGAGCTGCTGCCGAAGCTCTTTCTGCAAAGGGGGGCACGGAAAGGCAGAAGTGAGGGGAGGGCAATGAAGGTAAAGGTCAGAAGGGCACATGTCCTGCCCTACTTCCCGCCAATGAGAATGACAGCTGGCAGCATCGGGTGCATTCCGAGCTGCTGCGGAAGCTCTTTCTGCAATAGGGGGGGACGGAAGATTTAAATTGATTTCTGCTTTCGCAGCTTACTGAAGAGCGAGCGAGTGACTTTTGAGAGATGCACGGAAACACACGAGGGTTTGCTGAAGAGGAAGGCAGCAGAAAGTTTAAAAGATAATAGTGGAGACTCACCCTGGGTGGTAGCTTGCACGCCATATCAGGGCAGATGGGCAGTTCATTGAAATGCAACTCAAACAACTATTGCAGTCTGGAGATCTAGGAAGGCGAAGAATGGAGACACAAGAAGACAAGAGAAGAAGCGCGAAAAGGCAAAAAACACGGAAACCGCTGCGAAAAAATAGAATCGAGCACCCTACAATGAGAAATGTCGAACCCTCGTCCCGTGTGACAGCTTCCGCACGAGGTCTGGGCGGACGGGCAGTCCGGGCACGACTGACTACACTGTCAGGATTTTATAGACGCAGAACAGCAGGCAAAGACACGCGTATAGAGTGGGGAGGGGTGAGTGGAAGAGCAGACGGAACGGAATCGAAAGAAGGTTGTGCCTTACCCTGGGCGGTAACTTGCGCACAAAGTCTGGGCGGATGGGCAGACCGTGCAGTCGGACCTGGATCAGTACTTGAGACTAGAGAAACCTTACAAGTACGAAAAGCAGAGGGAAACGCGGGATCGACGAAATGGAACCAGAAGAAACTCAAGCCTTACCCTGGGCGGTAACTTGCGCGCGAAATCTGGGCGAATGGGCAGACCGTGCACTCGGACCTGGCCCGGTTGGAGGCCCGCCTTGAGCGCGCGCTCGCCCACCCTGTCCGTGGGGCAGAAACACGTCGTCACCAGCTTGTGGAACCTGCGGCCACGTCACCATGACGTCAGTATGAGGAAACCTTCTTTGGGGCAGTTGATTCAAGTACATAGCTCTTAGAGTGGACGGCTTCAGCATCTGCGCTCGCTGCGACCTTCCATTGGACCGAGCGAGTAGTTTCAGCTCGCGAAACTTGCTCTCAAGAGGACGGAGATGCGTCGTGACGGGGTGCAGCGATCCGAAGTCGTTTCAAATGTTGCTTTCCTTAAATATTTCTCGTCTTTCCGAGCCATCGCAAAAAGCATGGACGTATTTGTGGTGAGATTTGGGCAATAGCAGAGCGAAATCGACATGCATTCGTTCATCTTGTGAGTCTGTATAGAAGAGCGAAGGCATTGCAGAGAAACTGCTGCAAAGCTCAACACTGCAAGTAGGGCGCACATCATCCGGTGCCGCCAGGAAGGGACGAGGAAAAATTGAGCAGATTACAGCACAAAACATACAAAAAGACAACCTTCAAAGTTCGGGATGAGGGGAAACGCACAAAGTTGTCAATCATTCCTTTCGTAACCAGAAACAAAGAAAAGTAGGTGAGTGGAAAGACGACGTTTAGTGAAGAGGAACCGATACGGGAACGACAGGGGGTCAGGAAACGAAGAAGCTCGACAAACAAAAGCAGAAAGAAAGGGATGAAACTAGAGCGGGGAGAAAGGGCGTTCACCATGTGGCGTGGCAGGTGTCAAGGTGGCATTCTTTCTCTGGGGCCAGAACTACTGAACAAAGAAATCAAGTCAACGCGCACAGGGTACAAAGCCAACTTTAAGAACAATAAATCTGGGAAAACGAGCCGTCATCAAGTGGGGTGCCAAGTAAGAGAAACAGACGACCGCTTCGTAAGCAGAACCGGTAAAAACAGACACGTGAGTCAACCCACAAATAAGTAAGAGAATAACTCATACCAACCAGGGAACGAACTAGAGCGGGGTCAAAAGGTATTTACCAGGTGGGGTGGCAGGTGTCGAGGTCGGTAATGACGGTGGTGAAGGGGATGCGGTGGAGGAGGCCGCGCGAGCGGAGGACGCGCAGGGGCACGTGCTGCATCAGCGGGTGCACGCTAACGATGATGTCAGGCTTGTACTTGACGAACGCCTTGGCCATCTCCCTGCAGAAGAGGATACAATTGGAGCTGATCAAAAAGTTCGACACGAGGCTCTTCAACATGGCCGGACGTATTTCCCTTCGATTAGGGACACGACCGATTGTGTCCGGTTTGGACATGACGAACGCCTTCGCCATCTCTCTCAGTGCAAAAAGAGAGGCATCGTGTTGGAAAGATTGACGCAATCTCCTTCTTCCCAACTGCTGATAGTTTTAAAAATGTCAGGCTTGTACATAACGAACGCCTAAAACGCCTAGTGTCTTTCTTTCCGGATAACCCCGTCGGAAACACTTCTACGCAGGCCTACAAAAAGTAAGGTGGGTTGATCGTGCTTGTCTCCGGCCAATGATACCAACGCCTTGGCAATCTCCTTCAAACGTGCAACAATACACCCACCGAGAGGAGAGAGGGGGCTTCTGAATCCGGTCAATTGTTCTTCTTCAATTGTTAAAAGCCCAGTGATTGGACGTGAGCTTGACACGAATCGTCCTGGGAAACATGCACCAGGTTACGAGAAAAGACACGGGCCACTAAACTGTGGTCGAAAGAACTTCTTTAGATCTGCTCGTATGCCACCGTTCGACATGCTGCTAACAAGGAGGTCCCTGGGACGAGAAAAGGTGCGCCACATCAAAAAGTCGACTTGGACCTCTGAGATGTGCAACGTGGTTCACTGCCATATTTTGTAAATGCTGATTCCAAAATCCTCGACGTGAAACTCTCACACGAGGGTCTGTGCTTTCAAGTTGCCTGAGTTTGGAGAGGCCTTCGCTGTGAGCTGTGTCGTTACGCATAGAGTTCAGGACAGACTCGATGAAATCAACCAACGATACAGGAACGGAAACGAGTCACAACAAAACGGGGAAAGAGCGCTTGCCTGGCAACGAAGGCGGTGGTGGCGACAAAGTGCGGCTGGTGGATAAATTTGGGGCTGCTGAAGTCGAACGCGAGCTTCCAGATCCACTCGTGCTTCACCATGAAGCTGTAGCTGTCGGGGAACGTGTTGAACGGCCACGGGGTGTGCTCCTTCCACATATCTACGATGATCACCTGCCAAAGGCCGCCGATTCAACCTTTAGAAGTCTTGGAAATTCACTGATTCACTGGTTGGGCCCATATCGAAAAGTGAGTCGCCAAAGGGTCTTGGTTGATCATTTGACGGTAAAATGACTGGAAGTAAGAAGAAAATCAAAGGGACGTGTTGAACAGCCACAGGGTGTGCTCCTTCTACATTATACAATGATTACTTGCCCAGATTAAGCTTCCGGCATCAAGAACTCTAGAATTCTACACTTTCTGGGCCTGCAGCATAGGGTGAGTTCGTACAAGGGTCTTGTAGATTTGGTCGGTCGATGGTAAGCTGAGTGGAAATAAATGTGGAAATGAAGGAACGTGTTGAACGGCCACGGCGTGTGCTCCTTCCACATGTCTACGATGATTAGGACGCAGGGTCTGGGTTCCAGCTTTGAGAACTCTAAAATTCTACACTTTTGGGTGAGTTCGTAAAAGGGTCTCGTGAATTTGGTTCAGTCGATGGTAAGATGAGTGGAAATTAAAGTGAAAATGAAGGTACTTGTTAGAACGGCCACGGCGTGTGCTTCTTCCACATGTCTGCGATGATCACTTGCGAAGGGGCGCAGTGCCTCAGTTCCAGCTTTGAGAACTCCAAAAATCTACACTTGCCGGGCCCGCAAGTAGGGTGAGTTTGTGAAAGGGTTTCGTTCTCTGGATCATTCGACGGTAATATGAGCGAAAGGCAAAGGATGTCAAGGAACGTGCCAGAAGTGGGTTTGAAGTGTCTGGGAGCACATTGTAAGGTGGACGCATAAAAGTGAACTCTTGATGAAGTGGAATATGTCGAATATTCACGGCATGTGCTCCTTCCACGTGTCTACAAGGATCATCTGCGGAGTGGCGGATGGTCTGATTCCCAGCTTTGAAAAGATCCTGGAGGTTCACACTGGTGGGCCAACAGCGAAGGTGGCCAAAGGGTCTGGGGGTCTTAATACGTTGACGGTACGATGAGTGGGAGTCGAAACGAGATCAAGGAACATGTTGAACGGCTATAGCTTGTGCTCCTATCAGATGTCCACGATAAATAAACAACTATGACGGGGTGCAGAGTTCCAGTCTGCGCTGTAAGACCTCGGTATTGCTGTCAGCAGATGAAGCAAACTATCATTTGGATATTCGGATGACAGCGAAGTACTTCAGCAGACTGACCCGAATCTTCCATATCTAAAATGTAATGTGTCCCCCATGAGAAGCCTTCAGTCAGTTGCTTTGAAATTGGTCGGTGACAGAAGTCGATCTTCAAAGTCCGAATCGGAAGCCTCGCTTTTCTGTTGTAGACAAGGAGGTCTACCGCGCGCACCTATCACCACCCAATGGCAACGCAGCTTTGCCAGAGCAAACAAAAGAACTGCCGTGCGCCCTTCAACAACCCTTTACAGCTGGGATCAATGCCCCGTTTAATCCAGTCGGATTCAGCATCAGACACCCAGTACTCAACACCATTCTAATGATTTCAACGTTGCAAAGGAAGGTGAGGGGTGCCATCAGAGGGGCAAAAAGTGTTATTATAGCATTGGGCCTTCACATCATCAGTGCTGCCTGAGAAAAACGACGGGGAAGGTCGCAACGCATCTTAAGCAGCACTGCGATGCAACACCTGCCAGGTTTTATAACGGTCGCACTGTGTTTTACAGTCCTACGCATGTGGCTGCTATTGCAGATGGCGGACCAGACTGGTGTAGCTTTGCAGTCAGTTTTATCTGGATGTACTCTCACTTTACAGGCTGACACGTGTGAGTGGAAAGAAAAATCCCAACCAAGCACTATCGAGATGTGCAGTGTTGTGCGACGAGGAGACACAAGCATGCTGTTGATCCTTTTGGCGTCCGGCTTCGCTTTGCCGACCAGCAAAGTTCCCAACACACCACTTCTCAACAGTGTGCCTGATTCTCCATATAACCTCCTTGAAAAGTGGTACTTCTTTTCTGGGATGGAGCCTCACATTATTCAATCACGTCACATACAGAAACATCCTGTAAGTGGCCATCCTTCAGTGTGGTCATTGCTGATTCAACGTCCTCTAATCTTCAAGACAGTCTCATTAAGCGACCACGTCTTTCAGAGACATTGTGAGAAGTGATCTTGACATGGTAAAAAGGTGTGTGGTTGTGCTGGACACTTCATCGGCCTTTTTGCAATCCAGTGATGCCTGCTTCATTCAGCAACTTGAGTACGCAATAAAGACCTTTTCAAAAAGCAATGCACGCTGAAAAAAGTGAGCAAAAGATGTGCTTTGCACAGTAGCGGTTCTCCATTTCTGTGATTGAACCAAAATACTTTATTTGAACTTCTATACCCACTTTGACTGGCCCTGTTCCATTGCTCTAAACAAGGCCCATGCATTTGCACTCATATTCAATGAAGCATAGACTTGATTCCAATGCTTGACTGATTCGTAGCTTGCAAGAGTTCCTTATGAAGCACTGCAGCCAACCAGTAGACCCAGCATTGTCACCTCATGAATCAAAAGCTAGGAAGTCAGCTAAAGCCAGCAACCAACTACCAGGCACAGAGGAACTTAGGAAGAACCCAAACACATTGGAAAGGAGCACCGCCTTCAGCGCTTACCTCATACTGCGTCCCAAACTCCAGAAAGAATGCTGACTTCAGCGCTTGCGCGCTTGCGCGATGGCCCCCTCCCGTGTCGCTCATCAAAATGAGCACTGTTTTAGGGCCTCCCCGTTCCACTACCGCCTTTCCTTTCGCCCCTCCCGCCGACGCCAGCAATAGGGGGTCAAAATCCAAGCCGTTGGCACCCCCGGCGTCCGTCGGTGCATTGCTCCCCCCCCCCAACGAAAACGGGTTTAAGCGCATGCTTCTTTCGAGCAACTTGTCGAGAGCGGAGCTGCTAGGAGTAAGGACGGGCTCAGGAACGGCCATGTGGGTGGGGGTTCGTCGCTTGAACCTTCGCTTTTGGGGTGCCGCGTCATTTTCCTCTGTCAACAAACCCGGTTTTTGAAGGAGGGGGACGGCTTTTGGTCTCAGCAAAACGGGTGACTGCGCAACGGGGGGGTTGCAGGAGACTCGCTCTAAAGAACGGTGCTTTGCGGAAGTGCTTTTGCTCCTGCTCAGTGCGGCTTCGAAGAGGTGATGAGAGGCATGGGAAAGGGCGAGAGAGAGAGACGCCATTTGCGGCGCAGGCGTGGCACTGGTCGGCCTCTCTTCCGTTGATTCGTCCATCTTTCCACTTAACTAAGGTCAAACAATCCCACACCAACCTCGTGTCTCATTCGGCGCCCGTCTTTTGCAGCCCCAAAAACGGTGCACTTTTCCTCACCAGACCGTCATATCACATGCAAAGCAACTCAAACAGCTGACAGCTTGCATAAAAAGGCCCAAGTAAGAATGCCTGGCTTGCTCCACAATGGCGACCGAAGAACGGCAACCCGGCGCCAGTGCTTTTCCCTCTCCTTCCCAGGCCTTCCTTGCGCAAGGTTCCAACTTCCAACCTTGTCGGAGGGTTATCCACAAGTTTCCGATTCCCACCCAAACTTTGTTGGATCCCATGAGAACCCTTAGAAAGTTCTATCTTCAATTTGAGTGTGCGACTGCTGCTTTAACTTGCTAACAGTTTTCTCAATCCCGAAAATCCCGCTTAGGTGCCAATCCGCGTGGCAGTCTGCTCATGCAGAGCTACTGTCGCACGTGTGTTCAGATTCTCAGATTCCTTCCGTGCAAAAGGTGCCAGCTCGATCTAGTTCCTGGCCTGGAAACATTTTCGGATTTTCCCCACGTTTCCACGTTTTGCTCAGCGGTGGATTTGGTCCAGCAAGAAGACAGCTCAAGCTGTTTTTCTCAGACGCATTAGACGGTCAGGTGCCACTGGGTTGAGAGGGAAGTCCAAACAGAAGTCTCCCGTTTATTGATTCTGGGGAAGGAATTTTGTGGAGCCGCCGTCACCTCCGCCGCCCATCTTCCATCTCGCTCGCGAATCTGGACAAAAACGTAAAAGCTTCACAGCTCAACGAGGTACACCCGCACAGAAAGCTCCACTATGGGATCCGACACCGACGAAGCCACCGGCAAACCCCGGCGCGCCCCCCCACGAAATGCGCAGAAGCAGGTTCTGGTGTGGACTCTAGCTGGTGGGCTCCTCCTTGCGGTGGGCATCTACCTGTTTGCTAGCGAAACGAGCGTTGCGGAGCTGCGAACCCGCACGCAGGATATGGTGTCTGGGCGGGTTGCGAGCAGGGTTGTGAAAAGTATGGAGTCTGTGAAGGTAGCAGCAACTGGGGCGGTCTCCGGGGGGACGGATCTTGCGAGAGCGGAGGCGGTATATCGGAGGAATGTGAAGCGGAGGGAGGCGGCATATGGGCCCCGGCTGGACGGCCAATACCTAGGTGCGCAACTTTGGATATTGACATTGCAGAGTGAAAGTGCAACTGTAGTCTCCCAGAAGGAATTTAACGTTTCTCCTGAAAAATCCATGTCTGCCCTGTTTGAAGGTTGACGCTTGTGAAATTGACGAACCTCTTTGCATCAAGATGAAGTGTGCGCCATAAGATCTTTGCACATCTTCGCACTTCGCATCCCCAAAAGGTGATGCAAACCGTCCTTCGGTGAGACCGCTTATGTTTGCTTGGTGAAGAAAAGCAGGCGGAAGTCTAGTCGGGTCTTCTGTGGGGTTCTGCACCAGTGTTGCAGTGAATTCTCTTTTCTCAGAGCGTTCCGTAGTAGATGTTATTCCCTGTGTTATTGGGATGTGAAAACCGGCTATCTTTGGCTCTGGGAAAATTTTTGGCCATCTACTTTAGCTTGCATACTGTTGAGGAGGCAGTAGCCTCCCTTAAGCGGCACCTCTTTTATTTTGCAACTTTCTCTGACTTCTGTTGTGGCTGAAAGGTGGTGGAGGCTTGTTACAATCTATTTTTCTGGCTGAAGGTGGTTGAAGGTGGTCGAAATGTTGATATCAAGTCAGACGATACGTCACTGCATTGCAATTACACGGTAGTCAGTTGTCCACAAGTCTCCTCTGTATCAAACGGACTTTGCAAATCCTCTTCGAGCACCGCCCTAGATTCACAAAAGATTGCTGACACAGTGTGAAAGCAGCTAATCATGGGTGACACCAGCTGGCAATCCAAGTTCTGGGCGAACCCTTTATAGGCGCCTAGCTGATCTCAGCACTCGCTCAGACGGCCTCCTCGAACTGTCGCGTACTTCTCTCCACGGTTTGTCCAGGGACCATCTGGACCGTTGCCTTACTACATTGTGATTGTTGCTTGCCGTCAGTAACCACTTAAGTGTACTCATGTTGACTCTCTCCTTCGAGCCGTGCAACTCTTAAAATTCTGGGAGCCAATTTCCTGTTTTTCAGTCCCTTGGTGGCTTTGTCTAGATGACAGAGAATGGCAGCGAACTTAGACACCACTGCTTCCTCTTAGAAGCCCCAGGTTTTGTGTTTGATGTGGCCTGCTAATCGCAATTGCCAGTCTCACAATTTGAGAGTTATTGGGCAGTGGGACGGAGACAATTGAACGCCTTAAGAGTGGATGACTGGATGAAGTATTCGAAAGTCGTTTCTCTTTCTGTCTGTTCTTCCAAGTCATTTCAAGACCGACAAGTCAATTCCAGCAGTGTGCGCGCATAGAAAACGAGTCAATGCTCTCCTGGCCGTGAAAGAGAAATTAGCCAGCCAATCAAAGAGAAACCTTCCACATTGGAAACCGCCCGTGTCAGTGTCCCCCTCCTTACTGTTTCAAATGAGTTCCTGGCCTTGGCAAGGAAGTTCCAGCGCAGACTTCAGCTCTCCCAGCCTGTCTACATGCACTTAGCAGTGGGCTTGTCCGCTCAGTAAACCAAAGCAACCTACTTCGTCGCCTTGTAATGAACACAGTCTTTTCCTCCTTCAGCTAAGGGCGCGGTTTTACTTTTAATGAGAACTGTTTGCTTTGGCTTCAGTAAGGAAACGATCTTACATATAGTGGAAACTGTTCCTTCTACCTTCAGGTAAGGGCGCGGTCTTCCAGTACTTCCAGCCCATCTACCCGTGCGTTGCGGAGGAGCGCGTCGGCTCCTGGAAGGATGGCGGCAAGTGGCTGTGTGACGTCAGCAGCCTCGGGCCGCGCTCGGTGGTCTACAGCATCGGCTCGTACGAGCTGGTGGACTTCGAGGAGGCGCTGTACGACCTGACGTCATCCGAGATCCACGTGTTCGACCACACGCTCAACTCGGAGCAGCAGGCGCGGATGAAGGCGAATCAGAAGTTTCACTACCACGCGATCGGCCTCGGGGGCGCGGAGAAGGAGGGGCGGCTCTTGCCGCTCATGACGATCATGGAAACGCTAAAGCATGACTTCGTGGACGTGCTGAAGATCGATTGCGAGGGGTGCGAGTTCTCGGTGTTTCCCGCGATTTTCCAGGCGTTCGCGGGGCGGGACCCGCCGTTTGGCCAAATACAGTTGGAGGTACACGAGTATCATGGGGATGTTTGGGACAACGTGAGGGACTTGCTCACGTTGATTGAGAGCCGGGGGTATCGTATGTTCCACATTGATATGAACTGGGAGTGCAAGGAGTGCATGGAGGTGGCCTTCATCCACGAAAGCGTGGTGCGGTCGGATAAAGTGGCGTCGACATAGATAAGTAACACGGGGGGGGTAAAAATAGGTGGACAGGAGCGGAAGTTTGCTGTATTATCAACGTACGCTGAGAACATTCCTAACGGATAAGTGAATTGGACGTTTGCATCTAATCTGAGCTACTTGTGATGCCAAGCTTTGTTTGTCTGCAAGCTCGTCGAAGCTTTCAAAAAGGACGAGTTCTATAATCTGTGCAGGCTGACCGCGGACCTTTTAGAGAAGCTGCTCGTGTTCGATCTGCCCTCATCTCGTGTACCATCCTTGTGCTGAATGCGGCTTGGACCCTAGGATTGACTTGACCGGCGCTAATCATTTATGCGTGTTCATGCATTGAGCTGCCGCCATGGTCACTGACCTGCGCCTAGTAGTTGATTGCATGCATTGAAAATGCTCATTATACTGCGCTGCGTAGGCAGTTGACTCAGAGTGCGGCATGACCATGATGACCATCCATGTGTGCGAGCCAATCAGCGCGTGCTGACGGTAAGACCATGCATGGGAGTGCAGCCGGCCCGGCGGCCAACCTGTCGATTCACGTGTCTTGTAATTAAGTTAGTACGGTAACAATCCTACTCGTGTTGAATTCACGCAACTAGCATCATCCGGTATACTGATGCATTTGCATGACCTCTTGAGCTTTATGGCGCAGCGGCCACCCCATATATAAAGACACAATAAGTTAAGGAACGGAAGTCAAGGCGCACAAAAGCTCGATGTTTATGTTTTCGTGACCAACATACCGAATCTAGTATATGTCCGGAATGATCCCCTTGCTGTGTAAAGTGGACTGAAGGACTAATCGGACATCAAACTCAACCGTCGGTTCTCCAGATGGTGTGGGCACGCAAGGCGACTGGCTGGTCGTACTTATTTGCCCGTCGTCTCTCTTCAGATCTTAAAAGTATGGACCCAAAATTTCGCTAGCGGTGCCTGTAACACCTCTGCCAAGTAGGCCGGTTAAGCTTTTCAAAGGGACATACCATGTCCCTGTAAGAGACATCCGGGATTCCCTCGATTGTATGTTACAGACAAGACGCCGAATACTGATTGCAAGTTTTGACGTCGTGGACGGATCTGAACAACCAACTCTTTTTCTACATAGGCTCCAGGCGGCACGATCAAAAGACGCGCCTCTTCAGGATCAAATCTGGGCATCGGAAGCGGACCCGCCAAACCTCGCCCTCCCGTACTCCCTAGGCGGCTCCTTCACCGGATGCTCGCTATAGTGGAGCCCGATCGACGCGAGCAAGGGGGGCGCGCGCGAGCTGTAAACGCGCACGCGCACTTTGTCGGTGACCACGGCCTCGGTGGTGTGAAGCCGCTTGTGCCCAATAGTCGTCCCTCCGACGAGCGTGGTCCAGGTGCGCGTGTGGAAGTCGAACACTTGGACGCAGTGCTTCGAGATCCGCTGGCCCAGCTGGATCGGCTCCTGGAAGCGGACGAAACTCATGGTACGCAAAGGAGATGATGAATGAAGGGAAAATTTGAAGGAGACATCACGCGTTTGGTAATCAAAATGTTTTGCGAGAGGGGCTGTTGTTCCTTGCTTGGGTTGACCACTGAAAGCGACTTGCTAAGTGTCTGACTGTCTCAGGGCTTGGATATGGATCTTGAGTCGAACAGAAGACCAGGAAATTACCAGTGACTCGACGGGTGTGCTGAACCTTGAACGCTTTCGTACGCATTCCAGCGCCCGAAGTATGCCACCTCTCGGCTCAAATTATAAACCGTGTGCTTCTTAACGGCTCTTGTCCAATCCAGTCCCAACGCTTTCCGTTGAGATGCCGCAAGAGAAGGAAGGCAGCGGAGAAGAGGCTGATCGAGCAAGCAGGAGGGAAGGAGCCGAACTTTCAAAAAATGGATCTCAGGTGGAAATCAATGGCCGAAAGGTACACATTCCACACCAAGCACTTTCACTTACTCGTATATTAAGCTTCATATTTTGCTCTTTGATAATCATCATCATCGACCCTGAAAACCCTGTACCTGTAGCCTGACGACGTTGAACGTCTTGTTTGCCGTCATATGCAGCTCGATTGTTGCCTCCCGCACGTCATCTTCGGTCGCCCAGTACGTCCGGATGTCGTCCGTTAGCACCTGGGGGGGTCCAAATGGCCCGGAATCCGACCCCCCCCTGACGTTGCTGGCAGTCACGTTGCTGTCGGACGTTGCGTCAGTGGAGAAGATGTCGTCCAGCGCTTTGCGGAAGCCCCGGAGGGCGCTGACGTCAGCATCGTCGAAGACGCCCGCTCTGGAGGAAAGGGGAGGATAAACAGCTCAGTGAATGTTTATTTTATCTTGTCTCGAGACGTTCTTGGGGGCGCCGATATTGAGACTCCTGCATCTTGCCCCTCATGCAAACGAATCGTGCTCGTGCCTCTCCTCATTTCCCACTTCTTATCTTACCAAATTGTTTCCAAGGTGGAAGGTCGCTATGGCGAGATACTCTCGTGACTTATCGAGAATGTCTGTAGCGCGTTCGATATTCTAGAGGGGTCCTCAATGCAGCTGCAACAAAGAGTCTTCGCAATATTTTGGAGGCATATCTAAGAGGTTCTCAGCGGAAAGACTGTGCTTCCGAGAAGACAATCATTTCAATCAGCAATATCGCCTCGAAGTTTCGTAGCAGCACCTTGTCCATGAGGTGAATGACGTGATATAAGAGCCTGCGGATCTCTTGCTTTTACGAAAATGACAACGGAATAGAGGTAAGGAACAAGCATGGAAGAAGAAAGAGAGAGAGGAGAGGATACCATCACACGTCTGTAACGCAGCAAGGAAAGGGGCGATGACTCTGAACCAGATCCGGCGTGAGAAGCGAACAAAGAGAAGACTTCGGAAGCTCCCATTGGTAATTCAAATCAAATGCGTCGCATAGGCTGATGTGCCAGAGTTGCCTGGATGAATGGAATTGTCTGGCAATTTCTAACGTTGCGCAAGCGATCGGATCAGACTTCAAGCGCGTTGTTCACAAGCTTTGATGTGCGTGTTGTACCCACCAAAGGCTCCATCATTCTCCAAAGCAAATCCTCGCTCTACTGCAGTACCTGTTGGGAGGCACGTTCAGAATGAGATGCCCGTTCCGCCCAACAGAGGTGAAGTAGGTGCCGACGAGCACATCCACCGACTTGGGGGTTTCTTCCTGGTGGTAGAACCAACCGGGCCGAATCGAAGTGTCGCACTCGGGCGGAATGTAGTCGGGGCCCCCCTCCTCCCCCTCGGAGGCGTAGCTCGGGGTCGGGGGGTTAGCACCGATGTGGACCTGAGCGAGTTGGGGGGGGAGAAACTTGGGGACAGGGGGGGGGTGAAAGAAGGAAACATCAGGTGTTTGCGGGATTCGAAGCTTCGGAAGCGGCTGGGTGGGGGGACAACGAAAAATTGTCCAGGTCCCGAATCCGCAAGAAAAAGATTAGGGGGAAGGGGGGATGGGGAATGTGGAATTCGGCTGGCCCAGAACGCTGTAAAACGTCACCTGCTCGAAAAAGAAAAGTCATCAGGAGGTTTCGAACCGAGGGTCTGTGGCGTTGCCACGTGTCACGCACCTATTGGGCGGCACGTTCAGGAGCATGTGACAGTTCCTGCCCACGGTTGAGAAGTAAATGCCGAGCAGGGTTTCGAGCGGTTTGGGCGCTTGACCCGGGTGCCAAAACCAGGCGGGCCGGATCGACGTCTCGCACTCTGCGGGGGCGTAGTCCGGCTCCCCCTCCTGCCCGGTTGACAAATAACCGGCCACTGCAGAGCCGCCCCCAAGCTTGACCTGCGAGAAAAACGTGGCGCAAAGAATCTCTTTGAAAGCTTTTGTTAGAATTCTCGAGTTTTGTGCTTCAAGACAAAAACGATAGTCCGGGGGTTTTTCCTTGCCCCGTGACACATAATTGGCCACTGCAGAGCCGCCCCCGAGCTTGACTTGCGAGGGAAACACGGTGCAAAGAGACCTGTTATGGGAGTTCAGGTTTGATGCTGTGTTTCGCAACAAACGGAAGTATTTGGAAGGTGGATGTCCTTGCAACTGTCTGAAAATGGGGGCGTAAATGTCCTGATTGTAGAGTCTGTGATCAGAGTCGTTGGTTCCCGCTGCATCCATACAAGGCAATATGAAACTATTGTGGGTATATTTCAGTTCGAGAATCAAGCTTTGAGCGGCTTTGAACACTATCAAAGCCAATCGCCGGAAATCTTTCGAACTGGGCATCGGAAACATCCTCAGCCAAGGACGATGTCACCTTTTACGATCCGCTGAAGCTCAGCGTCCAGCCGCTCGAACCCAAATACCAAAATAAATGTCGTTGCCAAACACGACCCCTCTTCTTGTCCTAGCAATAGACGACATTGGAGCTGAAAGAGACGACACCAAAAACACCACCGATGTATTGTAAGCGCTTGGACGGGATCTACAAAGCAGGAAGGCTTGGGAAAGCAGATCGATTTTGATGAAAATCTTTGCTTGCAGCTGCCGTGGGAGCAATCCGACTCAAGAAGAGTTGTGAAGGTGGGCGGGAGTAAAGAATCGCAAAAGAAGTCAAACCATGTCAAAATTGGATTTGGCACCTGATTAAATGACTCAAGCGCTGTTCTATCCTAACTGCGGCCCTCAACGGGTCTTGCTGTTCCCACTTTCATCGCTACGCTGCTTCACAAAGCTGGCCTCATTTTGCTTTAAGCAGACACACCTACTCATACGCGCTCTCTTTGAACGGACAGCCGAAGCTTGACAGGACGGCAGGAGTATCTGTCTTCAAAAAGAAGAGCTGCAAAATAGATCGTCAAAGCTATCAACAAAGGCGAGCCCAAAGCTACTTGTTCCCCTTCACCGAAACCAGCTGGACCGTTCTGCATCCAAATGGCGCCATCGCAAGGCGCCATCACAATTCAGTACAGATGACAGAAAAACGGAATAATCTGCCAGGTGGCGGCTCACCTTCTTCCGGTCGATCGTGGCCCAGTTGGTCTCCCCAGCCCACCCGCCCTCGTTGCCCACCCACCGGACGTCCGGCCCGTTGTCCGAGAAAATCGCCGAGCCGGGCTGCAAAGAAAACCCAGATGGGTGATACTCATCACTCTAGTTCGTTCAGTAGCCACCACATATTTTGCGCCGACATCAACACCTTTGCAAACTGGAGTAGGAATGTCTCGAGGTTCGCCCAATATATTTTCACATTGATGCAAGTGATAACGTGCCGATTTAGTGGGCAAACTGTCGAGCGTGCCACAGACTGGGCCTAGGATTATGTTCTAGGCGTCACTCTGTCATGACGAAGACACTCTGTCATGGCGAAGAGGTGTCATCTGATCGTTGCACCTAACCCGTGTAAAGCAACGAAAAGATCCGGCTCGAGTTCGAAGCGAGAAGATGGTTCAGAAACAGGAAAATCTTGATGGATCGGGTTTGCTGTTATTGAGACAGGTGGGACACGTGCCTGCAGCTGGTGGTTCAGCGTCATGATCTGGTCCCAGTGGTACTGCATCGCCTTGCCCCACGAGCCCTTGGCGCCGTCGTAGAAGTTGTACACAACCGGCCCGTAACTGTGTGCAGCAAAGCACACCCGAGCGTTACGTTGCTGATATCCGCTGTGCTAACTCTCGAATGAAGATTTCAAACCATGCAGTCAACAAAGGTATCGGACTCCAGTTCCAGCTCCGGACTTCGTTGAAGTACATCCGCATGACAAAAAGTGGAAACGTGCAGAAAGTTTCAGCTCCAGACTGCTTCTTAGGTTTCGACAATCCTTGTTGCGACGTTTGTACCATTAATAAATGACCCGAACGTTCAGAAACTTCGCAGCACTCCGTAACGTAAATCTGTCAAAACGTACCTTGCAGCCGGACGATGTATGGAAACACAAAAGCAAAAGAGACAACAATCAAGAACAAAAAAGATTCAAGAGCAAATGTACGTAATGACGTTGCACTCACTTTGACATCAGTTCTGTTAGCTGCCCCATGTAGTACTCGTTGTACAGTCGAGTGTCCCCATAGACGGAGCAGTTTTGATCCCATGGCGACAGGTAAATCCTGTAGAAACTAAGGTTCGTTATGGCCCAGCTACCATTGGAGGTTTTAAACTCAATCCAAGTAGAGCGGTTGGAAAGTATAGATGCTTTGCAGAAAAGTTCGGCGTTTCGAATTTGCAGCCGCCATTTTGAGCGCCCTAAAAGCTACGCCTTCATTGCCGAACCTGAGTCCTGACCGACTTCGGAAGTCAACTTCCGCAGCCAGCACCTAACAGAACATTCTTAAGTATTAGTGTTCTCAAAAATCGACATCCTTGGTAGGTACTATGCAATACGCTCTGGAGAAAACGAATCGGGGATGCCAATTGTGGACTCAACCGTCTCGCCTTCTTGGCTGTTGAGCGGTCTGCTGAACTAACATGAGAGCAGGGAACTGATTGAGAAGGTGCCAAACAAACGAGAGCGCACTTGAGGACTTCATGCATTAGCAATGAAGAAGCTTCGCGGCCAAGATTGAGGGGTGATCGTCATCTCGGACACGAAGACCACGAATGCAGAGACGCGCAAGAACACTGTTGCTGAACGATTACACGAAACAAAGAACCTTTGACACTGCAGGCGCTCGCATGAAGAAGTGACGTAAGGCAATAAGTTGCCGGTGTAAATCAACGTATCTCGAAAAACCAGAGCTTGAAACTTGCCCGAATCCAACCCCGACACTTCTGGTGGCATCGGCCACCTCACGGACGACGTCGCCCTTGCCATCTTTCCAGGGGCTGTTCTTCACAGAATGCTCCGTGTACTTGCTGGGCCAGGCGCAGAAGCCGTCATGATGCTGAAAGGACGAAGGAGAGGGCCAATTCACGACTTTGGCAATCAGTGGATTCGAACCAACAATCCGAATGAAAGCCAGACGAATCAAGCATTGACAGATTGGATTGAACGAACAAAAGTATGACCATATCAACCGGGGTGTCCTATCATGGTCGATCTAACATTGGATACTTTCAACTGACGAGTATCAGAGATGGAACAGTACTCTAAGCCTAATTGTGCCTTTCTGCTTGCTCAGAAAACGGTTGTCTTGTGGGTTGAACTATAGATGCCTTGAACTCCCTCTCTGCGGCTAGGAACTGGTTGCTTAAATGAGCTTGAGCAGATGATTCGTGGGGCTGAAGGTTTGGAGCATGACTATTAAGACTTTCTACATTCTATTGATGAGAAGAAGAAGCTCATTTACATGTCCATTTGTGAATCATTTATAGAAAAAGAAGCAGATGATTCTAGCTCTGCTTACTTTGGCAACAATCACCAGGAACTTGAACCCCGTCTCCTTGGCCACACTAGCCCATTGAGTGGCATTGAGCCCCTCAGGGTTGAACAGCTCGGGGCTCTCATGGCCGTCTCCCCACTGACAGAAGCAACAGGGTATGAGAAAGAGTGAATTTCTTGGTTTTCTTCTGACAATTGCATGTTTTGATGGCAAGTGCGTTACATGGCTGGATGCCCTGGGGTCACTTTCGAATTTCACTGGCAATATCTTCTGGTAGACAGCGCTGACAAACAAGCACTTGATGAGGAACCTATTCCAGCCAGAGTTTGCATGGCTTCTTCCTCGTAAGGTTACAATTGGTAAGGTCTTACCTCCTTGTCAGTATACGTGTTCATCCCGTAGTGCAGGAACATGGAAAGCTCTCCTTGCTGCCAAGCCAGCTGAAGTGGACACAAATGCCATTCAGCTAAGCTGGCCACACTTGTTTCACAAGACATGTTTTCTCTCAACCTTGCTTTTCTGAAGGAGTGACTAAGAGGCAGGATTGCAAACATTTCAAGATATGATAGAGAAGATTCTCACTTTGCTCTGCTGTTGGAGTCTGAAGCACCCTCTTTTTTGAACAGAGTGCCTTAGTCTACTTTCAATCCAGCACAGTGCATATCAATTCTTGGAAAGAAGAAGGTGGCTCTCTAAGGTGCAAACGTCATTCTTGCAACTTTTTGCAACTATGTTGGCCAAGACATGTTCTACTTGGTGCCTTGATTGATACTGTCTTTTGCCCAGTGTTCTTCTTGAAGGAAAAAGCAAGGTCAATACATTGTCAACCGTCATACACGTTTGGCTAGGTTGCGAAAGACTCACCTGCCGTGCATTTGGAATAGGCATCAATGGTGCAGGCGGGAAGGGGGCCACATCATTCTCTGGTCCTGCCAACCAAGCTCCAAAGCTTTCCGTAATCCTTTGCACCACCTCTGTTAATTGGTGCAGAAGTGGCCATGATTGGAAACCAGCTATTTCACTAACTCTTGCTGCCTTTTCTTCCTCTGCTTTCCTGAAGCTAGCCTCCCAAGAAGTGACCACAGCAGGCTGCTTTGATTGAGGGAAGGGGTTCCTCAGCTTCAATGTGGAACTCAGTGCATCACCAAGGACACTTCTGGCTTCCACAGATGATACATTGAGGAGGAAGGCTGTGACTATGCAGATTGTGAAAAGTAAGGAGCTGGTCGAAAGACCCAGATACTTGTGCATCTTGCCCGACATGATATGTGCAAGAGGTGAACAGATTGACGCAAACGAACAAGAGAGACGTGAAGCACGCTCTAATTTGTGCCCAACTTGCAGCTCGATTGACCACCCCGTAGCTTGACAGACCAAAACTCTCTGCAATGAGCAGCTAGCTGCACATTTTGCTGCACAATCTGAAGCGCATCCTCCAGCACGAATCCAGGACGAATGTTTCCACCAATTGCTGCACAAGCTTTCGCTGTCACAGAAGATTGAAAACTTCTTTTTGCAGGGACAAAATCCAGATTTTGCTCCCGAAGACCCGAGGTAATTTCGCCCTTTCTAGAGCGACCACATCATAGACAATAAGAGGGAGATTTCCCCAGAGGCCGTCATTGTGGTCGCCTCAGCTTTATCAAAACCGCCCGGTGCTCGGGCGGAACATAGAGCTGCGCATGCAGAAATGGCGGCCCTTGCGCAGCTGAAAACAAGCTCAGCTGGGCCAGTTGAAGTTGAAGCGCTGAGTTAGAGCGCCATGCGCCATGCCATTGAAATCGAAGTGGTGTCCCTGCGCATGCATATTCACAGGGGATGGGAGAGATCTGTGAGCGAGTCACCCCAGCGCGCCCCCTTAAGCATCCACGCTGCTGCGCCAAACCCAGTGGGACGCTCCTCAATTGGAGCTCCCACGAATACGACGGAAGCCTCCCCGGCGCCGGAAGCGCTCCTTTCTGAAACATCTTGTAATCAGAATGGGGCTTCCCCGCCCCTGGTTCATCCTCCTTCTCCTTCTCTGTGCGATCGCAATTGTTGCGCACCAGTCCGCCGCCCCAGTCACGCACTTCTTCTCGCAGTCAGGGGGGGGAGGCAGGAAGGTCGTGACGCTCGCTGACCTCGGCACGAGTCTCAAGCCGCCCAGGAGCAGCGCCGCTGATCTGGGGGGGTCAGAAGAGGGGCAGAGTTGGCAGGAAGCGCTGGGGGGTTTGTTCGGGGCGGGCAGCAATCAAGCAGATTTCCAGGGGGACAAGAGGGAAGTTTTCAACAAAGGGGACGGAACATTGAAAATGGCAGTGGACCGCCTGGGTGATGTCAGCTCGGGGGAAGCTGAGGTCAGCGACGGGGTTGCTGAGCTCAGTGGGGACGATGAGGTGGTGGTGGACTGGGGCCTGCTGACCGATCAAACAGAGGACCACTCTGATCCGAAAAGTGGCGCCTCGGGAGTGACAGAGCTGGAAAGTCTGGTGAACCAAGAATCAGGATTAGCTGCGGGCGGAAAGAGAACAACGGATAGTGGAGGGCTCGGAGAGTCCACCAAACGTGCGGGAGCAGTGTTGAAGCAGCCGGTTGATCGGCCGATCACAGGGGCGCACGGAACTGTCATTCAAAAGCCCCCAAAACCCCCCCAGGGCTCGACGTGTCGGGAGTGGATGACCGATGAATGGGAGCGTTGGGAAGCGGGCTTCAGAGACTTTAGAGAACAACCAGTGAGGATATCGGACGCTGGGGCTCGAAGTTGGTTCGAGACGACGAGGGAGGAGCTCCAAGGATGCGACATCGGTTGCGAAATGCATGCGGCGGGTAAGTTCTTGTTTCTTGACCAGCTAACGCAACGCGCTGCAAGGAATCTAAGCTGCTTCGAATTTGGTGAATGCGTCTGTCAATGCAATATCCAGTGTGTGGGTCCATATCTGACTCCCCACTAGAACGTTGGGGGAGTCCTGGCTTCCGCATTGGTGTGGTCGGTGAGCCAGGGGTACCTCCCACAGCCTGTGTTCACAGCCCAGAGTAACCAACTTTTTCTGGGCTAGTTGACCTTGTCGAGCGGGCTCACACAGAACACGGGGCAAAAGGTGCCCAAACCCGAAGTTCTTAAGGCTTGCTCTTTTGAGGCCCCGTCTACTTTCGTCAGCCATCTGCATTCGTCAGCCATTTGCGCCTTCACTTACTTAGGTATACGCGTCTCCTCACGCGAACTTTTCCCAATTGCAAATGTTCCACGTCCTTCTGGCTTTAATTTGACATGCAGTACTCCTGCATAGTAGAACGTATTTGGGTCTGAATCTTTCTAGCCCGTAGCCTGAAATCCTGAGTCTCCATGTATTTTCTGCCTCCAGGCTCTCTTGACGCGCCCGATGGAACCACCGAACACTGGGTCGGAGAAGTGCAACCGGGGCTCCCGTCAAGCGGACTTGTCACGTTGCGCAATGTTGAGTCGTTTACCAACTACCCCTCGATCGCGAACCCTCAAGCGCGAACGGCAGGCGTCGACATCCTGTCCAACTTTCGCCTAGATTCGGATGTGCCCCACGTGTACTTTTCTTGGAGCGGCTGCGTGTTCAACCTGAGAGGTAGGACGATCCAAAGATTTATTTCGAGGCTCTGCATCAATGACAAGGGGTGGGACTTCGGAGCGAAACAATTCCCAGTGAAACAATTTCGAACTCTCCCTTTCAACAGCCGCCCAAATCGAGTTTGGGGTCGTCAACACGGAGTGATCACCTTGATGTTGACCCTCGGTCTTTCTGCTGATATTATAACCATTCAATGACGATACCGTGCGGTTCAAGACTAATTGCATGGGAAGGCGGGGCTTGCAACCTTGTCGGATCCATGTGCCGCCCCAATTGATGAAATGACGCTTAAAAAAATAGACGACTTTTCAACGACTTTCATCCAACCAATATTCAGATCGGCTTACGGAATACTTAGTTTGGTATGCCGTGCGCCTCTCGCATGACCGACGACGATCACAATTTTGTCGGAATTTCGAGTTCGCAAGTCCTAAAAGTACATCCTAGCTCCTTGGAAACTGTGCAAATGAGAGGTCGACGCGTAGCCTTTCATTGCCACGTCTTTACTCAAACTTTTGCATTTGCTTCTCAGGCAATGACTGCAATGGTCTCGAAATCATGGGTCCCGTCCACAAGAAGACGGCCAAGGCGGCCGCGGCCGCGTTCATCAGCAATTGCGATGCCAAGAACTTCCGGACGGCGGCGGTCAAGGGCTTGATCGAGGTACGCACTTCTCGCCAAATTTTCTCCTTGTGTTCGATCGTTTACCTGACATGTTTTCTTTCAGGCCGGTCATGCAGAAGCCCCTTCTTTCCGTGCTGGAGTGTCGGTTCTCGTGTGACCTGTCGTCAATCCCGAAAGTACACATTGTGAGAAGTCGCGGCCTTTCGAAAGGGCATTGGATCGTAAATGGTTCTCAACCTGGAGCCGTCAAAACTGACCCAGATGCTTACTTTCCGGTCCAAGGTTCCTGGAAAAAGCACGAAATTCACAATGTCGAAGCTCGAGTGCAAAGAGCTGAACGGAACGGTCGGAAGGACTGGTGAACAGATCGCTTTCTGTTCCAAGTCTCCGCCTCACAAAGCGGCTGAACGAATCGCCCTTCAGGCACCATCGCAGTACGCGTAGGTTTATTTCGATAACGTCCGTTCCAATAGGCAGTCTATGTTTTTGCGCATTGTCATGCTATCGCACGAAGGGCGCTGATCTTGGTTTTCTGGTCGACCCACCGTGCTATGCGAGATATACACACGTGTTCGTTTTCATCGAGAACGGGATTGTGTAGAACAACTTTGGGGACTGCGTTCAGACGAGGCTATTCCTTTAGACATTCAATCATATCGCACATGATTTTACTATCTCAGAAATCGCACTGATGTTGGTATTCTGGTCGACCCATCTTGCAGTGCAGATTTCAGACACGTTCTCGTTTCTTCTAGAGCGGGCTTGCGGTGAACAACTTCGGGGATTCTGTGCAAACGACGCTGTTCCGATAGCCACTCCAAATCATGAGCATAAGCTTACTAATACAGAAGTGGCACTGACCTTGTTGTTGAGGTCGACCCACCGTGCCATGCGAGAATTTACACGTTTTTGTTTTCTCTTTGATAACCCGTTTCCGTTTTCTTCCAGAACGGGATCGCGGTGAGCAACTTTGGGGACTGCGTTCACACGGCGGACCTGCCGGGCGGCGACGTGAAGGGCTACGACGAGTCCAAGTACGGCTCCAAGTACCACAACAAGCTCGTGCAGTTCCAGACGCACAAGTTCGCGCTCGCGTTTGAAAACAGGTACGATACGCTTTCAGCGGCAATCCCAGTCCCCGAGCGTCGTGTCCAAGAGTCCTCAGCCTGCATCCAACATTTCCCTCTGCGTTGTTCACCGGCTTGCTGACGTCATCGTCGTTTCCAGCTTCCAGGAGGATTCCGTTGATGAAAGAGTACTTTTGTGCTCCCGCTGCAGGCAGTCTCCCCGCAGTCTCCTTCTTTCCAGGGCGCTTGCAACCTGCTGACGTCATCGTACCCCTCTGCTGACGTCGTTATACGCAGCGAAAGGAACTCGTCCTGGAGACATGTTTTCCTCACGTGCTCGCGATTGCATTTCCTACATCCGCTCCTTTCACGCTCACGTGATACTCGATGTCATCGTCCTTCCTCCCAGCTCGGGACGAGGACTACATTGCTTCTTCAAGTGCTCGCGGCGGGCAGTCTCCCTGTAGTAAGGCGTTCACAATCTGCTGACGTGATCGTTCCCCTCTGCTTACGTCACTTCCCCATGCTGCAGCTGTGAGGACGATTACGTCACGGAAAAGTTCTTCCACGCGCTTGCGGCGGGCAGCGTCCCGGTCGTTGTGGGCGCCCCCAACACGGCGCACTTTGCGCCCGCACCAAACTCGTACCTGCAAATCGCGTCGGAAGGAGAAATTCCTGTGGTTGCTGAAAAGATGAGGTAGGATTTTCAAGGACTGGGACATTCCGACAGCTCTTGGTCGCAACGTCTGGCACCGCCTTCTGCGTCTGTGCCAGAATCGGACGTGCACACTGCGTTGAATGGAAAGGTCGCCAAAAAGATGAGGCACGATCTGCGTCCGTAGAGTTTCTCAGGCCGGACGCCTAGCATGAATGTCTGCGCTCGGGCTAAAGTCGTTACCTGCACATCGCTTCGAGAGGGTTTCTTTCGTCGCCGTAAAAAGGAATACGCTGGCGGAGACAGTCTTCGTTGTTTGACGAGCTTTTTACTTTGGCTCTTCCAGCACGTTGCGCTGACTCTTACTATTGCGCTGAGTAATTTGTGCGTATGATATTCACAAGCTATCAAAGAAGCGCTGCGGTCTGTTGGCAAGTTTGATGTTCGACACCGGACCAGATTCCCACATTTCAAAGGCGCAGTTACTTGATGCAAATGAGACCGCATACACTGAGTCATGGACCTGGAAAGCGTACGGGATCTCGCAAAACTCAAACTCGCCATCATCTTCACCGGCCCCAGAACCTTGAAAATCTCGAACTTGAAACCTGGTGCAGGCGTTGGTGTTAAATGATGATCGAGACAGCGTATGCTGAGATGCTGGCCTGGATTCTTGATCAGAACTGCGCAGGTGTCAATTGAGAACGGGACGGCATACGCCGGGATGCTGGGCCTAAATCCGATCCGAGAAAGGCGCAGGTAGTCGAGGAATTCTGAGCGGGCAGACGGCGCGATGCTGGCCCAAAACCAGAACTAAATACGCGCAGGTACTTAATGGAGAACGAGACAGCATATGCTGAGATGTTGGCCTGGAAGACGGCCGGCCCTTCCGACGCGTTCAAGGCCTTGATGGACCTTCAAGCGGTGCATCCGACGTGCCGCTTATGTCAGCACGTGGCCTACCGGTTGCGGGAGCGGGAGGAAGCGGCGTGGCGGCAAACGCATGCGCCCCCGCCGTGCTATTGCCAGGTGAGACTTCGAGTTTTGCATAACCGAGAATTTAGGGATTTCTGGTTTTAGGGGCAGGGTTTTCGAGATTTGGGCGATTCGCCTGACGGGCAGCTTGTGTCAGCACGTGGCCTACCGGTTACGGGAACGGGAGGAGGCGGCGCGGCGGCAGACGCACTCGCCCCTGCCGTGCGATTGCCAGGTGAGACTCTTGGGTTTTGCATAACCGCGGGTTAGGGGTTAAGGATGTTAGGATTTTCGAGACTTGCGGGCGGGTCGCCTGACGTGCCGCTGATGTCAGCACGTGGCCTTCCGGCCGGCTAAGGGAGCGGAATAAGGAGGCATGGCGGCGGAAGCATGCAGCGCCGCCATGCTACTGTCTGGTGAGGATCCTTGAGTTTCAGAACCCTGAGTTCAGTGGTTTCAGGGGTTTAGTAACTTACGCCATTGCATGTGACGTAGTCTTTGAGTGGGAGCGGAAGAAGCAGGTTTGGCGGCGAAACATGCGGCGCCGCAGTGCTACTGTCAGGTGACATTTTTGGTCTCAGAACCCGGTGTTTCTTGGATTTAGGGCTTCTGAGATTTGAGGCGGTGCACTCGTTGTGTCGCTTGTAGCCGTACGTCCCCTTTGCTTGCGGGAACAAGGAGAGAGTTGTGGACAATCCTTCGTTCAAGTCGCTGCCACTCTGCATGGAAGGTAGTCTGCGGGGCTTGCTGCCATTCACAGTTGCGAACTTCCCCCTGATCTGACGTTCTCTCAATGCGTTCAGGAAACAACGGAAAAGGGGGAGAAGCGGAGTTCGTACACGCTTCTTGTACGGGAAAGGGGTTTGTCAAGATTCCGGCCGCTAGTGCTCGACGCCTTAGCCTTGAGAGGCTTGGCAAATCTAGAAGCTGCGGTGTTGGAAGAGTTCAAACGCTTGGGTCACGAACCGGTTTGGATGAAAACCAGGGCGGCCGCCGGGGTTAAGACAACGAGTTGGCGGGTATACAAGTTGTATCCGATTGGCTTGACTCAGAAACAAGCGTTGTTTGGGGGAAGGGTTTGGGAGTCCGATGCGGACCTCTTGAACTACTTGTCGAGGAACCCGTGTCCGAAATTTGAGGTCGTGTTTGTATGACCATAGAGATCAAAGTCCTGTATATTGTGACGGTAGTTGAGGTCAAGGCCCGGGAATTGCACACAACTTGAAAGCTGAAATATCGTCGCAAACACATGACCAGGTCCAAATGGGATTTGAATCAATTATAGATGTCCTGCATGTCTCTGATTGGTGCCGCGCTGCGGGCATGGGGTCCGCAATGTAATGGTGGGAGCCCTGAGTCGTGTTTGAAAAACTTTGTCCGGCCGAATGCTGCCACGTTACTTTAATCTATCATATCAGCAACTCTATAGCTGATTTCATTTCAACGATAGCCGCGCCGCATCGGTGCACGTGAAAAGTAGTATAGGGTATACCTGATTGTCGTGACAACGTGCGCGCTAGGCGCGTGTACGCATGTCAACACAATTGTAAGGGCTACACGCCGGTATACGACCGTCTATCACTTTGTTCATCCGGTGCGACTTGTAATCAAGTCGGTTGCCTCATTGTCTCGATCGAGGGCAGGCTGCATGAGGCACACGATCTGCATCCAATGGCCTGCAAGCCTGGTACCGGGAGAAGTTGGATCGATCGACCCTTCGATCTCCGTATGTTGTGGCCCGGACCTCCATCGAAGCCCACACATCATTGAGAAGGGTTGTAGCTAGGTGCTACTACTAGATCGTAGCCTATCTTTAGGATCTGGGATAGACGGTACGAACGGTGCGGTGGTGCACGTTCTTCAAAACTCATACCACGCAGCATGATGTCTACGTCCAAGTGAAACGACTTGTTGTATACGTTGCTTCGAACGATGCTGCAGATCTCCCTAGCTCCGCTGCACATTTTCACCAAGCGCAAGGGACATTCACCATCGCAACTACAAGAAGCCGGTGTTCTTATTATGTGTGGCTCGAGGATGTTTGTAGGCATGAGAACGCGCCTGAGTCGTTTTCAGCCTCTACAGGCGTTGAAAACTGCAGCTAGCCTGGAAAATACATGCTATGTTTGAGCACGCTACTCTTGCGACTTTACAAGTCAACGTGTTCTATGGCGCCTTTCTTACTCGCTGCGCTTCCACTTTGAAACAGACGCGCCCTGAGGGATCCAGATACTCCTTGGCTTGCATTGCCTGGTCCCAAGGCAGCCCGAGCGCATCTAAAAAGCCATGGCTATGGTCCTGTGCAAACATTTTGCTGGCGCTAACATTTGTCCCGGAGTGAATCTGCTTCCACGTCTTTTCAGGCCATGTTTTGACGAGGAAGTCGATCCTGATTTCAATGCCTGGCTCAAGCTCGGTTGCCGTTGCACCGACGTATAAGAAGACGCCCACGGTTGGCGGAGACTTCCGGAAAACTTTTTGAACTGCAAAATGCCAACGCTGTCCTAGCCAGCGTACCGACTTCGACTTTGCTGTCCTTCCGTCACTATCCAGCCGGACGGAGTCGACTATCTCAACCCTGCTGCTTCGCCGGGAAGGGAAAAACTGCGAAGCGACCCCTGCCAACTCCAGCATGTCGATGCTCTTCCGAAAGTCGTTCCGGACAAGGTCCAATTCGGGCAGGCGGAAAAGCGCACTGTTCACAAACGCCTCCCCAAAAGAATGCGGTCTCAAGTGCGGCGCAAGCCTCGCAACGGCCCGCTTCCTCTCGTTCAAGTCCGAAAAGTGTGTGCCGATCCACACGAGAAGCTTCTCCAGAATCACCTCCTCATGATCCACTTCGAGCTCGTCAGATCGTAGCAGAAGCTTAATCTGCCCCCAGCTCAGGTCAAGGAACTCCGCTGAAGTCCACGTCGCATTGACGTCTTTGAACGTGTCAATGACGTAAGTGCGTGCTTTATCCACCAGTGCTTTGACATCTGGGAACTGCTCAGTGAGGACCTCAGGGAGCGAGTCCGCGAGCGTTGCAGCGTCGGACATTTTCCACTCGCGTTCCGTTATGCACTTCAGAACGGCGCCCGTAAAGGACGGAACCTCAAACTTGTCGGCCACGAGGAGAAGAGACACGAGCTCGCGCATTTGCGCGCCCGCGGTTTGCAGCCGCGCCGACAATCCGCCCGTGTAGATGAAGCGGAGCATCTCCTTGAAGGCGACTTCTTCTGCAGTCGAAGAAGACACGAGTGAATCGAAAGTTTCGTCTGAAACCTGATCCAGAAAAACCAGCTTATCTCTTGGTAATCGTTCCTACTACGCGCACAGTTACTCAGAAAGTATATATACCGCTGAAAAGAAGCTTGTCGAAGTCAGAAATAGTTGTCGACCTTGCAGATCATCTATGCAAGAAAATTGCTTGGGCTCGAAGACAGCTCAAGGCGTCAAGCGACGGCGGCAAGCAACCAAGTTTAGCTGTCGCGTGCCAAAACAAGCAAGGTTTCAAGACTGCTAATCCAGAAGCAGCAGGACCCGGAGGGTAATACAGATTCTATTCAAAGCAGAGGGGCGGCAATGCTCGAACGTTCTGTTAATGCACAATTCACTGGAAAAGTATAAGAGTTCCCGTGCACTCCATGCCTTCTTATCTATCGCAAGGTTGTCGAATCTTTTTCGAATCCAATGTACTTTTATCTGGCGACCATTGAAGCAGAACTACTCCTCACGGAAGAACTTCAGATTCTATGGGACAGATCCATGGCACAGACTGTGTCGGTCACACGGGCGAATGACCACTTGTACAAACAATTCTTACCTGCAGCGGTGACTCTTAATATCACGGCCTTGGTCTTGTCCGACTCCTTCATGCCATTGAACAGCATAGCCTTCAGCACACGGCTCTTCGCGGCTACCACAATCGCGTTTACCGGAATCTCGTCACACTCGACGTCTACCCTCGTTCTGGGAAAGGGCGCGGAGGGTTCCGTTCCGGCTTCCAAGGAAGACGGAACAGATCGTGGCTGCCCTTCAGTTGTGGAGGCGGCTCCCAGAAGGCGGAGCATACTTTCGAACACCGTGCTAGAAGCTACAGGGCTCGAAACCCCTGTAAAATGAAAAGTTGGGAGACAATTGGGACTACTGACCATCCGGATCTTAGTGATCAAGGGTGAACGGAAGATCCTGGTAATCCTCTTCAGCTTGCTCACAATTGCTAACGGATGAAGATCACCTCTAATCTAAAGTTAGGGTTTATTGATCGACTCTCACAAACGACGTTGATCAAGCCACAAGCGATTGCCTATTCAAAGCCATTCCAAGACAGCCTTTCATCCGAACTTGCGGACATTCGAGCAGCCGCGCAATGGCGCTTCCGGATTCAATCAGCATCAAAGCGATTTCGTCTTTGATCTTTCAGAGCACCTGGATCATCCTTCGCAAGTAAAGCTTTGCTACTCACCCGCCGGTTCCCTTACAAACTCCAGCTTGAAAACACGGTCGCAGAACTCCGCTTTCCTGCACGTACGGATCGGCCACCAAATATCACTTCACCCTTCACAAGGATACTTTTCAGGACACCAAAAGTAGATTGTGTGCCGCTTGTGAGTTCCGCCTTACCCACCATGGCCGCAAAGAACACTGATGTGGCATTACGTGGTCTGAATGCTTTGTTAAGAAGGGACCTCACCGGACCTATAAAAGTGGGTTCGGAGGGTATGACACCAATATCGTCCAGAATCAATTAGTTGGTGACTAGTATCCAATCAAGTCCTCTCTTGCATCCAAAAGAGCTTGAGTTGGGGTTTCAGAAGGTTTTCTGTACTATTAATCGAAAGATAGCACCCTTCGAGGCTTCTTATTTCATTGGTGACTGTGTACTCAGGAGATATGGCAATTGGACGCTTGATCGACTAGATTTTGTGTCTTATTTTGCAGCATCCTATAAGATGCATAATACTGTATTTCTCTGAAGCATTGTTCCTTTAAAGGGGATTGAAAGAAATTCTTCCACGTTTGAAGATAACCCCCTTTACCGTGACCAAAGTGCCTCATCACCAAAGTAACTTCAAGTAATTGATTGCTGTCGGTTCTATGCGCTAGAGAATCACTAGTATCGGTCGTCTTAAGCAGTCACTCTGTTTGGTGAACAAAAGCGGATCTTCTTCATGTGCAAGTGTTGATTGAATGATGATTCTTTGTGTACCTGTAGTTTTCAGCAAGCTTCATTCTGATTGGTCAAAGAAAACCCAACTTGTGTAAAAAAGCCTCACTGGTAGAAAGGAGAAAAGTCGAAGTGGTTGCCGGCTTCATGAAGCTGATCTCGCGTCACTTCAGGTCCCTTGAACAAACTTGTTTTGGAGGAAGCGGACCCCATGAGTTGGCGCCTTTTGCTAGACTTCCGGTGACCTGCGAGAAACGATTGTATGCTGACGGAGCTTCAACGAGAGATCTGCACGCTGGCAAGAGTTCCTCAACGATGACCAACTACAGTAACCTATCTGGCTCGCGTGTGCGCTGTATGCTGGAGTAGCGTGAAGCAACTGTGGCGTTCCTCGAAGCAACTGATGTGAAGCTTCACAGCTACTGATAGAGGAAGTGAATGCGGCCGGATGAAAGATGCAGTTTGTGCGCGGGCCGCTCATGCCGCAGCGCCGCAGCGCCGCAGCGGCACGCGGCCGCGGCTGCTCTTCCCGCTCGACGGCCGCATACAGGTTGACTTACACTGTAAATTGCTGTGAAGCGTCACGTCGAGGAACCGCCACAGTTGCTTCACGCTACTCCAGCATACAGCTCACACACGGGAAAGATATGGTACTGTAGTGGCTTATGGTTCAACAATTCTAGCCAGCGTGCGCCAGATCTCTCTGAAGCTCCGTCAGCTACAATCGTTTCTCGCAGGTCACCGGCAGTCTAGCAAAAGGCGCCAACTCATGGGGTCCGCTTCCTCCAGAATGGGTTTGTTCACCGGAGCTGAATTGACGCGAGATCAGCTTCATGAAGCCGGCAACCACTTTGACTTTGCTCCTTTCTACCAGTGAGGTTTTCCCACAAAAGTGTGCTTAAGTTGAATAGACAAGATTGAATGAAGCTTGCTGTAAACGATATGGGGTACAGGTATACAAAGAAAATTCCTTCTATCGGCTCTAGCACATGCGTGAGATCCGCTTTTGTTCAAGTCACAGATTTATCACTGCTTAAGGAAAGCGATATTAGTGTTGCTCCAGCGAAGAGAAGCAACATACAACGTCATGAATTTGGTGATGAAGTTTGATACGGTTCGTCGGTTTTAGCATTTATTATTGATTGCTGAACATATCGTCGTGTTTACAATGAAGGCTTCTCCACAGCGCTAGGGTGATACATCTCATCGAAAGCTGCAAAAGAAGCTGCAGAAGCTTAGTCGATCAAGCGTCCCCTCTCAAATCTACAGTGCAACAGTCACCATTGAAATGTTCAACGTGAATAGTCGTTCTTTGGATCGCTCTTTGGACCAATCTAGGACTCCTGCTGAAACTCCAACCAACCTGCTTCAGACTTGAGGCAGGGGAGTTATTAAAAACGATACATACCAACTTCATTCTGGTGGATATTATTGGATCAACCGCCTTCTCTTGAATTCCAAACCTAGTTTAGAGTCTGGTCCGCTCTTACCAAGCATAAATACCATACACGAACGCTTATGTGTTCGTTGCGGCCCTGGGTAGTCAGGTGAATATCACAAGTCGCACCCTGTCTACCTTTTGGTTTCTACACATAAATCCTCGTGAAGGCGAACTGACACTTGGACGCAATTGGTGCGTGCAGAAATGCGGAGTTCTGCGACCGCATTTTTAGGCTGGAGACTGCGATCGAACCGGCGGGTGAGTTACGGACCAGAATTCTCCGATTGTGTGTGATTGTACTCGTCAAAAGAAGTGCGTCGTCAGAGATTTACGGGATGATTCAGGTACTCTGTCAATGTCGAAGACGGTTTGCTCTGATGCTAAGAGATCCTAGGCCAAGAGCGTCATTGAGGGGTTGCTGAAACGTCTGCAAGGTCGGATGCAAGGCTTGCTTGGAATAGCTCTGATCAGGCGATTGCTTGTGACTCTTGATCAGCGTAGTCTGCAGGGCGTCAATCGAGAGCCCTGAATCACAATTTAATGTGATCTTCATTCGTGTAGGTTGAAGATCATCATGGAAGCCTGAGGATTGTTTTGTCTGCCCCACAGTAGCATCCCGATTGCCGGTCGTCTCAAATCTTCTCCAACTTTTTGTTTTACAGGGGTTTCGAGGGATGTAGCCTCTAGCTCGGTGTTCGAACGCATGCTCCGCTTTCTGGGAGCCGCCTCCACGACTGAAGGGCAGCCACGAATCGTTCCGTCTTCCTCGGACGCCGGAAAGGAATCATTCGCGCCCCCTTCCGAAGCAAGGTTAGACGTTGAGTACGAGGAGATACGGGTCAACGCGATTGTGATAGCCGCGTGCTGAAGGCTATGCTGTTCAACGGCATGAAGGAGTCGGACAAAAATAAGGCCGTGATCGTAAAAGTTACTGCTGCAGGTGAGGATAATTCAACTATTCGTTCTTTCGTACTGCACCTGATCCGCAGAGATTGTGCAAAGGACCTCTCTCATCATTTTTGAAACTCCTCAGGTTCTGCGCTACACAAATCATGGGTTTCGAAATCGAAAACCTTGTAAGCAACAATTGATAGGACGCAAATTTGAATGGTTGCTTGCCGCCAGCGCTCGACATCTTGAGCTACCTCTGATGTGAAGCATGGTTGTATTAATGTAGGCGATGAGCAAGGCTGAAAACAATTTCTGACCGCGACAAGGGATCGTTCGGAGCTACCACTTCGAAGCACAAGTGCGCGCCCAGAGACTGAGACACGAACTGTCCAGATTTTCAAGACTTGTATTTCATATCTTCGAATCTCGCCTTCTTTGACTGCAGAAAAGGCCGCTTTCCAGGAGATGCTGCGCTTTATCTACACGGGCGGCCTATCGCCGCGGCTGCGCACAGCGGACGCGCATATGCGCGAGCTTGTGTCTCTTCTCCTCGTGGCTGACAAGTTTGAGGTTCCGACCTTTACGGGCGCCGTTCTGAAGTGCATAAGGGAACGAGAGTGGAAAGTCTCCGACGCTGCGACGCTGGCAGACTCGATCCCTGAGGTGCTGACTGAGCAGCTGCCAGGACTCAAAGCAATAGTGGTTAAAGCACGCACTTACATCATTGACACTTTCAAAGACGTCAGCGCGACTTGGACGTCAGGGGAGTTCCTTGACCTGAGCTGGGGTCAAGTCGAGCTTCTGTTGCAATCTGACGAGCTCGAAGCGGATCATGAGGAAATTGTTCTGGAGAAGCTTCTCGTCTGGATTGGCACATACTTTGCGGACTTGAACGAGAGGAAGTGGGCCGTTGCGAGGCTTGCGCCGCACTTAAGACCGCGTTCTTTTGGAGAGGAGTTTCTGAACAGTGCGCTTTTCCGCCTTCCGGAGCTGGACCTCGTCCGGGACGACATTCGGAAGAGTCTAGGCACCCTGAAGTCGGCAGAGGAGGATGCGGAGAGCTTCCCTCCCCGGCAAAGCAGTAGGCTTGAAATAGCCGAGTCCGTCCGGCTAGATAGTGACGGGACGATAGCAAAGTCGAAGTCGGTGCGCTGGTTAGGACAGCTGTGGCGTTTGCAAATTCAAAAAGACTCCCGAAGCTGTCCGCCGACTGTGGGCATTTTCTTATACGTCGGTGCGCCGGCGACCGAGCTTGAACCAAGCATCGAAATCAGGATCGACTTCCTCGTCAAAACATGGCCTGGAAAAACGTGGAAGCAGATTCACGGGTCAGATGTTAAGACCGGCGCATATTTCGCAGAGAACCACAGCTCCGGCTATAAGGACGCGCTCGATATGCCTTGGGATCAAGCAATGCAAGCCAAGGAGTACTTGGATCCCGCAGGCTGCGTCTGTTTCAAAGTCGAAGCGCAGCGAGTAAAGAAGGCGCCAAAGGGATACATCGAAGTGTGAACTTATCCGCGAGAGTACTAGCGTAATCAAATCTGGCTTTCATTTTTTAGGCTAGCTGCATGCAAGAAGTTGGTAAAAGCTGTGGAGAGACATATTTCCAGATAAAGGTGCACCGCCTGTAGAGCTTGAGTGCGACTCAAGCGCCTTCTCGTGCTGTTGAGGTCTCGAGTCCAACACTACAGGTTCGTCGCATGATCAGCCGCTACTTGAGTTCCGCTATCAGGCAACTTCCGGTTCCCTGGGCCTTTTGTTTCATGCATGTAGCACGCTAGCCTACTTTTTAATTGTTGATACTTTACTTCATGCTGCCCAAAGCATGACAGTATGACTTTTGGACGACTTGGCCAAGTTTTGGCCCTAAAGCTTAGTTGATCTATCAACTGATCCATTCAAGTCGTTCAGTCCTGCACTCTGCTATTCTGATCGGTGAAGATCATCGACTTAGTATCTTGCCAGAACTCTCGTCATGACTCGACGTCGGAGATCTCCCCTTTAGTACCTCAGAAGCTGACTAAACGTTTATAGTTTATGCTATCATGACGTGGCGGGCCCCAACACGACGGCCGGTGGGTGGAACGGTCTGCACGGTTGGTCTGAGTGATTGACCAATGATACTTCAAGTGTCTCCACCGGACGTTTGCAAGCATGGACCAGACCTATTGATAAAGTCAGAATTGGAATTTTTCACTTAAAGTCGAACACGACATGCATGGTCACATATTTTCGGGCGTTTTGATCGAGGCCGGGCTCGTACCGGGTACTGCCCCATGAGCTCACATCGTGGTCACTGGATCAATTGCTCAACACCACATATATAACGGGCGGGCCCGGGCTCAATGGTCGACGAGTCAGTACTACGCGTTGTCAAGCAATCATGCGTGTCGGCTTGGTTGTCGGATTATTGTCGTTGCGTGTTCATGCAGAAGCAAGGCTGACGGTATGTTCGTACCCGCCATCCATCCACGGCCTAGGCGCGCGGCGTGCGGCGGAGGCCCTATAGCCACGTCATGATGCATAGTGCATGGGGAGGTGCCAGAGCTGCTTGGACCAAATTTCGCCTTCCGGTTCAACAAGGAATCGGCAAACAACATCAGTGAGCGAAGCGTCTCAATTCTTCTATCTGAATTCTTCTATCTGAATGTTCATCGAAGCTCAGAAGAATCTGAACATGAAGGAGCTGATAAACGGCTTTTCAACGCCGTTCCGCAACTTGCATGAGGGCTCCGGATTCCTCAATTCCACCGGGGCTAAACAATTTGCACTAGCACCGTCAATGCTTCCAGTTGAGGATCAGACTTCAATTCAGCCAAAAATGACATCTTTCTGGTCACTGTACTCGCTCACCGACTATACAATTCGCCTTTCATATCCCTGCAGACAAAAGAAGCACCTTGAGTTTCAGGAGGTGCAGCTAGCGTGATTTGTGCCGTTTTAGCGGGACTGACGACAGTGCGGAGGGCCGAGCCGTTGGTCCGAGCGCTTTCAGCCTCTGTGCGAATGAGCGTGGCTGCAAGCCCCACTGACTTGACTTAACACTGGGGCTCACGATTATGCCAGTGATCCTGGAGATGCTGCCTCAAAACAGAACTCCAATCCACCAAGCTTCGCCAGTAGATTCAGGAGCGAGAAACGTCGAGGAACTCAAACCAGCGAACTTCTTGGGACCCGCTTTTCAAAGCCGACGTCTTTTTACCTCGACTAAAAAGCGTGTCTCAAATCATCTTTGTAAGGCCTGATCTGCCTCGTGGTGACTCCAACCTTGCAGTCGGCACCTCCTGGCCCACTTTCCCAAAGGCCAGACCTCTGCACTTTATGACACATTCTTAGAAGCTCGTTGCCTTCTTGTTAAAGTTTCTGACAATCCTGAGGGATCCATCGACGGGGAGAAATGAACCCCTCACCACTGCGCTAAGCTCCTTAAACTCGAGGCTGCGGGGCCTCAACCGGCGTCGTGAGAGACCGTTGCAGGGCTGCCACGTTGGACAGCTGTTCCACGGAGAGCTCATCCCAGCGCAACCCGTTTTGCAGGTCGTCTTTCATAATCTGCAGAGCGAGAGAAACGCGAGAAGATGGTTGCGGCATCTGTCTCTCCAGTGCTCCGATCAGACTGAAATCAGGATGCACAGACGCGCAGGCCAAACTGCACAGGTTCGATGAGTGGTGGGAGGTCGAGTTTGAAAGTTTAGACAGCAGCGAAGCTTGTAGAATGATCTCGTCGCCTTTCGGAGGGAAGGCACTTCAAGAAGCTCGATGTCAAAAGTCAACAACTTCAAGGAAGTACAGGGGAATTTGAAATATGCTCGAATGCCGATTCGACTGTGGCTTGCTCGGCTGAGCAGCTTTTGAAGCATCAGGCGATATCAGGTTTGCAAGCTTCCACGAACGTCCAGGGTACAGGCTATTTGAGCAGCAGTCAGGACGTTGTGTCAATGATGTCCTGCTTGTTCTCACGGGATGCTTGCAACCGAGGCTGGATCCGAACACAAATCAGTCTCCGTATCGAGGTCTCATGACATCTTACTTCGATGCATACTTTCAGTTGTGAAGGTTCGATAGGTGCACTTTTCCTGTCTACGTAGAGGCTGCCCAGACTAGTATCGCAAGAACGCATGAAGCGTTGCAAAACCACGCAAACTCGCCCTCATACCTTTGCTAATCACCGCTTCCATTGACATACGAGGAACTGATATTCCTGCCTGGCGGAAGCAGCCTCCGAAGCTTATAAGTTGTCAAACCTGAAGCTTCAATACCACGCTTCTCAAGGCATCCGCACAATATGGAATTCACGAGCTCACCTTTACAACCTGCTTTTTGATAGCGCTCGCATCAACGCCGTGCTCCTTAAGCAGCCACGCGAGCCATGAGTCCATGTTGGCTGACGTCACCAGAACCATCTGGATGACGTCAGCACAGAGGGCGGGCACCCCACAGGCGTCGGCCAGAGACAATATGTCCTGCAGATGGTAAGAGAATCATCGGCTTCCACGACAAACCGGCAGCGAATCTCAGACCTTGATTGAGATACTGAGGGCTGACAACGACCGATAATTGCTTTGCAGACCGAAAAGTTGAGTCTCTTCAGACCTTTGATGATCTTATGAGGCAGATAAAAAGTAATGCCTGCCTTCATGTCAAGGAACCAACAAGCGCTGGTTTTAAACAGCAGCAGCGGATATCTGCTCCCTTTCCAGCTCCAGTCAACAGTAACAATCCGCAATTTTGGGAGCAAGGAACACAAGTCAGTTGACACAGGCTTCGATGATCACAAAGCAATGCCCGTCCTGTTCCTCGCCCTTGTCACGCCCCTTGGCCTTCTGAATTCATGATTGGTTGGACCAAGATAGAACATGTAAACCATTTCGGTTCAAGCCAGATGAAAGTATATCCAACTCTATCTCAAACGTCGAGTCCGCACCTGGAGTAGCCGCCCCGACGTTGGCTCGATCCTAAAGACAGAACGGGTGTCCCCGTAAACATAGTCCAGAAAGGCAACAATAGCTCCTTTCGTGACAGTAGCTGGAAGCTCAAGTCGCAGCTTGTTGTGCAGATTCCAGGCTGTGTTTCCTGACCACTCTCCTCGGAGCTTCGCCTCAAAGTACGGAATCTCGACCAAGACCGCCGAGTGGGCCGGTACTTCTACGCCCTCCTGCGAATCGAGGGGACGCAAGATAACCCAAACGTCAGTTCTGATAACCAATAACTTAGATGTAACCACTTCTCTTCAACCCCTAGATTGGACCCCTAGAGGACTAGACCCCAACTTGTTGATAATTTGAACGATTCTGGAGAGACAATTCTTCCCTAATGTCGTTCAACTGATGTGGAGTCAGCTGCATAAGGAACCTTGGATGATTCAGAGGGGGCTCTTCCTGCGAGATAAGAGAGCACAACCTACTTGTTCCCGAAAAGGTCAGAGCTTGATGCACTCCCATCCTGAATTACTTAAGCAGCGATAACCGCAGCTCCGTCTGGCAATGATGTCATCTATTGCTGAAACAAGCCCCCCGACCTCAAGCTCTCCGAATATTGTGACAACATGACATCCCGATTGGCACAGCTCTGCATTAGAAGAAGCTGGCATCCTGCTTCCACCCATGGTTCCCAACAGATGTTTGTACTCCAGATTGAGCAGAAAAGCAGCTTTCTGACGTCCTTGCAGAATGCTGAGCTCACCTCGCCCAGCAAAATCAGGTCCCCCGTCCTTTCCGCCTTCTCCAATAGTGCCGTCTTAGGCTGAAGCGCCCGCTCATTGCTGAAATAGTTCCAGTTCTTCCGCGAGAATCTTCGCTTGACTGCCAACTTTATCTCAAGCATAACGAAGTCATTCTGGACGCCAAAGATCTGGAACAGGGGCCCTAATCGAGCGGAGGCGTCACGAGAATTCTTTAGGGACCTTTGGGCCTTGAAAGACCCATCCGCTCTCAGCTCGGCCTCCCAGGCAGACACCAAATAGACGCCAGGTCTCCCAAAGTTGGGGCCTTCATCAGGAGCAGGAATGGGTTGCAGTCCTTCCTTGAGCGCGCAGACATCCCAGATGTGCCGACCATTGTGTGCATCCGGTTCACTTTGCTGGTGAACACTCAACCTCGCACAGCCCGCTTGATACCCAGGCTTTGCCCCTGACAGGGGCACAGCTAGCGTGTACAGGGTCGTAGCTCCTGCATCTTCTATGACGAAGATCCTGTAGGAGAAGTGATACTCCTGAATAACATCAGGGCATTGGTTTCCCTGGGGGACTTTGGGGGCTGCTGACGAAGAGCCTGGGATGCTCTTTGCATTTGGTTGTGAAGGGACCAGATTTGGCTGGTTTTTAGATACATCTGCCCGTCGAGGAGCGGGGTCCAGTATCACGACCTCGGTAGCGTAGGGCATTAGGAAAGTCGTGCTATCCATAACGACCCTGGAGTAAGCTGGATTCGTTTTGCAGGTTCAGTTTGCTTCTGCTTAGGCCCCAATAAAGGCAGTATTGGTTTCTGCTATCCCATTTCACACTGGGCACGTGTTTGTGAAGGCAGCTCAGACTAGCGTGACACCTCAAGCTGACATGGATCTGATCCCGCAGCTAGAAGCTAATCTCCTGTCTTTTTTTTGACTGCTCAAGCTGCCCCGAAATGCCTGTCAGCATATGCGATCTTCAGCACATTTCCACCCAGAGTCAAGCTCTTCTAAAGGTGCGCTTCGCACCCCGCACTCCCCATTCTGCACATGACATTGCCCCGTCGTCCAGGTGTAAGCTCTTCAAATGATGTTCTTCGCAAGCCAGCTCTTCTCAGCTTTCCCCTTTGTCTGCTCCAGCTTTTGTAGCACTCAAATGATATTAGACAAGAGCAATGCTCACCAACTGACAGTGACTTTGAGAGCATGTGGCCGTGAATGAGCTAGCTGAGAGCTCTGTTCCGGTCTGGTTGGACTCTTGCCGCTTATAACGGAATTGGAATGCAGGTTTCATAGGCGGTCAGTGCCAGTTAACACTAACCCAAGGTGGCACACAATTAGGGTTCCGCATCGGCCTCACCAGCGCCAAAATCGCGCGCAGCTTGTAGCTCATGCAGCATTGGTCCTCGTTTCAGAGCAGGTTGAGGACGCCTTTGGAAGCTGAACAGTGACCTAATATGTATTGGAACCATCAAATTTGAATGAACGTTCTGCTGATCAAGGTAGAAATGCTCATGCAGGCGCAGGCCGACCCTGCAACCAGCTGTATCGGAGATGGATCAAAAAGTGCGTTTCAAAATCCCCAATCGTTGATCTGAATCATGCTATGGAGGTTCCTGAGCTAGTAACTTTCCTGAACACGTACAAGCACCTGCAGTCTGAAGGAATAAAAATTGCAGCCAGCGCCCCACTTTCTACATTGTGGAAAGGATCCCTGCTGAGAGGGGCCAGTCTGACAACGAAAATGTTGCAATCTTACCTGCTCACCCTCATGAGCTGCAACTTTTGAGCAGAAAGGGGCCTCAAGGCACCTAGCACAATGGCCATGCAGAATGTAGACTATATTGCTCTTCTTGCGGACATGCCAGGCTTCTTTGTCAAGACACGGCAGGGAGGTCCCGGAGTAGAGATCTCACAAGAAGAAGACATTCCACAAGGATTTGGGGATAGGATACCGGTGGTTGCAGCTGGCTTGGATGTGGAGCATGGAGGTCCCTTTACCAAGGTAGGCAATTGTGTTAGCCACTGGGGCTTTACTGCTGCCAGCTTCAGAGTCGAATCTGCCATGACGTATATCTTTGAAGCAGCATGATCTGCAGTGCAGTGTGGTGGTGAGCTCGTATTGCCCTCTTAGCAGGGAGACCCTGCAAACCTAGAAATCTGAAACGCAATTCGAGCAGGCTCTGAAGGACGGCGTGCCAGGTCAATCCGGCTTAAGAGACAGCATTTGACACCTCGCAGGCTTGACCACAGAAGTTGCTTGATGTGAGGCCATGCCAACAGCAAGTATCAAAACGACACAGCGGCATGGTTGTTGGGGTTCAATTTCGCATTTTTGTACTTTAGCAGGAGCGCAAGGGGGGCCATCCGGCTTCGCTTCTCAGTCGGTTGACGTCTAGAATCCTGCACAAGCAAGTCTCAAGGGGACAAACGCAGATGGCACAGGCAAGCCCCGCTGTGCCTCTCTCCATAGACTCAGGCCTTTCCTCACAGTAGACCCAGATTTGACATACAGAGGTAGATAAGGTGAAGTTGAATGTATGAGCAAGTGCAGGACCTGACTATTGTGATATATCAGAGATGCATGCTTGTGATGTCAGCGTTACTAGCCCTGTAGAGCCCCTGGACGGCATTCTCATAAGTGCCGACGAGCAGGGGAGATATCCAGGATGCTTTGTTACTCCGATTTCACTCAAGCTTGAATATTAACTGTACAACAGTAGTGGACAGACAAAGCAAGTTATGTTTGAGCATAGCGACGATTTTGTTGTTGGTCCACAGATCATTGTGAAGCCGGTGGTGAATGTGACTGATCAGAAGTTCTACCTGTGCCTTTGATGCAGATGGTGGGCTCAGAGAGTCCCCCAACACAACGCACACTGGAAGCTTCTGCAAGAGATGCCTTCGACGTTGGACAGGAGCCTCAAGCTGAGGACATGTTGCATCATGATACTTCCGAAACCAAGGCATTTGATCAAATGACAACGAAGAAGAAAGTGAGGCCTGCTTCCTATGCGGATCATTATTACGCGACTTTCTGCATGATGATCAGAGCCAGCTTTGCGATGAAAACCAATAATAATGTGCCTTCTTCAATCCAGTCCGAATCAACACTTCTCCAGATTTCCTCTACGCTGTTTAGCAGCTTGCTACTTGTCATCTCCTCCTTTCGACCAGAGTCGTTCCGGTGCTTGTCGAGTCTTGATCGTGGAAGGAAACCCTTCGGTGATAATGAACAACGTAACTTGTTTAAGGAGTGCCAGTCAACCCCTAACCTCAACCTTCTTTGTCTGCTTTCTTAACCTTTCAGGAAACTTTTTGCAGCTGCAGATTTTCCCACTCCAGCTTTGGCCTTCCAACCACCCTTCATTCAAACTCCCCCCCGACTCTCAGTCCCCTCGGTCGCCTCTGATGTGCGCCACCCCCCACGAGCAAGCCCTGTGGCGCCCCCCCGAAACGAAATCCCTCCCTGAAGAAGGCCACATCCTGGCCCTGACGATCCACCAAGCGCAGCCCCTCGTCCCTGAGCTCAGGCTGACGTCACCAGTAGTGCGCATGCACTGTGTTGACCGGACGACCGGGCATTATTTGAAGAAGACGGACGCTGCGAGGCCGGCAGTCTTGCACAACGAGGCGTGCGATTACATCATGCCGCTGCAGACGAAGGTGAGGCGGATGTCGGAGCAGAACATGGATGAGGTGTTGCGGTGTAAAGCGAACAAGTAGAAGTCGGGAAGAGTTGATAAAAGCTCAAGTATCTGCGGCACACAAGCAATTTTACGCGTTCGTTGGCCAACGGCAGCAGATTCGTGAACTGAAGCGTCAAGGCTTCGCAAGGGTTCATCAGTGGACTAGCCTTCGACAATATCGCAGAAGGCTTGCGTTTGCTGTACATGGGGCATAATAATTTTCAAGAACCAACCAAACAATATCAATAGCTTTGCCCTCAAAAGTCAGCTGAATTCGTTTTTTTTGTTGCCGCCGTTGGATTTGACGCAAGCAGCCGCGTCGACGTGTCAAGCGCAGCTGGGAGCAATGCCTCCTTACTCACTAAGGCCGTCCGTTCTGTCCACTCGTCCCTCAACGATCTCATAAAGAGACTCCGAGTCGACCAAGTCCATAATATCACCTTCAAGCCAGTTCAAGTCGGTTCCTTTTTTGCAGCCGTTCGATCTGAAGCAGGGCGGCCGCGCTGGCATCTTAAGCGTGGTTGAGAGGACTGCCTCTTGTTCAAATGAGGAGGCCGTCCGTTCTGTGGACTCGACCCTTAACAAGCTCGTAAAAGGTTTACAACAAAGTCCATCAAATTCACATTCCGAGCCAGTTGAAACCGCTCCCTTTCTTGCAGCCGTTCGATCTGAAGCAGGCGGCCGCGCCCGCCGAATAAACGAGGCGTAGGAGAAGTACTTCCTTTTTGGACGACGAGGCCGTCCGTTCCGTACGCTTGGATCTTTTGAGAGTCTTGGTAACAGACTCTACGTTATCGCTGCTATGAATTGTTGCGCAGAAAACTTCGACAGCCGAATACCTCAAGCGCAACGCAACTTAGAATTGACTGAACTTGTTTCCCTTCTTGCAGCCGTTCGACCTCAAGCAGGGCGGCCGCGGGGGAATCCTGTCCGCAACTTGGGAGGAGTGCCTCCTTTTGGACGAGGAAGCCGTCCGGTTCTTCGCGCCTGATGCTTTGCTCCTGCTAGAGATTCTGCAGCTGCCGGCGTCTCTAAGCAAGCAGAAGCGTGGCCGGCTGACGGGGGGAGTGCCCGCATGGTAAGCCCCGCTGCGCTTAAGGACGGTAACCGGTGAAGATAGGTTTGTTGCTCTTTTGGTGGCCATACCGTGTCTCCTTTAGAGGTCTCGTTGACCATTCTCCCGCCTCCTCTTTTGTTTGAAAGCATCCCCAGTCCTCCGAACCTGCCTCTTGTAATCTAGTGAAGTTTCTCAAAAGGATCGACATTGTTTAGTATTGTTGCTGACGGCCATACCGTGTCTTTTCAGAGGTCTCGTAGATAATCCTTCCCGCTTCTTCTTTTGCAATGTGATCTCCCCAGTCCTCCGAAACCTGCCTCTTGTCGAACTTGAGTAAAACTTCCAGAAAGGACGTGATTTGACACCTAACATCGTTTGCCCTGTCCAGCGAGGCTTGCAAACGCTGTCGGCATCCAATCGAGAGTCCGACACAATAACTCTTTGTATTGCTCCGATGCATGCCGCTTTTGGCCGGAAAGGTCATACGTAGAAGAAATATGCTCGTCGAACCTCATTTAGAGCGAGAAGCGTGCTCAGAATCTGTGCTCGTATGATCAAATACCGGATCTAGCACTATCTGTGCTCGTCAAAACGCAGGCCCTTTCCTGTCCCAGGAAGCTGCTCGACGGCCACTACCGCGTCGCGTGGGCGTACCTCGCCCCGCAGTCCCCTCTCGGCCAGCCCCACCTTGGGCGGGTCTCTCTCCAGCTTTACCACTACGCTCCGCCACCCCGTTTTCGCAGCCGCGAGGCGCCGGAGGTATTCGCCACGTGGCAGTCGCTCTGCGACCCGCGCTCGAGCGCGCGCGCGCGCAGGAAGAGGGCGCGCCGGCTGCTGTACCCGGGGGCGATCGCGGTGACGACGGCGGCAGTGCCGCGGCCGCGCGCGGACACTGTGGTTGCAGCGCCGCAGGTAAGGCAGGATCCAATTTGATTAAGAAACTTTTAGAGACTTTGAAATACCTTAAAAGACTTAAACTCGTTTATTGAGAGGCGGTCTGCATATACGGCGAAGTTTATGGACAAAACGCATGTAATGTGGTCATTTTAGATTCGAACAATCTCGCCTAAAGGTTTCGCTTATGCAAGGCTTTTGCACGGAGTCCGCAACGGCCAAGGGAAAATAGTTGCTCTGGAGGCCTACAACAGACCGAGCTTCGCAATTGGCTCGCAGCCTTGCGTCGTCTTTGCTTTTGGGCCAGCATACGGTCAGACTTACGGGGTTGAATAACTAATACAAAGCTTGTGGGCCAGCTTTAGAGGCTGGAAGGATGTAATCTCTCACGCCACAGCCGTGATGTGTCAACAGTCGACCTGTCCGGACCTCTTTCAGGTGGGCGTTCGGGGCCTTTTGGCGAGCCAGGTTGAGGCCGGTCGGCTGGGCGCGGAAGATCTTCTCCAAGAGTGGCAGGACAAGAACCAGGGCGGAGAGCAGACGCGGAACGGCGAGACGGGAGGCGCGCTGCTGACGGAGGATGACGTCAGCGCGCCTCAGCACGCGCGCGCGCACCACGAGCCGTGCATCGTGCCCACGGTGTTGCAGCACCGGCTAGCCGCCGGATCGAGGTAGGCCCGTTCGACATAGTTCTCGACTTCAAGTCAGACAAAGAGCATGTTGACTAGGGAGTATGCTCGGGAATACAAACAAAACTAAAAACCTACACCGAGAGTTGACATGTTCCGCACCCGTACCCACACCCTAACCCCGGAACAAACCCAAGCAGGCCCCGGGGCACTTTCGTTAGTTTCCACGGCCCTTTGTCAACTAGAAATCCATTCAGCATAATCCATTCAGCGGCGTCTTGGAGAAGCCGTATTGCTGACGCTCGAAGATAACGTGGCTTTTCTGTATGATCACGATTTTCCTCGGTTTGAATTCACTACGCATGCACGTCGCTGCCCGGTTGAGTTGGGTCTCGGGTCAAGGTCGGTTTTTGAAGAAGAGGGTGGGGTTTGTGCCTCCGGTTTTACTTATCAGCTTCGCGGCGAGATCAGGATTCAATTAGCTCCTTGTTCGGAATATACATGCATTGAAGTATGTCTGCAGCTCACCTGTTCATCCGTCCTTCACTACGAAAGAGAGGGTCACGGTCCCTTTATTTCCGTTTTTGTATCAATTTTTTCAAATCATTCTTTTGAGCATTTCTCGTTTCTAACGCAGGGGCTGCGTCCGCATCCGCTTCTCCCCAAGCGGACGATTCCTGGCAGTGGTTGCGTCCGAAGCGCTCCTCTACCCGCTCCTAGTCTTCTCCGCGCACTCGGGCGCACTGCTCGCCACCTTTCAAGGTGAACTTAAGCGCTTTTAAGCGAGAGTGGCGACAATTTTGTGCTTCCGTTTTCTCTTAAGCGAGTCTGGGTCCGCGGAAAACTCGCCTAGCGCAGGCCGTTGAAGTGAAACTTTTGACGTACTAACGATCTTTACCTGCTTTTTACGTCCTATGTCTTGAGGAAGGCCCGTCAAGTGTTGAACGACGTCTGAGATTCTTCCTTCACAAATTACATCTTCCCCACAATAAAACCGTGTTCCCCGATTAACGTCGGGTTGAGTCCTTGGTAAGAAGCCATCAATGGGCCTTCGACGATTGCTCCATTCTCTCCGCCTCTTTGGACTTTCCTGCCAGACTGTGGGCTTTTCGTTTTGTTTCCTCTTCGTGGCTGAAAAGCGGTCGCAACCCCCTGCTTCGATCCAACCTAAGCGAGTCTTCCTAACCGGCACTTTCTTTGTTGCTCTGTCCAGGTCATCAGTCTTTGGCATACGACCTTTCCTGGACCACCGACGACTGCTCCATCCTCACCGCCTCCTCTGACTTCACCGCCAAACTGTGGGACTTTTCCCCGGGGCTTCGTACCGGGCGGCTAGGCGCCAGTTTAAAGCAACCGGGGGCGGCAACCGGGGGCCCGGCGACGGTGTTCCAGCACCCGTGCTACGTGTACGGCGCAGCTTTCCACCCGACGGCTCTGGCACCCAGGTAAGCTTCACTTGCACCGCATCAATTGCTGACAACCGGCGACTTGCTACCAATTGAGCACATTGTGTGAAAAGGGATCAGGGAGCTCGTTCTGCGTGTTTGACGAGGTTTAGACCCGTCTGAATGACGTGAGAAAATCATGCATTGATCCCACTGAAATTGCTTTTTGTTGTTGAACCTTAAGCATTAAGACTTCTTCTCAATCAGCCAGCATTTTCTCCTTTCAACTACGCCGCTTCTGAATCAGTCCCACTGCAAAACCCGCCTACACAGGTGGCCTAAACGCGCTCACTCGAGTCGTAAGTAAATTTCTGCACCTCCACAGGCTGGTCGCTACAGCCGCATTCGACGGGCACGTGCGCGTCTGGGACCGGGACGGCGGAGAGATGCTGCGGCAGATACCGCTGCACAAGACGCACATAAATGCGCTCGTCTTTGACCACGTGAGCCTCATACTTAAAAGTCCCTTGAAACCCAGCTTTCACTCGTAGGACTTCATGTTCTTCGGCACCAGTACAGCAGATGCCGCTGCACAAGATGCACATCAAAGCGCTCGTCTTCGATCACATGATCTTTGCAGCTTTATTCAGAGGTTTCCTAAACTCCTGACAACCGTCAGTCCTTTAGTATTATGAAGAAAGTGCATTGTCGTTCAATAAGCATCTTCAAACAAAAGCCGAGGAAGCCAGTCCTAGTTCTCCGAGCTGAGATTTTCATCCTCTTTTGCTGCAGGTCGGCAAGCGTTTATTCACGGGGGACGGCTCCGGTGCCATCACCGAGTGCTCCTGCGACTTCTCCCCGGAAGGGGGGGGTCTCAAACCCCTGCGCACGTCGACTGAGCTGGGGGGGGAACCGATAACGTGCCTCCGGCTGGCGCCCAGCGGGCGGCGGCTGTTTGCGCTCGCGCGCAGGAACCGGCTGGTGGGAATAGACTCAAGATTATTCACAGTGGACCGGCGGTACCGCGGTCTCCGGTGCCAGGACCACCCGGTCGCGTTTGATGTCAGCCCCGATGGGCGGTTTCTCGTGGCGGGGTCGGAGGACGGGCGGGCGTAAGTCGCCCGTATGCGGTTTCCTATCCAAACTTGTTTTTCTTTTCATTCCTAGAGTGATGATATGACTTCTTTGAGTTTGTTAAAGAGGGCGTCAGCGGATGCATCCGCAGAAGCATCTGGTAAGCTTGGAACGCACTGTTCTCTTTGCCACAATTTTGCTAAGAGTTGGCAGCGACAACCAAAGTGACTTTTCAAAAGTTAAGGACGCCGTGACAGCCACGTGTGTTCCCTTGAAACACAACGCCCACTTAAAGGAATTTATAAGATGATTGGCAATCACTTCGAGCTTTTACTTGCACATAGGTTTGCAAGTTGGGGGAGCAGTTGATGTGGCCATCATGGCCATTCGATTTGCCGCTCTCGATGAGTTCGTCGGGCTTACAGACACTTTCCAACCCGGCAATTTTTCTCCTCTTCAGGTCCCGCACAGTCAGGAAACCTTGCGAGTTTTCTCAGTATAATGCCGCTGCCGAGAAGCAGGTTGCCGTTACAAATCATCGTTGGGAAACGATCGCCGTTCAGTCTTCGATTTGATAAGGGGTGACGAAAATATTCCATATAAAAGATAATGGAAGACTAATCTGACATCGGCTTGATACTCTTCCTTCCAGGTACATGTGGCAAGTCGACTCCGGCGCGGTGTTCTCCCCCTTCCCTCCTCTCCCCCGCAGCGAGGCCGTTTACGAATGCGCCTGGAACCCGGTAGAGCACACCGTGGCAATCGCAGCCGTCGGGGTGGGATCCCCCGGGATGATCTTCTGCCCCGACCCGTCCCTTGTTCAGCAGTTTGACCCTCAGGTGAGGTGGTCCGTTGAGGATTTCGGGGCTTAGCTCCGCTGTTGGTTAGGGCACTGGTCAGCACTTTAAGACGCTTTCCTGGGTTCCTCATAATAACCGGGCGCAGTCTTCTGTTCGACCCGTCCCTTGTTCAGCAATTTGAACCTCAGGTAAGGTGATCCGGTCTGGACCTTCAGATCAAATTTGGCGCTAACGGGCTGGGTTATGGGACGAACCAGCACTTCGGAACGCTCGTATGGAATGTGTCATGAAGAGCGCGCAGATCTTGTCCCCCGATCCGTCGCTTCATCGTCAGTTTGAGCCTCAGGTGAGGTGGTCGGTTTAGGATAACGGGAGCAAAGTTCGGCGCTCCGGGCTATGTCGGGGTACTATACAGCAAGTTTGGGAACGCTCTGGCGGGCTGGAAGAAAACACAGTACCTTTAAAGCAAGCTTCTGCTCACCACAAACCACTTGCTGGTACTCCCAGATGTTCAGAATCTCTAGAAAGTCTGATTTGATAATTGTTCGATTCGTTCATTTGCAGCGCATCTAGACAAGGCAGAGAAGCAGGGGCCGGAGCAATACAAAAGCGTCTAACCCGTTTCACCGCAGGACCGTCGCGCATTGCCTGTCCAATCAAACAATTTCCGAGTTACCTTTGCCGCGTTCTTGACAACTCTTTATGCATCGCTGCGTCGTTTCCTTGAGGTTTCTTCCTCGTACTGGTCGCTAAGTAGACTCCTAACCCGTCCGCAGGGGACGCTTTCCGCTTCGTTCGACCCAATCCTGACCGGAACTACGTTCGTCATGTCGCCGGAACACCCGCTGCCCGCTGAGCTGCGGCGCATGCAACGGAGCGGACCGTTGCTTCCGATGGACAAATTCACGCCGGAAAAGGTGAGGAAGAACCGCGGTCACAGATCCTTAAATGAGCCGTTAATTGATCTCTCGGCAAGAGATAGCACCGAAAGTATGGCAGAGGCATGGTCTCTGAGTGGTTATCACCAGAGTTGAGGCTGCTACAAATCTAAACGCGGAAGCGATAGAGTCGAGAGCTCTCGCCGATATCATTGCTTTTCTGGTGGTTTCGGAAGTATATCGGATATATCCAGCTTCACTTACGTATGGCCAGAAACTGACACAATCTCCTGTAAGGACTTTTTTTCCTTCTTTCTGTTCCTTTGTAAAGTTGGCCTCATTGTTGGGCACTATCTTCGTAGGTCATAGAAATGCTGAGCACTCTTCGCGCCGCCGAGACGTGGCCCTTCACTGAACCAGAGTCTCTCCGCGGAACTTTACTTTCTACTTGCCTCCGTCCTGCGCTTTACTTTTTGCGCAGAATGCTTGCTTTACGTGCGTGCACAGATCAAGGAGATGCTGAGCACTCTGCGCACCGCCGACACGCGGCGCCTCACCGCGGCCGGGACTCCGCGCGACGCGCGCGCCGGGCCGCCGGAGCAATCGGAGGTCAAGTGGCAAGCGGGTCTCGAGCTGCGAGAACAACTAGAGCGGGCTGAAAGTTCTGGCCAAGAACGGCTAGAGGTGGCTCGCGCGCAAAATGCGGGGCGGGGATCTATAGAGCAGCCGGAAAGCGCCGGAGAAGGAAGTTCTGACGGAGGCCGCCGGAAGAGTGAGAGGCAAAAGAATTCGGAAGGGGCGTCGGAAGTCAACGAAAGGAGTGGGGCACACGAGCAAACTGGCCGAAAAGCGGGTTTGCAAAAACGATGCAGCTGGACCCGTTCCAGCGGCTTGAGGGCTGAGCAGAATCTGCCGGAGAAGAAGGAAGAGGAAAGCGAAAGGGTGAAGGTAGTTGGGGCTAGTGCCCAGGAAGTAAGGATGGACGTAGGGTTTGCGGAGAGCCCGAAAATTTTGGAGGCAAAAACGAGTGAAAGAGACTCTGGAGAAGCCCGGGAAGAGGGGTTGCGTAAAGCAAGGAGCCGCAGCAGCGACCGCGCTTCCGTTGCTGATGAAGGGGAACGGAACGGAACGGATAACGGGCCCGGCCGCTCGCGTGAAAGCGGAGATGTTGATAGAAAAAACCGTCTGGAGGAGCGGAGAAAAGCCCGGAACAAGTGGATGGAGTTCCGCCCGGAGGGGGAGGGCGCCGAGCAGAACCGAACGGAACGCGTAGCAGTCACGTCTGCCCAAAGCAGGGACGAGAGGGAAGTAGGGCCAAGCGGAAGCACGTACGTCGGTAGCCGAGACGAAGAGCAAACGGCACGGAAAGAGCGGCGGCTGTCAGAGTCGAGGAAGAAAGGGAGAGGAGAGTGGAACGAGCTGCGGGCGGAAGATGGAACGGCACGGAATCCCAGCCGGGTAGCGACGCTGCGTCGCATAAGCTCGCGGCTGAAGGAAAAGCTTAAGTTGGACTTGAATCAGATAAATGCGGACAAAGAGAGCCCGGAGGACGGAGACCAGTGTCTTGAACGGGACGGAAAAGCACCGAAAAGAGGAAAGCGGAGGTCAGGAAAAGAACAGGAAGGAAAAACCGAGCGGGCGGAAAGCAACGGAAACGGCGGGCGGAACGGAGCGGCACAAACAGCAGAAAGGAGTCTGACGGGTCGGCTGGCAAAGGTGCACTTCTTGTCGATATTTCTGCCAACTGCTCGAGCGCCATTCCGTCAACAAAAGTGCAAAGATCCTACATTCTGAATTTTATACACGCTGCTCTTCTTCTTATGTTTTCATCGTGACCCCTCGATTGCTCGTAGCTGGTGGTCTGATTGAAATTTGTACCGACCATTGACCGGGTTTGAAGCTTCGGGCACTACGAATGAGCAGCACATGCAAGGCCAGATTGCTTCAATGCCTTTTCTCAGCTCGAAATTCGCTTTCGTGCTGGGAATGCCCCTATGCGGCGGAACGGTTGTTCAACGTTGCACGGGCGGTAACAGACGCAAAGCGGCCAGGTTTAGCGGCTTGGGCGCACATGACTCCGTCCGCCAATGTTTCCGTGCAGGTACTGGATCCGAGAGAACGGATCAAAGCGCGCTTAGAGCGCCAGCGCAGCCGGGGTCCTCTGGCTTAGGAGATTTGCTGCCGCTTTGGCGTCCGCCAAGCACAGCGGTCGATTCATCGGGACCTTTTAGGAGACGCAGACTGCTCAAGTCGGGGTTGAAAGCTTCGGAAGTAGCGGCTGCAAATGTTTAGGCCCAGCTTTGGCCCGAGAGAGGTATGTCTGTGACGGTGCCCCTATTATGAGCTCCATAATAAATCACGTTTACTAAGTCAGTTCGCAAATGAGGGCAAAAGGGCACGTGCTCTGAGGCCCAGGTCACAATATTGGAAGTTTCATAAGTGCATGCAGCCAAGTTGCACCGTCTGGTGGTTTGATGAAACTTGCAAGGAATCTTGCCAGTCCACAACTATAATCGTTTTAGATCGACTTGAGCTTGATCGAAGACTCTGTCGAAGATCTTCGACGGCCTGCTCAACCAGCTATACTTTTCTTGGTCGCGCCAGGACCGGTGCTTCTGTAACAGAGCACGCTTGATGTAGACCGCCGGCGCTAGCTCGGAGGTCGATGTTTGGGTACCGTCACATGCTGACTGAATCATTGAACCTAGTAATCATTCTAGTGCTACTGTGGACCTAGAGGTGCCGCGACTGAATGGATCATTGAAATTACAATCACGCTCAAATGCCGCCGCTCCGTACTGAGTCTAGGAATGTAATGTCTGCGCCTGCATGTGTAGTATGTCAACGTCGCGGGACACATGCCTCCTGTTATGTACCAGCCCAAACGCCAAAAGGTGAACTATAATCAGCCAAGTGACCTTCTACATGAATTTAAGACGTATGTCACGTAGACATGTTGAATCTGGCCGAAATCATCTGGAAACTTAGTTTGCAGACCTTGCGCATGTTTCATATATAGACCCCCATGCAATTACGGCGTGCTCGGTGAGCTTATTATTTATATATTAGATGGTGTAGATTGATCGAGCGCGGCGTGTTGTTGTATATATTCCAGAAACTTAGGATTGGAAAATTCTAGCTTGAAGTAGTGTTAATCTCTCCTCGGGGTGGCCACTCCCAGTTTTAAAACATGGTATCTGCGAACTAAAACAAGTGATTTGGCTGTTTTGAAATTTTAAACGGTGTTTTAAAACGTTTTAAAACAGTTTTAAAACGTTGCAAATAGCCTGTTTTGTTTGTTTTTCCACGTTTTTATAGTGGCTATTGACTTTTTACGAGCTCCTATGTAACTGAAAAGCAGAAGTGAGTATGTTCGTATGCCAGAAAGGGCCCTAATATGTTGAAATATGCCACTCGCCCTGTTTTGAAAGCAGATTTTGGCGTTTTAAAACGTTTTACTGTTTTGTTTGTTTTATAAAACGGGCTATTTCAAGGTTCGCCCAACACGCAGATACATGTTTTATTATTTTCGCGTTTTAAAACGTTTTGAGACCGTTTTACTTATATGAGGGGGGGGGCAAATTTCAAACGATAAGTGATTTAGAATCTACAGACCAAGGGCTACACGATGGTATGAAACAAAACGTCGAATTTGTCTGATTTCGATCGTTTTGTCCAAAAGGCAACAAAAAAACACAAATTGTTTTAAAACTGGAGTTGCCACCCCGAGAATCTCTCTGACTTGAGCTAAGCCGAGCATACTGCTTTCAGCAGGTGGCTCAACAACTAACTCAACAATTGGAAGTCTTCAATCTACTGTGATCTTTATCGGAAGCCTTTTCGTACTAAGGACCTCGCAACTCGATGATCTATCTTACAGCGGGGCGGTTCTGCTCGGAAACTCGATCGATTGACGGGTTTGGTTTAGAGTCATGCTACAAAGTTTGACGGCTCTTCTGTTTTGGTTTGTTGGATATTTGCAAAAGAAGAAAAAGAGCCGGCCTGCCCCTATTGCTGTCGGCAACGACGAGCCGCGAACTCGATATTAGAAAAGTTGGCGGCTACAAGCGATGAATAATAGGTAGGTCTATCAAAGGCTCCTACACTTGAAACCTTCACCTACCCGAGGCACGTTCAATCAATGGTCCCCCATTGGTCATATAGCTTATGACATAACCGTCTTGTGATATTAAAGGGTCGCGCGAGGCTCACGCGCGGGCCGCCGCTCTTCGAAACCTACCTATATTGGCTAGCCTCTTCAGCTCCGGCTCCGGAAGAGGAGAGACATACCTAGAGGCTAGAGGGGCCGGACGCCGATTTCGGCATTGTACGACGTCACGATGCGGCCCTGGCGAACGAGGCGTTTCGGCCTTGTTCGATTGGCGGGCGTTCGACAATAAAACGTACATGATTAAAAAAGAGAAAAACTCCCATATAAACGTTTCAGACTTATGGCAGACCGGCGCGCAGAGCGGCGCGGTTGCTGGATTCGACATCGAGACGTGTGTGTTATTTTGGCGTCCGGCTGAGTCAGGAGTTCCGGTTGACGGTCGCCCAATATATGTTAACGTGCAGTTGTGTTGGGCGACCAGCATTTAGTTTTCTACAAAATGTGGTTGGCAATTATTGGGAGTTTGGTCGCGAGCTAGGCTGCTTCGACAGCTTCGACGTCGAAATTTGTGCATGGAAGGTTACCGACGTCGAAAGTTCGGATCTTCTTGCCTGCCCGGTTGAGGACGTGTATACCGTACTATCCCCCAGGAAGAGGCTAGCCGCCGGCGCTAGCGCTCCCCTGCCGTCGCCAGACGGCCAGTCCATGTCCCGGTAGGCGGGCTGGGTACATGCTACCCGTAGCTACCGTATGCTGCATTATGCAGGTCGTCGAACTGCCAACTCGGGGGCTGCCACACAGTGCCAGAC